CCGATTGTCTATAATCACGTAGTGAGAAGACGTGATTTAAGCCAATTGTCTATTTTAACGCCATAAAAAGACGTGACTTTAGCCAAATATCTATTTTCACGTCGAAACAAAACGTGACTTGAGTAAAATTTATATTTTCAATTTGTAAGACGACGTGACTTTAGCCAATTATCTATTTTCACGGCGCAAAATGACGTTAAATTAGTCAAATGTCTGTTTTCTCATCATGAAAAGACGTGATATTAGCCAAATGTCTATTTTCACGCCGTGAAATGACCTGACTTTAGACAGATATCTATTTTCACGTCGTGTAAAGACGTGACTTTATAGGAATATTTTTTTAAATATTATTTATAATAATAATAATAATAATAATAATAATAATTATACTATTATTATTATTATTATTATTATTATTATTATTATTTTTATTATTATTATTATTATTATACTATTATTATTATTATTATTATTATTATTATTATTATTAATATTATTATCAAAAAATTCTATAGATTTTAAAATACTGAGATGAAAAATTTCTTCAGTATAATGACTCTCATAATTTTTGGATTGATTTATCATTAATTTTATCACTATAACAATTTGTAGACAATAAATATAGTCATACATTTCCAAAAAAGAATTTACATTGATAAAAATTGTAATTTTTTTGAAATATTATTTGAGTCAGAGGAAATGATGCTATATATATATCTAGGTACATAAAATGAATCATTGATTTATCAGAAACGTCTAAAAAATTTTCATTTATTTTCTTTATCAAAAATTTAACGCTTTTATTTCATTATACAATCAACAAATTAAAAATTATTTATAAAATTGTTTTTAAAATAATTTTTCGGTTATGTAAAAAATTTTGCAGAAAAATCAAATTTTTATGCGTTAATTCAATTAAAAATAATAATTCAAATAAATGAAAAAATTCATCTAAAAGAATAAAATATGAAAATTCTATACAATGCGATAAATTATTATTATTCTATATAGAGAAAATAAAAATTCTTTAAAATGTGCCTAATTATTTTAATAATGAAAATTCGTGTAAATAAAAATTCTGACAAATAAAATTTTTCAAATAAATAAAAATTGTGTGTAGTTAATTTATGTTTATTTGAAAAATTCTTTATAATAAAGAAAAAATTGGTTTTAAATGAAAATTCTGCAAAATGAATATCCATAAAATTGAAATTCTATAACGATAATTTATTTATTAATTTCTCTTTTTTTTTTTTTTTGAAGAATATGTCAAGGTTCTTTAGGGATTAAAAATAATTTATAATTTTCTTTCATATATAGTATATATATTAAAATATCATGCATATTCTAATTTTTCAATAACATATTTTTAGGTATATACATATTTTTAAGCGGAAAAACCACTTCGTTTGTGTCATAGAAAAATATATTACACAATTCACGCATCACTATGCGGAAAGTTGAAGGGCGAAATTTTTTAATTACAAATTGAATAAAATTTCTGTCTAAAAATATATATGTATCAAAATTTTTTTATTATATCAAACAATTTTTTGGGGGAAAATTAATATACTAACGTCATAAAAAGTGTTTCCTATATAAAATTTTATAAGGAAACTATTACTTTTTTCCTCCCATATCAATTTTGAAGAGAAATTATATAAATTAATATTATAATATGTAATTTTATAATTTAATTTTATAATTTTATTATTAATTACTAAATTATTTATAATAACAGTAATTATAATATTTTTTTTTGTCTCTCTTTTTTAAAAATTATAGAAATAAATTATAATAATTAACAATTAATTAATATATAATTAATAATTATATTATTAGTAAATTATAATTATTATAAAATTATTATAAATATTTTTCTATTCCTTTCTTTCCGTTGATATATATATGTATATTTAATAAATAAAGATCCTGAATTAAAAAAAGGCTTTCATGATAAAATTTATATTAAAGAAAGTTAATTTAAAATATTGACACAAATTTTTTTTTTCTTTTTATTCATATTTTTTCTTTCTTTTTTTTATTAATGGCAAAAGAAAATAGGTACGGATATAATAACCAAATGAGACCCAGAAATTTAATCTGTGAAAGGTTTTAGAGCGCCTAAACGGTCGATAATTTCGAGCTATATATGCCTATATAGAGAATTTCCTTGGAACAAGTTATTTCTGGTTTAAAATTGACCTTTTCTTGAATTTTAACATGATAAACTGCAAAATTATTATTATTATTATTCTATTTTTTGCACTCTCTGAACAAAATTTTTGTTTGAAACAAAAAAAAAAAAGAGTAATTTATTTTATTTTCATTTTTTAATTTATTTAATTTTTTTATTTCATTGAAATAATATTTTTTAGTGAATATTTTTAATTAATTATCATAAAAATTAATTTTATTTTACTAATTTATTAATATTTAAATTAATTAATTTTTAAATTAAATTAATAATTCATTAGTTAATTAATTACTAATTAATATTGGTAATAATTAATTAGTTACTAATTCATGTTATTTTTAATTAAGTAGTTACTAATTAGTATTGCTAATAATTAATTAGTTACTACTTTTTTTTAAAAAATTAATTAGTTCTTAATTTGTATTGCTAATAAGTAATTAGTTACTAATTAGTATTGCTAATAATTAATTAGTTACAAATTATTTTTTTGATTAATTAGTTACTAATTTGTATTGCTAATAATTAATAAGATACTAATTTTTTTTTAAATTAATTAGTTCGTAATTTGTATTGCAAATAAGTAATTAGTTACTAATTAATATTGCTAATAATTAATTAGTTACTAATTATTTTTTTTATTAATTAGTTACTAATTTGTATTGCTAATAATTAATTAGTTACTTAATTAGTATTGCTAATAACTAATTAGTTACCAATTAGTATTGCTAATAATTAATTAGTTACTAATTATTTTTTTTATTAATTAGTTACTAATTTGTATTGCTAATAATTAATTAGTTACCTAATTAGTATTGCTAATAACTAATTAGTTACCAATTAGTATTGCTAATAACTAATTAGTTACCAATTAGTATTGCTAATAACTAATTAGTTACCAATTAGTAATGCCAAAAATTAATTAATTACTATTTAGTATTGCCAATGATTGGTTAGTTAATAATTAATTTCAGTTTCAATTAATTTTAGCTAATAATTAATATTGCTAATAATTAATTAGTTGTTAAAACAATTTATTTCAATTAAATAGTTATTAAATATAATTAGTTACTAAATTAATGTTAATTTAATATATTAGATACTAATTTATATTACTTTCAATTAATTCTTTGTTAATTAATATTAATTTCAATTAATTATTTACAAGTACAATTAATATTACTTTTTTATTTTTTTATTTGAAAAAAAAAAATTATTTAAAAAATATTTTTTTTATTTAAAAATAATTTTTTTTTGAGGTTATTAAAAAAATATTTATTTATTAAAAAAGAAAAATTGTTTTATTTAAATAAATAAATTTTTGTATTTTTTTTTTGAAAAAAATGTATTAATTAAAAAAAAAATTTTTTTCTATTTAAAAAAAAATGAAAATTAGTTTTTTAATTATTTTGAATTTTGAAATTTTGTATTTCAAAAAAAAAGAAAGAAAAAATGAAAATTAGTTTTTTAATTATTTTGAATTTTGAAATTTTTTTTTTCCAAAAAAAAAGAAAGAAAAAATGAAAATTAGTTTTTAATTATTTTGAATTTTGAAATTCTGTGTGTGTGTGTGAAATAGAAAGAGAAGCTGCTAATGAGTGTTCACTCAAATCGATTCAACATTTTTTTTTCTTTTTTTTTTTTTTTTTATTCTTTTTCTCTCTTACTTTTTTCTCAGTCGCTCGCCGATAAATTCTTAGAAGTCACGACGGAATATAATCTACCTGGAGTGGAGGAGGTAATACTCGCAGTGTTGTTTAGTAGACAGAGTTGGTCAGTGCAAAACTTTAGTTCCCACCAAGCGGATATATTACAATTATTATTATTATTATTATTATTGTTTTAATTTTTCATTCAATAACAAATTTTCACCAAAAAGTCCACGTGCTTTTTTTTCCTCCTCCTGAAAAAATGAAATAAAAAAAAAAAAATTTTCCTTCTCATTGCAAAAAATATTATTTTATTAATTTAAAAAAAAAGGAACGATAAAAAATTTTTTTTTTTAATTAAAAATTTACTTTTAAGAAAAAATTGAATTTTTTTTTCAAAGTGAAAATAAATTTTCTCTCTTTGTGTTTTTTTTTTTTTTTTATTAATAATGAATTTAAAAAAAAGAATAATCTTCGAAATTACGTGATTATTATTATTTTGTTTATGTGAAACAATATATATATATATGTGTGTGTGTATGTGTATTTGTGAGTGACAATGAAAAAAAAACGGTCAAATTATTTTAGATAGGATTCAAAAAAAAAAAAAAAAAACAGTAAAAATTCGAAAAATAATTAAATATGATAATATTTTTATAAAAAAAATTTTGTTATTATTTTTTTTTTTTTAAGGAATTTGACAATAAATTTTTTTGATTATTAAAATTATTTAAATAAATAAAATATTAAAATTATATATTTTTAATATAAAAAAAAAAAAAAAAAAAAAATTTTTTCATAAAAAAAAAACATTCAAATATTAAAACAAAAAAATTCTAAAAATTTTCTCTAACGATAAATAATATAAATAAATAGTGAACATTTTTTTGTTTTACTTACATGATGATAAAAAAATATAAAAAAAAATATATATATTGAAAGAATTTTTCTTAATATATGAAATATAAAAATAAATTTTTTACGCAAATAAAAAATTCGAAATAAAGTAAAAATTTTCTTTTTATAATTTTATTATTATTTTTATTATTTTTATTATTATTATTATTATTTATTATTTTTATTATTATTTTATGTTTCATTATTCTTAGTACTTCGGTACGAAAGGGCTAATTTTTCTTTCTTTGTAAGCCCGTTTACATGTAAATAAATAAATAAATAAATAATTATTCTTATTTTTATTATTATTATTATTTTATTATTTTATTATTATTACTATTGTTATTATCAATATTTAAAGAAAAAAAAATTTTTAACTAAAAAAGAGGAAATAAAAAAAAGTAATATTGAAAACAAAAAAAAAATATTTGCAATGTCTCGTAAATTTTTATTTGTTATCTTTCTTGTCTTCAATATCAATCAGTCAAAAAAATTTATTCATGGAAATGTGATTGTCCCAAAGATACATCAAGTTTTTATGGTGAGTTAAAATTTTTTTTACTTTTATTCTTTTCGTCATATATATTTTTTCAAGCAAAAAAAAAAAGAAAAAAAAAGAATATATATTTTTAAAAAATAGAATTTTTTATTTATATCTTATTTTATTCAATTACAAAAATTAAAAAAAAAAAATTATTATTGAAAATATAATAAAAATGTTATTTTGTAAAATTTACTATATATACTATTGAATAAAGTTTTACAATTCTTTTTTTTCAGTAATTTTTACAATACTATTTGTCATTATTTATTAAATATATTTAGTTTGGTAATATTTACAATATAATATATATATATATATATATATATATATAGTAAAATTTACCAGACTATTGAGTAACCTTAACGATTTTTCATTTTAGTAATTTTTACAATACTATTTACTATTATCCATTAAATACAGTTTTGGTAATATTTTACATTATGCCCATATTGTAAAATTTACCATATTGTTGTATAATCTTTACAATTATTTTTTATTATAATTTTTTTAAAATACTATTTTTTGTTATTTATTAAATATACAGTTTGGTAATATATTTACAATTTTGTTACTAATATTAAAAAAAAATTTTTTAAATGTGAAAAATTTTTTTAAAATATTTAAAATTTAAAAAAAATTTTTAAAAAAATTAATAATAATCAAATAATAATAGACAAATTACGAATATAAATAAATTGAATAAATTATTAATTTATATTGTATTGTAATTTTTAATTCGGACCAAATTATCCAGATTTATAATTAGAATTTTCTATGTATATATATATATATTATGTATAAATGAAAATTAAATCTATAATATGAGAAAATTTTTTCTTTATTTTGTAATAAAATTTTTTTTTATCTTCACGAAACTTGTAATTAAAAAAAAATTATCTAGATCTAACAAAATTTCAAAATTTTGATTTAAAATTATAATCTATAGAGAGTTATTTCACAAAAAGGGAAATTTTATAATATATATGAATAAATTGTAAAACAGAATAAGAAAAAAAAATTAGAAATTTTAATTTATTCGTATTTTTTAATTAAATTATTTAAATTATTTGTTTTTGGATAATTAGATACCAAATTTTGAGAATTATTATTATTATTATTATTATATATTATTATTATTTATTTAAAAATTTTCATTCGGTATAATTATTATTTAAAAACCAAAAATTTGTCTTTTTAACTTTTATGAAATTATTTTAACATTTCTTTTTTATTTATATTATTAAGTAATTAACGATTTTTCTACGAAATGCCTAATCTTAGTTGTATTAGTATAAAGGTCTAATAATTTTTTTTTTTTTTTTTTTTTTTTTTGACTCCCGAAACATAAAATACGATTTAAATATTTTAGACTTGGGAATTCCACAAAAAAAAATATATATATATGTAGTATAATCCCTTATTGACAAATAAAAAATAATTTATTTTTATTTCATTACATAAAAAATATTTGTCTGAAAATAAAAATAAAAAAAAAAATTTTTTTTTACTTTAAAAGAAAAATGATTTTTTTTAACTATCAAGAAAAAATAATAATAATAATTAAAATAATAATAATAATAATAATAATAATGAAAATATAATGAAAAAGAAAATAAAAATGTTTAATTAATAAAAAATTTGATTTGTTTATAAAATTTTTTTATTTTTTTTTATTTATATATATATATATATATATATATTTAAATTTTTAAAAAAAGGTATCAAGTAGGTTAAAAGCGTTGATGATGTATAATAATTGGCGTGGCCTTCTTATCAGAGAAAATGATATGAACCTTTTAATACATTGTTGTCATAAATTCCAATCTCTTCTAACATTGACGCCCACTATTAATTTACTAAATTACTGGAAGAAAAAAGAAAAATTATTTTCATTCTCTTTAAATTTAAAAAAAAAAAAAAAAAATCGCAACGTACAAAATTAAAAAAAAAAAATTTTCTTTTGATATAACATTCATTTTTCACTACTAAATTATTAAAAAAAAAAAATGTTAAAAAAAATTTAAAAAAAAAAAAAAAAAAAATATTAAAAATTAAATTAAATTAAAATAGTGCTTTTTTTTTAATCAGAAATTTTTTTTTCCTAAATTAAATAATGTCCATTTTTTTAATAATAAATAATCTTTGTAGATTTAATAAAAAGGAAAAAAAAATTAATTATTTAATTTAAAAAATTATTTTTCAATTAAAAAATTAATTCTTTAATTAAAAAATGACCTTTTTGTTAATAATAAATAATTCTTATCGATTTTTAAAAGAAAAAACTTTTATCAATGTTAATTATTTATATATTTGTTATAATCGTAGATTATAAATTACATATAGAGAGAGATGCTCATAGATCTTTTATGTAAGAGGATAAGTAGGCCCCTCCAAGTGCGCGGATATACAACTTTTATAATTAATTATTTCCTGTATATACACATATATATATATATATATATATATAAACAATAAAAATTGCTTTTATCATTATAAAAATAAATTCAAAAATTTTTTGTTCAACTTCAAAAAACATATTTTAATCTTTTTTTCTACTTAAAAAAAAAATTTAAAACAAGTTTTACTATCTTTTTGATAAAATCTTCACAAAATAACTGGGGCATCAATTATAAACTATTTTCCAAGGAAAATATTTGCCTTCACTATATATATATATATATATATATATATATATATATATATATATATATATATATATATTGTGTCGGAAAACAATCGCGTCATTCAACCAGTCCTTATTGCAGTGAAATTATTTTTAGAGCTACCCCCATTATTGATTTGTCTAAGCCCCAAGTGCATTATTGGAATATATATGTTTCTAAAATTGTATTCAATATGCAATTTTTTTTTTTACTAGGTTTGAAGTTGTGTTCGATTTTTGACGTATATACAAATTTCGAACTTGATTTTGAGGTTATATATTCGCCTTACGTTCTGTGCAATTGAACTCAATTTTGAGGTTATATTCACCTCTTTCCATTGTGAATACACTAGAGCTGTGCAATGTTCGAATCGAATCGAATTTTGTTCAGTTTTTAATGACCCTGACTCGAATGTCGGATTTCGACATTCGAACTGGGCTGATTCGGATGTCGAATTTTTGTAATTTTTGTAACCCTAAAATAATCTGAATTTGAAGGTGATGTTTATTTCTCTTTCCAATTGTAGAAATACCTTAAAATTATTAAAATTTGGAGGTTATTTTATGTCAATTCCTGTTTTAATTGTAGAAATGCCCTAAACTGATCTAAATTTGGATGTTATTTTGTCCTCTCTCCATTGTAGAAATACCCTAAACTGATCTAAATTTGGAGGTTATGTTGTCCTCTCTCCATTGTAGAAATACCCTTAACTGATCTAAATTTGAAGGTTATGTTGTCCTCTCTCCATTGTGGATATACCCTGAAGCTATCAGAATTTGGAGGTTATTTTGCCCTTTTTTCATTGTTTAAACACCCTAAAATGACCTAAATTTGGAGATTATGTCCATTCCTCTTTCCATTGTGGAAATACCTTAAAATTATCTAAATTTAAAAATTATTTTTCCTTTTTTCTATTGTGGAAATACCTTAAAATAACCTAAATTTAAAAATTATTTTCCCTTCTTTCTATTGTGAAAATATCTTAGAATAATCTAAATTTTGGAGGTTATGTCCAGGAGTTCTCTTTCCATTCAAAAAATACCCTAAAATTATCTAAATTTTAAGGTTATGTTATTTTTTTTCTATTATATTATAAAAATATAAACATTTTATTTGTTTTAGAACACTTCAGTGCCGGAGGAATTGAAAAATTTACCACTTGTGGGAAAATGTTGTCCATTGGGAGAAATGTTATTATCAAACGATATCAACGAAAAAGCTATTTGTACAAAAATTAAAACTAATAACAAAAATAATAATTATAAGAATAATAATAATAATAATAATAATAATAATAATAATTTTATTAATAAAAATTCAACAACAGAATTTCCATCGAAAAATAATATATTTTCACCATTCTTTTGCGAACACAATGAAAGTGCATTAGTAGTTCCAGGCAAACGAAAAAAAGAATTTGTCGCATATATTGGCGATCCCTGTCCCTATGTAAGGTATTTAAAAAAAAATTATTTAAAAAATTCAAATTAAAAAAAAAAGAAAAAAAATTTTTTTAAATTTAAATACACAGCCACACAAAAAAAAATTTGTGTTCTGACCCAAAGGTCTCACTATGTGTACGTTATGTTTTTGGGGTCAGTTTTCAAAAATTCAAAATGGCGGATCCAATATGGCGGACACTTTTTTGTAAAATTCATCGGATTCGCTTGAAAATCGTTACCCGTTACATCCAGTAATGCCAATGCCGACGGTACAAGGATTTAGAAAATTGGTCTTAATTAAATGAATGTAATAATAAAGTCATTTTTTGAGGTTAGAAAAAATTTCTGATTTTAATGGAGTTAAATAGACCTCGAATTCGGGTTCAGCGAACCCTAAAACCCCTGAGTAACGATTTTCAAGCGAATCCGATGAATTTTACAAAAAATTGTCCGCCATATTGAATTTTTGAAAACTGACATCAAATTCGTAATCGGCGACCCTTAAAACCCCCGAGTAACGAGTTTCAAGCGAATCCGATGAATTTTTCCAAAAGGTGTCCGCCATATTGGTTTTCTGGGGTTATATCAAAACCCTGAACTGATGGGGTTAAATGGACCTCGGATTCGGATTCAGCGACCTCAAAAACATAACGTACACATAGTGAGACCTTTGGGTCAGAACACAAATTTTTTTTTGTGTGGCTGTGATATTAATAAAAGAAATGGAAAAAAATTTAAATTAAAAAAAAAATTTCTTTCAGATACTTATTACAACCAAAAGAAACATTGCTAGATGAATCTTATTTATTGGAAAATGGCTCAATTTATTACACTTATGAACATCCACCATTATTATCACCGGGAATTGATTATTGTATGGAAATATTGGAAGATATGGGACTTCAAACACTTGTTTGTTCAACAAAAGGTTTCTTAAATTATTTAATTAAAGAAAAAAAAAATTTTTATCTCTTTTTGTCTATTTCTGTCTCTTTTTGTTACATTCTGTCTCTTTTTGTTACATTCTGTCTCTTTCTTCCTTTTTCTGACCTCTTTTTTATCTTACTCTTTATTATTACATCTCTTTATATTTCTTTTTCTAACTTTCTGTCTATTTCTGTCTCTTTCTATCTCTTTTTGTTATTTTCTGTCTCTTTGTTATTCTCACATTCTGTCTCCTACTTTCTTTTTTTTTATTTTCTGCCTCTTTGTTTTTAACTTTCTGTCTCTTAGTTTCTCTTTTTTTTATTTTCTGCCTCTTTGTTTTATATCACTTTCTGTCTCTTAGTTTCTCTTTTTTTTATTTCCGCCTCTTTGTTTTTCTCACTTTCTGTCCCTTTATTTCTCTTTCTATAACTTTTTGACATTTTCTGTCTCTTTCTACTTTTTTCTGTCCCTCTTTGTCTTCCTCCTTTTTTTATATCTCTTTCTATCCATTTTTGTAACTGTCTGTCCCTCTTTCCTATATTTTTTTGTTACTTTCTGTCTCCTATCCTTTTCTGTCTCTTTCTGTCCCTTATTGTAACATTCTGTCTACGCCTTTTTTTTATCTCTTTTTGTCTATTTCTGTCTCTTTTTGTCACTTTCTGGCATTTTCTTTCTCTTTCTGTCCCTTTTTATCATCCTCTTTCTTTTTCTATTTCTTTTTCTCACATTCTGTCCCTTTCTTTCTCTTTCTATCACTTTTTGACACTTTCTGTCTCTTTCTACTTTTTTCTGTCCCTTTTTTTGTTTTCCTTTTTTTATATTTCTTTCTATTCCTTTTTGTAACTTTCTGTCCCTCTTTTCTATATCTTTTAAATAATTTCTGTCTTCTTCTACCCTTATCTGTCTCTTTCTGTCCCTTTTTGTAACCGTCTGTCTCTGTCCTTTTTCTATCTCTTTTTGTATATTTCTGTCTCTTTTTGTCACTTTCTGTCATTTTCTGTCTCTTACTTTCTCTTTTTTTTATTTTCTGCCTCTTTTTTGTCACTTTCTAACTCTTATTTTCTCTTTTTTTTATTTTCCGCCTCTTTGTTTTTCTCACTTTCTGTCCCTTTCTTTCTCTTTCTATCACTTTTTGACACTTTCTGTCTCTTTTTACTTTTTTCTGTCCCTTTTTGTCTTCCACTTTTTTTATATCTCTTTCTATTCATTTTTGTAACTTTCTGTCCCTCTTTCCTATTTTTTTTGTTACTCTCTGTCTCCTACCCTTTTCTGTCTCTTTCTGTCCATTATTGTAACATTCTGTCTCTGTCTCTTTTTGTCACTTTCTGTCATTTTCTGTCTCTTTCTTTCTTTTTCTTTTCCTCTTTTTTATCTCCTTCTGTAACGTTCTGTCCCTTTCTTTTTGTCTATTTCTGTTTATGTTTTCCACTTTCTGTCTTTTTCTGTCTTTTTCTGACTTTTTCTATCTCTTTTTGTTATTTTCTGTCTCTTTCTGTCTCTTTCTGTCTTTTTCTTCTTTTTTCTGTCCCTTTTTTATCTTCCTCTTTCTTTTTGTCACTTTCTGTCTTTTTCCTTCTTTTTTGTCACTTTATGTCTCTTTCTTTTTTACTCTTTCTTTCTCTTTCCGTCAATATTTGTTTCTACTATTTGAAATTAAATTTTAAATTTTTCATTTCTTTCCTCCAACAGAAGATCATGAAGTAAAAATTGATTATCGATTAATATTTTATGCATCTGGATTATTAATATCGGTGCCATTTTTATTATTAACAATAATTGCCTATTGTATAACGCCAATATTAAGAGATGCACATGGTAAAGCACTTTGTAATTATTGTGGCTGTTTAGTTGTTGCATTTACAACATTGGCACTTGTTCAACTTGCCAATGACAGTATCAGCGATGATTTTTGCATTTCCATAGGTATTTTATTTTCAATATTTTTGATAATAATTTTTAACTATTTTATGAAATTTAAAACAAAAAAATTTAATATTTCTATATATGAAATTTTTTTTTTTTTTTAATACAAAAAAAGATTTATTTTTAAATTTATTATAATAATAATTTAAAAAAAAAAATGTGTTTTTTTTTCTTTGCAGCTTTTATAATTCAATTTTCATTTGTGGCATGTTTCTTTTGGTTAAATGTCATGTGCATTGAGACATGGCTATTGATTCATCGACGTGTATATCGTAATCAATGCTATTTGAAACCAAAAAAATTATTTTTCTATTATTCAATTTGGGGCTGGCTACCACCGTCGATACTTATTATTATTTCAATGATATTGGATCTACATCCAACGGTACCGAGTACATATGTTAAACCAAATTTTGGAACCGCCAGCTGTTGGTTTGAATGTATGTATACTTTTATTATAATTATTATTATTATTATTATTATTATTATTATTATTATTAGTATTATTATATTAATACTATTAATAATTTTAATTCTATTCAAAAATAGAAAAAGACGGAAAGGGATACAAAGAGACAGAAAAAAATAAAAAATCTTTTTCTGTCTTTTTCTGTCTTTTTCTATTTATTTCTGCCAGTTTTCTGTCTCTTTTTTCTATATTTTTCTGTCTCTTTCCATTTATTTCTGCCATTTTCTGTCTCTTTTTTCTGCCTATGTCTATCTCTTTCTGTCTCTTTCTATTTAATTCTGCCATTTTCTGTCTCTTTTTTCTGTCTATGTCTATCTCATTCTGTCTCTTTCTATTTATTTCGGGCTTTTTCTATCACTTCCAATTTACTTCTGCCATTTTCTGTCACTATTTTTCTATATTTTTTCGTCTCTATCTATTTATTTCTGCCATTATCTGTCTCTTTTTTCTGTATTTTTCTGTCTCTTTTTATTTCTTTTTGCCTCTTTCTGTCTCCATTACTCTCTTTCTGTCTCTTTCTTTTTTACTATATTATTCAACCTCTTTTTGTTTCTTTCGATCCTAATCTATCTCTTTCCATTTCTTTTTATCTCTTTATATTTCTTTCTGTCTCTTTTTATTTATTTCTGCCTGTATTATTCTTTTCTGTCTCTTTTTATTTATTTCTGTCTGTATTATTCTTCTTCTGTATCTTTTAATTTATTTCTGTTTTTTCTATTTTTTCTGTCTGTATTATCCTTTTTCTGTCTCTTTTTATTTGTTTCTGTTTTTTCTGTCTTTTTCTGTCTCTTTCTGTCTGTATTATTCTTTTTCTGTCTCTTTTTATTTGTTTCTGTGTTTTCTGTCTCTTTCTGTTTGTATTATTCTTTTTCTGTCTCTTTTTATTTATTTCTGTTTTTCTGCCCTTTTCTGTCCCTTTCTGTCTGTATTATTCTTTTTCTGTCTTTTTTTTTTATTTATTTCCGTTTTTTCTGTCTCTTTCTGTCTGTATTATTCTTTTTCTGTCTGTATTAATTTATTTCTGTTTTTTTCTATCTTTTTCTGTCTGTATTATTCTTTTTCTGTTTTTTTTTTATTTATTTCTGTCTCTTTCTGTCTGTATTATTCTTTTTCTGTCTCTTTTAATTTATTTCTGTCATTTCTGTCTTTTTTTAAATTTATTTCTGTCTTTTTCTGTTCTTTTCGATCTTTCTCAATTTCTTTCAATCTTTTTCTGTCTCTTTAAAAAAAAAAATAAATAAAAATAAATAATTTTTCTCTTCTCCTTTCAGCTGACAAAAATGCAATGCCCTATTTCTATATTCCAGTTGGTGTTCTCATTATAATGAACCTAATTTTTTTTGCCTTAACTGCCCGTGATGTTAATATTTATCAACATGAATTAGATTTACGTTTGATTGCATCAAATCAAGAATCCGATCACAATGAACAAAAAATGATACGTAGAACGCAAAAAAAATTATTTCTATGCATTGGATTATTTTTTTTTATGGGCATGAATTGGGCAATGGAAATGATATCATGGTGGTCAAAAGGTGATACAATTGCATGGACTGCATTTGATATGGTTAATGCATTACAGGGAATTATTATTTTTGGTCTTTTTGTTTTAAGAAAACCAATACAAAATATTGTTTGGTATCGAATACAATATCTTCGCGGTGTGCCAATTGAAAATGAACCAAATGTCATTAATATTGATTTAAGAATGTTGCCACTTGATGACATTATTGACAATGAGACTGATAACAATAATCATCGAACTGAGCAATTATAAAACGAAAAATTGTTCTTATTGCGTTTGAAAAAATAGTTTAAAATAAATTTTTTTATGTTTTTTTTTTAAAAAAAAGGAGGTAGGAAATAAAAAAAAAAAAACTATTTTTACCCTCTTACCGTGATATATTTTTTTATTTTCTTTTTCTTTTTTTTTTTTATTTTAAAAGCGAACTATATTTAGAAAAATAAAATAACAAATGCGTTTTTTTTTTTGTTCACAAAAATCGCATATATAACAGTATTGCACAAACATACGCTGATAAAACGTAAGATAAATAACCAGGTACTAAATTAATAGGTCTCCATGTTGAATAATATATTTTGGAATTTTCTTTTTTTTATTTTTTTAGTCTCGAAAAGAGGATTTTTCAAAAATATTCCTAACAAACAATTTTTGTTGAAATTTTTTTTTTTGAAGGAAAATTCCAATTTTATTTCATAAATGGAGATTAAAGCGTGATGTAAATCTCATTTTTAGATTTAAAAAAAAGAACTGGGTGCACATGGACAAAAAAAATTGTCCAAAAGCAAAAAAATTATAGACACACTTTTTGAGTCATGTTGATTTGCTTATGAGGTCAAATATAATTTTTTTTTTTTCTAATTTATCTATGATGTCCCGCGAATGCTTGACTCATACCTAAAATACCGAAAATACCCGAATTTTGCGTGAAATAAACGAGTCGATACATTCCAGGTGTTTTAATAGCCGTTACAACGAATGATAGATGTTTAATTTCAGATGTTTCCTCAGACGCTTCTCTAGGTGCGTCAGATTCTTCTGAAAAAATTATATTTATATATACATATTTTTTTTTTTGAAAATTTTCTTCGAAAGAAAAAAAATTCTCATTTTGTCATACAGTATTTATTTTTTCATATTTTATATATTTAAAAAATAATTTTTCTTTAAATATATGTTCTATTGTAAAAAAAAAAAAATTACTATATATTGTGTAAAAATTATCCAATTGTAAATATTACCAAATGTATGGTAAAAATTATTCAATAGACTATATTGTATAAGATTTAATGTAAAAAAAGAAAAATTATCGAAGACTATGTAATATTTACTGAATGTATGGTACAAATTACCGAATAGAATAAATGTAAGATTTACTGAATGTATGGTAAAAAAAAATTATCGACTAGACTATATAAGATTCACTGAATGGTATGGTAAAAATTACCGAATAAATTGTAAAAATTTACCGAATAGATTGTAAATTTAAACCAACAGATTGTAAATTTTTTACGAACAAATTGGAAAAACCAACAGATTGTAAATTTTAACGAACAAATTGAAAAAACCAAACAGTTTTTTTTTCTTTTTTTACCGAACATATTGTAAAATTTACCAAACCATTTGAAAGAACGAACATATGGTAAAATTTACCAAACAGTTTGGTAGAATTACCGAACAGATTGTAATTTTTACCGAACAGATTGTAAATTTTATACAAACAGTTTGGTAAAAATTACCGAATATATTATTAATTTTTAACCAAAACAAATTGTAAATTTTTTCAAGCAGTTTTGTAAATTTTACCAAAACAAATTGTAAATTTTAATGAAAAAGAAAAAAAAATTGTAAAAATTATCAAACAGATTATAAAAATAAAAAAATTATAAAGAAAAATTTCTTTTGTTTCTTTTTGTCAACTTACCAATATCAGTGGTGACATATTCATAAATAATATAATCATCAACACTTGAAAATCCATCTTTATAAAGGCCAATCCAATCGCGAAATCCCGATTTTCGATTACCATTTATTTTATATGAAACAATATTTGTCTCGTCTATGAACCATTCCAAAATTGGAAGAAATTCCACATCTTGATTTCCACTAACTGAACGAATCTTTTTGAAACATTTAAAAAAAAAAGAAGAATATAATTTTATTTATTTTTCAAAATATTTAAATTAAAATATAATCATTTTTTTTTTTTATGAAATTTTCATATTACCACAATATCAAATTCGCTTGTCACTGGTTTATGATCCGATTGAACATAATTGGAATGGCTTTTGTAACTATTTTGCACAGCCTTGAGTGTTATATTTTCATAAACATTTTCATTGACTTTATATAAAATTCGATCGGTCCATGATGGTCGACGTCTAAAGGATAAAAAGAAAATTAAAACGTGGAAAAATAGAAATTTTTTTCTTTTTTTTTTCGAACTGTTATAACATACTTGAGATCATAATCCTGTGAGGAAAATTGAAATTTATAAGTTGGTGAAAATGAAATTTTATTCTCAATTAATTCAGCGAATGCTTCTCCATTTGCCATGACATTTTTGAGTTGATCTTTCTCAAGAAGAACACTTAATTGTTTTTGTTTAATTAATAAATCAATGTCAGTTGCTGTGAGACCTTCCATCAGTCGAAAATTTAAATCACCAAACCAAAATACATAGCTAAAGATAGTAAAAATAATAATAATAATAATAATAGTTTAACGCAATTAGGTAAAGAAAAAATTATTTTTTTTCTCTTTCTAATAAAAGCCATGTATATACGTTTTATACAAACTCATGGTAAAAGATGTTTGATGTCTCAGTAGACTCGTAAATGTGCTCACGAAGAATCATATTGTATTCGGAAATTCGCGTTGGTAGAAAATTATCATGTGCTGTTAAGTGTGCGTTAATTAAACACAAACTTACACCATAGATGTTTAGCCTCACGCTCACTGCGCCCTTGTTTCCCTAAAATAGTATTGATTTTAATTGCAAATTTTTTTTTTTTTTTTTGGAAAAAAATTAAACTAGCCTCTATTTTATTGTTTCTGTTTCATTTATAATTTCTCTTTTCCCTCAAAGCCCTTCATAAAAAAAAATCCCTCTATTTAAGAAGGTAAAGGCTGGTTTAAAATCTACAAATATCGCTATTAATTTTTTTTCTACCCAAATTTCTATTTTTCTTCTGACCGTTTTTAATTTTTATTTTTAATAATTATATTTAAATAGATAAATAATATAAAATGGAAGAAAAATATAAATAATAAATAAAAAAAATTGAAAATTATAATTTAATAATAATAATAATAATAATAAAAATCATCATCATCAGGATGTCCAGCAAGTACAAAAAAATTCCCTGACTTTTTCCTAATTTTGCTTTAATAAATATTTAATATTAAAAAAATTAAAAGTATTAAATATTAAAGGATTTTTTAAGTTAATAAAAAATATTTTATTTATTAGCATTATAAACTTTGCAACGAAAAATTTAAAAAAAAAATTCGTAAAAATGTTTAATTTTTGGCAAATTTTTAAAAAGTTCCCTGACTTCCCTGACCACTGAACACCCTGATAATAATAATAATAATATAAAATAAAAAATAAATACTTTTACGGTAATTAAAATCGAACGAAGGCATGCTTTGTTTTTTTAAATTTGAAAATTTTTTACGTTAATTTTTAGTTGATTCCTTAGATCGTGTCAACATTTACTTGGATAACTGTGATAATTCTAGAGCTAATTAAACAAACCCAAAATTTAACTCATTTTTTGGGGTTTTTTTTAAAAAAACATTTCTCATGCATTCTTTCCACTTTCCCCATCTCCCTCCTTTTTATAAATAAGCAATCAATATTTATATTAAATAAGATCGAACTCAGGAGGCGTCTTAATATTATAAGCAAAAATCTACTTTGTTTTTAAATATAATTTATCTAAAAATTTCAACAAAAAAAAAATTTAAAAAATTCCTTTATGAAATTTGAAAATTTTTTATATTTATTTTTAATTGATTCTTTAGATCGTGTTCACATTTACTTGGATAACTGTAATAATTCTAGAGCTAATTAGCAAATCCAGAGAGTTTAAAACTCATTTTTTTTTTTAATATTTCTCATGCATTCTTTCCACTTTTCCCAATCTCCCTCCTTTTTATTTTCTCCAAATCGAATTTATTTTATGACTCTGAATAACTTTGTTGTTGAGTGTGCAATTTTTTTTCGCACATTATTTCTTTCAAATGTCTGTTTTATCAACTGTCGATAATAGTAACTGCGCCTTTTTTAAAAAAATCTTCCATTGCCAAAATTATTTAAAAAAAAAAAAATTCTTTTTTGCAATATTTCAAATGTCTGTCTTTTCAATTGTCGATGATGATCTCTCCTCAAAAAATTTTTTTTACCTTTTTGCCTCCGCAATTTTTCTCTAAATAAAAATGTGAAAAATTCAAATTAAAAAAATTTTTCTTTTTCTATTTTCTTACCCATAGGCCACCAAAACCAGTTTTTGTGTATTTAGCTTCAATCGATCTCAATTGACTAATGTGCTTACGCAAACAAAATATATTTAACATTAGACCCTGTAATCGTTGTGTTTTTATTTTCACATAATCGTGTGCCTTTAAAATATCTCTAAAAGAAAAATTATTTTAATTATTATATTATAGTAACAAAAAAAAAAAAAAATTTGCAAATATTTTACAATAAAAACAAAAAAATTTGCAATATTTGGTGAAATAATAAAAATAATTTTATTTTTTATACTTACCTAAATGATTTGGTCCATGGATCATCGAAAAAAACATCGTACAACAAATCATGTGGTTGTGATTTTACTTCTTGTAATCTAAAATAATAATTATTTAAATTGTAATTAATTTTTTTTTTTTTTAAATATTTAAATTTTTCTACTAAATATTCTACTAAATACCCAATTATATAAAAATCCGGCGGATCATGTTCAACTGGATTTTTAAGTTTAAGTAAATCGTGAAGATCTTCTTCGGGATATTTTGTCGCTACATTCCATGTTATAAAATATAATCTGCAAAAGATTTTTTTATTTTATTTTATTTATTTTTGACATCAATTTTTAATTTATAAAAATATAAATAAAAAATTTATAAAATTTAAAAATTATATTTAAAAAAAAAATTAAGCAAGTTTATTACAGTAAATAAATAATAACAATTTTATAAAATAAAAATTTATAAAATTATAAGTGGATAAAAATTAGTTTAAAATTAAAAAATTTATAAATTTATAAAATTATACAATTTTAATTTATAAATTTATAAAATTATAAAATTTTAATTTATAAATTTATAAAATTATAAAATTTTAATTTATAATTTTAAAAAATTATAAAATTTTAATTTATAATTTTAAAAAATTATACAATTTTAATTTATAAATTTATAAAATTATAAGTAGATAAAAATTATTTTAAAATTATAAATTTATAAAAATGATGCATAAAGAATTAATAAAAAAAAAAAAATGGAACAAATTTCATAAAAATAATAAATATCCGACAATTAATAAAGTAGAACATAGAAAGTTAAAGGATTCTTTCACGGAAATTCGAAAGTACTAAAAAGTTCCTCCAAGAATTATTATAATTCAAGAAAAAAAAGTGTTTCAAGGTCACGAGTATTAATCATATTTAAATAAAAACAAAAAATTTTTTTTCAAAAATTATTTCTATTAACAAAAATAATTAATACAAATATTTGTATATAAAAAAACCTTAAATATATAAAAATTAAATATAATTATATTCTTAAATATAAATAAAAGAAAAAAATGTAAATGTAAACAGAAATAAATAAAAATATTTCTAACCTTATTATTTCCGTTCCTGGCATCATTTCACTGTTAATGAAAAAAAAAAATGCACTTTTCACTTTCTATAAATAATATAATAACTTTTTGTTAAAAATTAAAACCTGTTTATTTATATGACAAGTGTCAATTGTTTTAATGACGTAGCAAAATCAATAAATTACGTTTCAATAATAATTATACAATACGCGAGTTTATATTAATTTTAACCTCACTTTTTTTTATATTTTCATTTTTTTTTTTTATTTTGCTTTCATTGTTTTTGACGACTATTTACAAATAAAATAAAAGCAAAAAAACACCATTTATTTTGATATAATAATTTTGCATTGTTTTGTAAATAAAAAAGAAAAAAGAAATTTGAATTACATTACGCGAATAATAACTGTCACAATGACAGTTTGACAGAGAGGCAAATGATAAAATGACGTTAAATTCAAAATGGCGACGCGATTTCTCTCTAGAACCAACTTCACATTGCTGCGATTTAATTTTGTGAAAATAAATTATCTTTTTAAAAAAAATTCTTTAAAAATAAATAGTTAACATTAATGTAAGAAAAAAGTACTAATTATTATTATTTTTTTTTTTTATCAACTTGAGAAAATATTCTTTTTTTCTGTTTTCTCAAGGCGGGAAATTTTCAAATTAATTTTTTTTTCTAAATAATAATAAATTTGAATACTATTATTTTTATATAGTAATTATTTTAATGCTAATTTTAAATAATAAATTTTAATCAAATTTTATTAATTGGGAGAATTTATTAAAAAAATTTTGAAAATATAGTGATATTTTGTATTTAAAAAAAAAAACCATTGGCAACAGTGGAATTTTAATCGCCTTCCGTTTACCATTCTGTTTTGATAAATATATGTGACAAACTTCAAGTTTTTACCGTTTGTCTTATATATATTATATTTTCTCAATAACGTTTCGCGTTTCGCCTTTTTTTAACAAAAATATAATTTTAAATAATTGATAATTTTCAAAGGGGGAATTTTTTTTTTTATTAACATAATAGCGTAACGATATAAATAAAGGTGAAAATTTAATAGAAAATTGTCGGAAAGTTTTTAATTGACTGGGGGGTTTTTTTTTTAGAGATATATATAGATATATAGATTTCAGTATATAAAATAAACCAGATGTTAAGAGTAGACTTGGAATATGACAGAATGGTAAGTATTTACATTTATAACCTCAATATTTGTCAATATTCTATTTTGTTTCGAAATTAGTGAATCTAGATTAAATTAATATTTTTTATCTCAATGGTTATAGAATTTTTTTTTTTCTTTTTCTTTTACTGTTCCTTGTGAGAAAATTTCTTTCAGAAACAATTGTTATCATTATTTTTTCAGGTATATAATTTTTTTTTGTTATCTTACAAACAATGAAATTTAAATATTTTCATTCTTACTGATAATAATTTTTTTTTTAGTGAGTTATAAACAGAAGTTTAAACGAATACGTGGCAATGTTATTTTTTCACATTAACTCTTTTTTTTCTTTACGATAAAATGTGTGAAAATTTCTTTTTTATTTGAAACAGTTTTGAAATTTTTTAGATTCTGTAAGTTCAATTATTTCCTTGTTATTAATAATAATAATAATTTACAGAATTATATTTTATTCTACTTTCTTATTTAAAGAAAAATTATTTTTTAAACTATAAATAAATCAGTATTGGATTCTGTACTTTTAAATAATTAATTTGTTTCGATTTAAGTTAAAAATATATATAAAGCTTTTTTAAAATTTATAGAAGTGTAAAAATTTTTCTTTTTTTAACACAATATAGGTTAATATAAATAAAACTGAAAATAAATTTCAAAAAAATGATAAAATTTGATAAAAAAAAAAAGAATAGCAAAATTAAATAAATTCTAAATAAATTAAATAAATTCTTAATTAATTTTTAAATTAATTTTTGAATTAATTTCTTAATTAAATAATAATAAATTTAAAGATATTAAATAACAAATAAAATTCAAATATAAATGTTTGTTAATTAATAATAAAATTTTCTAATAATTTTTTTCTTTTTTTTAGATGAGGTGACGTTTGGTTCTGCCATGCGAAACAAATCAATAGCTTTTGTACTCATTCTACTAATTGTATGGGGTATTATCACCTATTTTTTATTTCTTGATCGACCAATTGGCAATGACATTGGCAAGGTATAAAAAAAATAATTTGCAAACTTAAGAACAATATTAATTTTTATTTAAAAAAAAATTATAGAATTTTGTTATTTGGAATATTGGTTTAAATTTTTGGAAAATTCGAGATCCATTAGATTTCGGAATTTGGAAATTGGAGGAGAAAGAACTGTGGAAGAAATAAATGAATTTTGTTATTTGGAGTATTGGTTTCAATTTGAGATCCATTGAATTTGGAAATTGAAAAATTGGAGAACGAAAAGAATTGTGGAAGAAGTGATTGAATTTTGTTATTTGGAGTATTGATTTATAATTTGGGATCCATTGGATTTGGAAACTTGAAGGGAAAAGAATTGTGGAAGAAGTGAATGAATTTTGTTATTTGGAGTATTGGTTTACGATTTGGAAAACGGGGAATACGGGATTTATTTTAAATTCTGAATTGGGAAATTGAAGGGGAAAGGATTATAAAAGAAGTAAATGAATTTTGTTATTTGGAGTATTGGTTTAAATTTGAGAAATTTGGGATTTATTTTAATATAAATATAATTTTTTTTAATTTGGGAATTGGGAAATCGGAGGGGAAAGGATTGTGGAAGAAGTAAATGAATTTTGTTATTTGGAGTATTGGTTTCAATTTGAGATCCATTGAATATGGAAATTGAAAAATTGGAGAACGAAAAGAATTGTGGAAGAAGTGATTGAATTTTGTTATTTGGAGTATTGGTTTATAATTTCGGATCCATTGAATTTGGAAATTGAAAAATTGGAGAAAGAAAAGAATTGTGGAAGAAGTGATTGAATTTTGTTATTTGGAGTATTGATTTATAATTTGGGATCCATTGGATTTGGAAACTTGAAGGGAAAAGAATTGTGGAAGAAGTGAATGAATTTTGTTATTTAGAGTATTGGTTTACGATTTGGAAAACAGGAAATACGGGATTTATTTTAAATTGTGAATTGGGAAATTGAAGGGGAAAGGATTATAAAAGAAGTAAATGAATTTTGTTATTTGGAGTATTGGTTTAAATTTGAGAAATTTGGGATTTATTTTAATATAAATATAATTTGTTTTAATTTGGGAATTGGGAAATTGGAGGGGAAAGGATTGTGGAAGAAGTAAATGAATTTTGTTATTTGGAATATTGGTTTAAATTTTTGGAAAATTCGAGATCCATTGGATTTCGGAATTTGGAAATTGGAGGAGAAAGGACTGTGGAAGAAGTAAATGAATTTTGTTATTTGGAGTATTGGTTTCAAGTTGAGATCCATTGAATTTGGAAATTGAAAAATTGGAGAAAGAAAAGAATTGTGGAAGAAGTGATTGAATTTTGTTATTTGGAGTATTGGTTTAAATTTGAGAAATTTGGGATTTATATTAATCTAAATATAATTTTTTTTAATTTGGGAATTGGGAAATCGGAGGGTAAAGGATTGTGGAAGAAGTAAATGAATTTTGTTATTTGGAGTATTGGTTTTACTTTGGGTTTCATTGGATTTGGGAAATTGGAGGGTAAAGGATTGTGGAAGAAGTGGATGAATTTTGTTATTTGGGATATTGGAAAGGAATATATTGTGGAAGAAGTAATTGAATTTTGTTATTTGGTTTAAATTTGTGAATTTGGAAAATTGGAGGGAAAAGGATTGTGGAAGAAGTGGATGAATTTTGTTATTTGGGATATTGGAAGGGAATATATTGTGGAAGAAGTAATTGAATTTTGTTATTTGTAATTAATATTGGTTTAAAATTGGGAAATAGAAAAGGAAAGAATTGTGGAAGAAGTTAGTGAATTTTGTTATTTGTAGTATTGGTTTGAATTTGGGAAAAGGGAAATTTAGTAACCATTACGATTGGGAAATTGGAGGGAAAAGGATTGTGAAAGAAATAAATGAATTTTTTTATTTGGAGTATTGGTTTAAATTTCGATTTGAGAATCGCTAAATTGGAAACCGAAGAATTATGGAAGAAGTGAATGAATTTTGTTATTTAAAGCCAAAAAGGCCAAATGAAACTGGAATCGAAATTTTTGTAATATATCCTTACATTAATTCATTGTATGTTTGCCTTTAGAATTTCATTTTTCTATTTACTATAAAATAAAAATTTTTATTTCCCCACTCGAATCCTTCTTGAAATAAATGAGAGTAACTAAACTTAAATATATCAAATTTTCTTTTTCGATAAAATACATCATTTTATAATTGATTACAGGACAATTTTAATAATGAATTAATGAAACTAGAAAGAGCCGTCGAATCTGAAATTGCCCTCAATAAAGAATTATTGACACAGCTCAATGAGCAACGTAAAAATAAATATTCCGAAAATGATAATGTTGTTGAAAATGAAAAAATTGTGGAACCAACAAAAAAAGAAATACAAAATACAAATGTATTTCGATCAGTGAGTTTAAATATTAGTATTATTATTGAATTTTTAAAATTTCAAAAATTAATTTAATTTTTATTGAAAAATTATATATTTTTTTTTAGGGAATTTCCCTTGGTAAAAAAACATTACCTGATGGCTCACCGATAATAGCGGTTTTAGTATTTTCTTGCAATCGTGTAGGTGTTAAACGATGTCTCGATCAATTAATAAATTTAAGACCAAGTGCCGATCAATTTCCAATAATTGTCTCACAAGATTGTGACGATCAACCAACGGCCGATGTTATTAAAAGTTACAAAGATCAATTGCTTCACATTAGACAACCAGATCAATCGGACATTGAAATTCCCCTAAGGGAAAAGAAATTTAAAGGTTATTTCAAAATTGCCCGTCACTATGGTTGGGCATTGAATCAAGTATTTCTTCTATTTGGATATCAAACAGCAATTGTTGTTGAAGGTAGAAAAAAAAAATTTAATTAAAAATTTGAAATTAAATTAAAAAATTAATTTTTTTTTTTATTTCGTAGATGATCTTGACATTTCGTCAGATTTTTTTGAATATTTTCTGGGCACTTATCCACTATTGGTGAGTGATAAATCATTGTGGTGTGTTTCCGCTTGGAATGATAATGGAAAAGAAACTCTTGTTGATGAACAAGCGCCACATTTACTTTATCGTACTGATTTTTTCCCGGGTCTTGGTTGGATGTTGACACGTGATCTTTGGCTTGAATTGGGCCCCAAATGGCCCCGAGCGTAAGCATAAAATAAAAAAAAAATTAAATTTTTTGATTAGTATTTATATAATAATTTTTCACAGTTATTGGGACGATTGGATTCGTCATCCAGAGCAGAGAAAAAATCGTGCTTGCATTCGACCTGAATTGTCAAGAACAAGAACATTTGGGAAAATAGGTGTTAGCAAGTAAGGAGGGCAAAAAATTAATTTTTAAATTACACTAAATTTTTTTTTTTATGTAATGTATATTTAATTTTTATAAAATTTATCTTCTAGTGGACTTTTCTATGAGAAGCATCTTAAATACATCAAATTAAATCAGAAATTTGTGCCTTTCACAAAAAGGAATTTAACTTATTTGCTAAAAGTGAGTATATTTCTTCACTATTTTTTTTGTTTATTGTTATTGCAAAAAAAATTTTTGAATTTTTTTTTTTGTTTTTAAATAGGACAATTATGATATTAGCTTTGTGAATGAAGTATATCAATCGAGAGTGATAAACAGTTCAGTATTGAAGAGTGGAAAAATTAGTCCACCTGGTCCTGTTAGAATTCGCTATCATAATCCAATAGAATATAAATTGACGGCAAAAAAACTTGGCTTAATGGACGATTTTAAGGTGAGAAAAAAAAAACTATTCTCTTCAAAATTTTAATTTTCAATTTAATTTTAATTTAAAATTTAAAAAAAATTAATTATAAAATTAATTTTAAATCAAAATTTTATGTAAATTTAAAAAAAAAATTAATTTCCAAAATTAATTTTAAATTAAATTTACATTTAAATTTAAAAATTTTATTTTCTTTCTAATAAACAAATTTAGAAAGAAAAATTTCTTTCTTCTCTCTTTTTTTTTTGGAGAAAAAAAATGGGATTTTTTAAAAAATATTTAAAAATTTTTTAGAGCGGTGTTCCGAGGACCGGTTATAGGGGAATAGTGACATTTTTTTATAATAAATTACGAGTATATTTAGCGCCCGGTTACAATTGGAATGGCTACGACATCGCCTGGAGCTAACACATAATTCGTCGTTACGCTCGCGATCTTTAGCATGATTCTATTTTTTTTTTTTCATTATTATTATTGTAAAAATTTTTTTCTTTCCCAAATTAATGCAAAAAAAAGGTGCAAAAAATTTTTTTTTGCTGCATTCAGAGATTTTTTTTTTATTTTGAATTTGTTTCATTTTAATATTTGTTTTGGTTTTTTTTGTCTAAATGAAAAAGGGTAATTTATAATTAATATCGAAGTACAGTTTTAGAAACTAAAAAACCAAAGATAACGTGAAAATCGTGGCAAACTTGACTCATTAAGAAAAAAAAGAAAAAAAAAAATTCAAAATATTTTTTTCTACTTTGTTTTTAATATTTATAATTATTATTTTTAAAAAATAATAATACAATGAGTGCCTGCAACGATCTTTCGATTTCTCATATATATGTAAATAAGCCATTTTTTAGATTAATATAATTATTTTTATTTCCAGTAATTTATTTTTCAAATTTGTATTTAAAAATCATTTTTTAAATTAAAATTTTTTTTTTATTGCAGTTATTTAATAATTTATAGAAATTACAATTTAAAAGTTTGTATTTTTTTTTTTTGCTTCACATTCTTCCGCTTTTTTCTATTTTTCTATTTTTTTTTCACTTAAAAAAAAAAACGCGAGTTTCTGGGACTGTGTAAATAATTATTTGTAAATAATGTAAAACGTAAAATTTATCGTTAAATAGAAATTTAAAAAAAATATATATATATATATTATTAACAATCTCCGTAAAGGTGAGAAAGAATTTATCGATTATCGTTAGAATTGACACTTTTTAAAGAATGAAATAATGCTATTTGTAAAAAAAAAAGCGTTCCTCTATATACATGTATTATAGTAGTGTTTCTTTAAAATTCGTCTTCCTTATAAAAAAAAAAAAAAAAAACTTTTCCATCGCAATATTATATGAAAATTTTCTCTCTGTATTAAAAAGAAAAAAAAAAGGAAACCAAAAATATTCCCTCCGCTAGCTAAATAAAAAATAAAAAAAAAACTGTATATAAAAATTAGCGCAAAAAAATATTTAAAACGCTTTATTTCTGTCCAATTTTTGTGTAGTTTGAAAATTCGTCGATCACAGCTTTACACGTGTATGTGTCGAAGAATGTTGAAAAAAAAATTGATAAATTAAAAAAAAAATACATAAAATACAAATTTGTTTTCTTTTAAAACTCTTTGTTATTATTTAATTTCATTTTTTTTTATAAATTTGTAAATTCTTTTTAAATTAAAAAAAAAATTATAAATTTTTAATTGCATATTCTTCTTCTTTTATTTTTAAAAAAAGTTACTAAATTTTTTTTTGAAAAAATATTAATTACATAAATTCCTGTGCTGGGAGAAAACAAAATTGTAATTTAATTTTAAATTTCCCGCCCTCGTATTTTAAAAAATTAAGGTACAGTTCAACAATGTTTTGGACAAAAATTATGAATGCGCCTTTCAATTATCGAAACGTCGTTTTAATTATAATAGTAAAATCTATGAAGATTTCACTTCCCGACAAAATTTTTTAAATAAAATTTATTGGTTTTTTTTATTTTTTCTTTTATTCGAATTCAAATAGAATAAAAAAATATTCTATTGAAAAAATCAATTTTTTCATTTTGAAAATTTCTTCCAAATCGAGGTGTGAATGCACCATAATTTAGACCATTACTTCCCAACCATGTGCGACAAGAATCTAGTGACAATAATAAAATCTCTATACGCAACCAAATATCAAGAAATCTAGTTAGAAATAGAATTCAATCTAGTAATAATAATAAAATCACTAAATCGAACAATCTAGTAACAAAATTTTTTTGACAATTATTAATACAGTGAGAGAGAGAGAGAGGTTATGTTAGGTTAAACTACAAATTCGTGTCTCTGGATAAAAAATAATAATAAAATTTCGATATTTTATTTATATTAAAAAAAAAAAGAAAACTAGATATAAAAATAATGGTTATAACAGATGCTCATCGTCTTCCAACTAATGAAGAATTAACTGTCGAAGAAGTTAAATTGAGTTATTCAACACTTCATGGTGCTGCATTTCATCTTGGAAAATATTGTGAGCCTCAAAACAATGTAAGTAATTTCTTTTTTTTTTCTATTAAAAAATTTACATTAAAAATTAATTAATAAAATTTTTTAATGATTTTTTAAATTTTTTCGTGAGGTGGTAGGAATTTTTCATCAAAATAGTAATTTTTTTGATTACATAATAATATGTATATCTTTTAAAAGAATCTATATAGCCGACATAACCTAGAAATTTGGACAAAAAAAAAAATTTTTTTTTCGTAAAAAATAGAAAAAAAATTAATCTTTATAGGTTAATTTGTTAATAATAATAATTATTAATAATTATAAGAATAATAACAACAATAATATTTTATTACTGTAATAAATTATTATTATTATTATTATTATTATTATTATTATTATTCACAAATTATTCTATACAAAATCCTACAAAGAATTAATAAAAAAAAAAATTATTAAAAAATTATTTTAAAAAAAAATGTGAAAAAATTTTTTTTAGGAGTTTATGCTATGTCGAGCAGAATATCCAAACGATTGTCGTAAATGTATAGATTATGGAAAGGATGTCACATCCTGTACTTTAGAATTTTTTAGAAAATTAAAGAAATCCTGCCTAGATGAATTTCAACAATATGTGACATGCCTTGAAAGATCGAGCGGCGATTGTTCATTTTCTCCGTAAGTAAAACAAAAAAAAAAAAAAATAAAAAAAATAAATGTCATTTTGCAAGCATAACCGTTTTTAGCTTAGAAATACAATATTTAGCTTAGAAATACAATATTACCCCTTAATTTTAGGTAACATTACCCCAATAATAGTTTTTAGCTTAGAAATACAATATTACCCCTTAAGTTTAGGTAACATTACCCCAATAATAGTTTTTAGCTTAGAAATACAATATTTAGCTCAGAAATACAATATTACCCCTTAATTTTGGGTAACATTACCCCAATAATAGTTTTTAGCTTAGAAATACAATATTACCCCTTAATTTTAGGTAACATTACCCCAATAATAGTTTTTAGCTTAGAAATACAATATTTAGCTTAGAAATACAATATTACCCCTTAATTTTGGGTAATATTACCCCAATAATAGTTTTTAGCTTAGAAATACAATATTTAGCTTAGAAATACAATATTTAACTCAGAAATACAATATTACCCCTTAAGTTTGGGTAACATTACCCCAATAATAGTTTTTAGCTTAGAAATACAATATTACCCCTTAATTTTAGGTAACATTACCCCAATAATAGTATTTGGCTTAGAAATACAATATTTAGCTTAGAAATACTATATTACCCCTTAATTTTAGGTAACATTACCCCAATAATAGTTTTTAGCTTAGAAATACAATATTTAGCTTAGAAATACAATATTTAACTCAGAAATACAATATTACCCCTTAAGTTTGGGTAACATTACCCCAATAATAGTTTTTAGCTTAGAAATACAACATTACCCCTTAATTTTAGGTAACATTATCCCAATAATAGTTTTTAGCTTAGAAATACAATATTTACCTTAGAAATACAATATTACCCCTTAATTTTAGGTAACAGTACCCCAATAATAGTTTTCAGCTTAGAAATACAATATTACCCCTTATTTTTAGGTAACATTACCCCAATAATAGTTTTTAGCTTAGAAATACAATATTTAGCTTAGAAATACAATATTACCCCTTAATTTTAGGTAACATTACCCCAATAATACATATCGATATTGCCCCTTAATTTGACGTGAACCCCAATGTACATGTCAGTATTGCCCCTTAAGTTGATGTAATATTATCCCAATTTAAGGATCAATACTCACATGTACGTTGGGGTTTACCTCAAATGAAGAGGCAATATCGCTATGCAATATTGGGGCAATGTTACCTGACACTAAGAGGCAATATTGACACATGTTGGGGTAATATTACCTAAAATTAAGGGGCAATATTGTAATAATACCTCTTAGTTTGAGGTAAATCGCAACATACATGTCAATATTGCCCCTTAAGTTAAGGTAATATTACTCCCCTAATTTAAGGGGCAATATTGACATATATATTGGGGTAATGTTACCTGAAACTAGAGGGCAATATTACCCCAATATTACATATCAATATTGACCCTTATTTAAAAGGTAATATTGCCCCTTATTTTAAGGTAATATTATCCCTTAGTTTGTGGTAACGCCTTAGTTTGCTAACCCCTTACTTTGTGGTAATATTATCCCTTAATTTGTTTTAATATTACCCCTTTAATTTGTGATAATATTACCCCAATATAACATAGCAATATTGCCCCTTTTAAATTGTGATAATATTCACACGAAAATATTGAAAAATTGATTTTAGATGTCGCAAAACACAAAAGGTATTGGACAATTGTGTTATGGCAAATATGAATATTGAACGTCCTTATATTCAATATTATGTGTCGCCAAAAATTGTCGATAGCAAGAGACCACCGCCACCAAAGGAACCTAAGCTTAAATTTCCCGATGCAACACCAGGTTTATCGGACGATGCACCACAACCAGAATCATCATATCCGTATCGTCGTATGATTTAAATTTCTCTAATTCTGGTTTTTATTAGTCATAGTAATGAAAAACGATTTATTATTATTATTATTATTATTAAATGTGTAAAGAAAATAAAAACAATAAAAATAGACACTAAAAATATATATGCAAAAATGGCATAATTTTTTTCTCAGCTGAAAAATATTTAATAAAATGAAAATTAATTCTAAAATTTTTTCTGTTTAAATTATTTCAAATCGACAATACTAATAACATACTAATAAAGTACTAACAACAGAATTAACACAGAGACTAATAAATAACATATACGTAACGCGTTACTTTTGTTGGATAAAAAAAAGTAACGCGTTATTGTTACCGTTACTGACAAAAATAAAGGGGGAACGTTAACTGTAAAGCGTTACATTTTTAGTAACGGTAACTTTTAAAAATTGTTTTACAATTACCGTCACGAATTTTAGTAACGGTAATTGTAAAAAAGTAACGTTTCTTAATTTCGGTTACTACTTATAGTAACGGTAATACTTTTCGTAACGGTAATTGTAAAAAAAGTAACATTTTATACAATTACCGTTACTACTTTTAGTAATGGTTAATAGTAACGCGGTTACTTGTAATACGATTACTTTTAGTAACGGTTACTAGTAAGTCGATTACTTTTAGTAACGGTTACTAGTAATACGGTTACTTTTAGTAACGGTTACTAGTTATACGGTTACTTTTAGTAACGGTTACTAGTTATACGGTTACTTTTAGTAACGGTTACTTGTTATACGGTTACTTTTAGTAACGGTTACTAGTAATACGGTTACTAGTTATACGGTTACTTTTAGTAACGGTTACTAGTAATACGGTTACTTTTAGTAATGGTTACTAGTAATACGGATACTTTTAGTAACGGTTACTGGTTATACGGTTACTTTTAGTAACGGTTACTAGTAATACGGTTACTAGTAATACGGGTACTTTTAGTAACGGTTACTTTTAGTAACGGTTACTAGTAATACGGTTACTTTTAGTAACGGTTACTAGTAAGTCGATTACTTTTAGTAACGGTTACTAGTAATACGGTTACTTTTAGTAACGGTTACTAGTTATACGGTTACTTTTAGTAACGGTTACTAGTTATACGGTTACTTTTAGTAACGGTTACTAGTTATACGGTTACTTTTAGTAACGGTTACTTGTTATACGGTTACTTTTAGTAACGGTTACTAGTAATACGGTTACTAGTTATACGGTTACTTTTAGTAACGGTTACTAGTAATACGGTTACTTTTAGTACTGGTTACTAGTAATACGGATACTTTTAGTAACGGTTACTGGTTATACGGTTACTTTTAGTAACGGTTACTAGTAATACGGTTACTAGTAATACGGGTACTTTTAGTAACGGTTACTTTTAGTAACGGTTACTAGTAATACGGTTACTTTTAGTAACGGTTACTAGTAAGTCGATTACTTTTAGTAACGGTTACTAGTAATACGGTTACTTTTAGTAACGGTTATTAGTTATACGGTTACTAGTAATACGGTTACTTTTAGTAACGGTTACTAGTTATACGGTTACTTTTAGTAACGGTTACTTGTTATACGGTTACTTTTAGTAACGGTTACTAGTAATACGGTTACTAGTTATACGGTTACTTTTAGTAACGGTTACTAGTAATACGGTTACTAGTTATACGGTTACTTTTAGTAACGGTTACTAGTAATACGGTTACTTTTAGTAACGGTTATTAGTTATACGGTTACTAGTAATACGGTTACTTTTAGTAACGGTTACTAGTTATACGGTTACTTTTAGTAACGGTTACTTGTTATACGGTTACTTTTAGTAACGGTTACTAGTTATACGGTTACTTTTAGTAACGGTTACTAGTAATACGGTTACTAGTTATACGGTTACTTTTAGTAACGGTTACTAGTAATACGGTTACTTTTAGTAACGGTTACTAGTAATACGGTTACTAGTAATACGGTTACTAGTAATACGGTTACTTGTAATACGGTTACTAGTAATACGGTTACTTTTAGTAACGGTTAGTAGTTATACGGTTACTTTTAGTAACGATTACTAGTTATACGGTTACTTTTAGTAACGGTTACTAGTAATACCGTTACTTTAAGTCATGGTTACTACTTTTAATAACGGTATTTTTAAAAAAGTAACATTTTTTAATTACAGTTACTACTTTTAGTAACGGTAATTATAAAAAAAGTAACGTTTTACAATTACCATTACTACTTTAATAACGGTAATTGTAAGGCGTTACTTTTTTTACTAATGGTAACTGTAAGACGTTACTTTAAAAAAAAAGTAACGCAAAATACCTACCGTTACGTGAATAAAGTAACGGATTTATAAATATAGAAAAAAGGAAATATATAATAAATAAATACACATTTATTTATAGTTTTAAAATTTAATACTATTTTTGCTGCTTTGAATTATAATTAACCACTATAAATACCTAATGATTTTTTGTTTTTTTTTTTTACAATAAAAACCTCTAATCACAAAAACAAAGTCGTAAAAATTCTCGTCGTGAAACTGCACAGTCTTTTTTTTTGTAATTTAAATAAAATTAAAAATTTCTACAATCAAATAAATTTCTATATATATATATACAATTATAAATTAATTTCTCATGAAAAATTTTCTTTTAACGACAATATTTTGTTTTTAAATTTATTTAAAAAAAAAAAAATTTGAAAAGTTGAAAAAAATTCCAAATTTTAAATATGGAATGGCTGTAAGAATTTTTTTTTTAATTTTAATTTGTTCTCAGTTGATAGTCACCATTTTGTGTAATATAACGTACCCAGGGTAATGCTTGATAACCGCTTTTTTCAATAATTTTCAAATATCTAACTTGAATACCTGATGTTGTAAAATATGGTATTTCAAATTTCACTTGTATTGGTGGTTTACCCTCAACATCTTCACTGACAACCGATGGTAAACCAAAGTGTGCTCTCATTAAAAATTCCTTACCACCCGGAAATGATTTAATTGTCCATGTTATTGCACTTTGTTCAGGTGAATATTTAACATTACCAATTGTTGTTTTAAATTTTGGTGAATCAGCATCATTTGGCACTGGTATAACAATTTCCACATTATTAGCAGTTGAACGTCTTTTAAATTGTGAACGTGCTTTTATCATATATTCAACGCGACTATGTGCATGTCTTTCAATTAATGATTCAATCCAAATTAATGGTTTCACATGGGTATTTAAACGATATGACATTAATTCAAAATCACCATCAGGCGGTATAAATGATATTGTTCGATCATTTTCAAATCTTGATAAACGTACACATTGATGAAATTTAACATCTTCAAGTTCAACTGATTTTGATTTACCACGTCCTGTTGATTCAAATAATACTTTATCATTTAATCCCAAACGTAATTCAGGCATACCAGATAGATAGACACGCATTTTAATTGCACCAACAATTTCTGAACTTAATACATTTCCATTTGCATTTGCTAATAAATTCACTGATTCAATTACATCTAAAAATACTTCATTTTTACGATATTTTATACCCTCAGAACGCCATGATACTGCATTTGTAACTGCCATTGGTATACGTGGTTGTATCTCTAATTTATGTCCCTCTTGTGTTATATATTCCTGAAGTATTTTACTATCTGTTGTTTGTGGATAACCAAAATCAAGTAATTCATCAAGTAATTCATAAATAACTATAAAATTATCCCTAATACTTTCCTCTTCTAATTCTTTAAAATATTCACTCATTACTTGTACTATTTTATGTAAAAATACAAATACCAATGATATGTTGGCATTTTTTTTTGTTGTCGATACAATATAAAGATTATTGTATTTTATATAGGAATATGTGCAATCATCTGTTTGTATTATTGGCGTTAAATTACCCTCTTCTTCACGTTCCAATACCAATGGCATAAATTTATCAATTAAACCCGATTCAATGTCACCGCGATAATTTCTTGAAATAAGAACTTTTCCCTTTACATCGAGAATATTTATTGCCGAAGTGGACATCTCGGCATTATTGTTTATCTAGAGATGGGCAGAAAAACAAAATTTTTCTTAGAATTTATTTTGTTGTAAAAAATTATATATAAGTAATAGGGATCAATTGCGGGGTAAATGGGGACAAGAGATTTTAGAGCTTAATTTACAGTTTTAAAATTAACTTCAACGTCAATATTTTAACCTCAGATCACTTGCAAGAGGTTTAGAGTATTGACAAGCTTTTATCTTGACAATTCGCAGCAAGATAAAAAAAAGTTATCGCTCAATGCATAAAAACTTGAAAATCAAAGTCAGTTTCAGTATTTTGTCTCGCATTTCAAAGAATACAGACTTAAAAATCATATCAATTTTTTTTTCTTATTCCTTATGACTTCTATAAAAGAAATTCACTTGAATTTTTGATTTTTGTCAATTTGGTTAATAATAACAAGCTGTCTCCATTTACCATGAGTTTTCAAAATTTTTGCGGTAAATGGGGACAGCTTGTAATTATTAATCAGATTTAACAAAAATCAAAAATTCAAGTGAATTTCTGTTATGGGAGTCATAAGGAATAAGAAAAAAATTTGGTATGAATTTTAAGTCTGTTTTCTTTGAAATGCGAGACAAAATACTGAAATAAAAAAAAAAATAAAAAAATTTCAATTAGTTCAACTATTATATATATCTACTAAAAAAAAAATTTCAAGTTTTTTCATCCCTTAATACAGTAATATACTTAAGGAAACTTTTTTCTTAAAACTTTCTTAGAAACTATACTGTCCCCATTTATCTCGAATTTTATGAAATTTTCTAAATTTTTGGGGTAAATGGGGACACAGTCAGTTTCATGCGTTTAATGCTTATCTAAATTTTTTTCTACTGCATAAAATTAATCCTGGGAATGTAAATTACAACTTAAAAAAAAAAAAATAAACCAGCAAATATTATCTTTTAAAGGAAGAAACTTACTTAATTTGAGAAAAATAGCAATTTTGTCCCCATTTCCCCAACTGATACTATATATTTTACAATATAAAATAAATGTTAAAATTTTTAAGTTAAAAACAATTAATTTGAATGACATTTAAAATTCGGTACAATATTATAGGTTCCTAATCGAAAATTTGCAAAAAACAACAATAAATAATAAAAAAAAAAAAAATTAAAAAATTGAACAAAATTGTTTTTGAGTAACTTTTTAAAAGGAGAGTATTTTTATAGGTATATATCCAAAAATTCGAAAAAAAAATTACTTAAAATTGCAAAATAACCCATTTTTGGGTTAAAATTGCTTAAAATTGCAAAATAACCCTTTTTCGGGTTAAAATTATAAAAACATGTTAACCAATAATTTGCAAAACAACAGGAAATAATAAATAAACAATTAAAAAAAAAGGTAAGGGTAAGTCCACACCAGAAATATCAGAATCTGCAAGTGGTTCTTCGATTTTAATGATGCTTGGTAAAATTATAGCTTTATATAAGAGCAATGTGTGAGTAAAAGGAATTTTTAAAATATCTAAAATTGTAGGAGTTTAACTTTTAATTTTGATACTGCATTTCTTTCTTTCCTTTATATCTCGGTCAATTTTCAACCAATTTTGATGAATCAAAAACGATTGTTTTCAGAAAATTACGTATTTTCAGAAAATTTTAAAATAAAAATAAAATTTTCTTATTTAAATAGAAAAAAGTAAAAAACAAAATTTCTTTTAGATTTTTTTTCAATTTCGACCTCTTTTTTTTAATTTTTAATTTTTTAATAATATTCCTTTTTATTTTATCTTTAATTTAAAAAAAATTCATCCTGGAGACTTTTTTAGATCTCGCGATATCGTTCTTTAAATATCCACATCTCAAGAAAACTAGGATCCAGATTTGTGTTTCTACTTTCATTTGTTTTATAATATTACTGTTACAAACTAGAAACTTTCGCGTAATAATGTTTTTATTTTTAAATTACTTGACTAAAACAAGTGAAAATTCAAGCAAATCAATATTTTACTAATAGATTTGAAGCAAAGTTTTTATTTTTTGCAATATTTATAATTTAAAATAACACAGAAAATTAAAAGGCATTAAAATAAGCTGCAATGCTTCTTATTTTAATCTAATTTTACTTATTTTAATCCATTTTCGTATTAAAATAAGCAAAATTGGATTAAAATAATGAGCGTTGCAGCTTATTTTAATGCCTTTTAATTTTCTGTGAAATTGTAATGAAACCTTAACAATGCAACCTGAAATTGTAGCTGAAGTTTTTAGCGCTTTTTTTAGAGGATTCTAAAACAAATAGTTATTCATAATCATAAAAAATTTCAACAAACAAATGAAAGTAATGATAGAAGCAAGTCCTACGGTTTTCAAATTGATGAAGACTTATAATACTTAAAGAACGATATCACGAGATCTAAAAAAAGTCTCCAGGATGAATTTTTTTTTTAAATTAAAGATAAAATAAAAAGGAATATTATTAAAAAATTAAAAATTTAAAAAAAGAGGTCGAAATTGAAAAAAAATCTAAAAGAAATTTTGTTTTTTACTAATTAGAAGGTTTCGTATGAATAAAACGATAACATTCGGACCATTGTTGTTTTAATAAAGGTTTACTCCAACGTTTCGAAATCTAAATGATTTTTTCTATTTAAATAAGAAAATTTTATTTTTATTTTAAAATTTTCCGAAAATACGTAATTTTCTGAAAAAAATCGTTTTTGATTCATCAAAATCGATTGAAAATTGACCGAGATATAAAGGAATGAAAAAAATGCAGTATCAAAATTAAAAGTGATATAACTCGTAAAATTTTAGATATTTTAAAAATTCCTTTTACTTACATATTGCTCTTATATAAAGCTATAATTTTACCAAGTATCATTAAAATCGAAGAACCACTTGCAGATTCTGATATTTCTGACGTGGAACTTACCCGTAAAAAATATTTAAAAAATTGAAAAAAAAATTGTTTTTGAGTAACTTTTTAAAAACAGAATATTTTTATAGATACATATCCAAAAATTCGAAAAAAAAAATTATTTAAAATTGCAAAATAACCCCTTTTTTTAGGGTCGCTATTGGAAATTTGTTAACTTAATATAATAGAAGATGTTTAAGTTTAAAGAAAGAAATGATAAAATTTTTAAGTTAAAAACAATTGATTTCAATGACATTAAAAAATTAGGTGTACAATATTATTATTATAGGTAAAAAATATTAAAAAATTGTTTTTGAGTAACTTTTTAAAAGCAGAGTATTTTTATAGGTATATATATATATCCAAAAATTCGAAAAAAATTGCTTAAAATTGCAAAATAACCCTTTTTTTAGGCTTATAAATGTAAAATCAGTTTTCGAATAAACATTCAAGAAAAAAAAGTAAAAATTAAGATTTCATTTTGTAAAAAAAAGTTAAATTTTTTTGAAAAGTAAATGAAAAATGAATTTTAGAGCATTTTTCATTATATATATATAAATTAGAATTTGTAAATTGAATTATATAAAACTTTTTATTGAAATTGATGTCAAAATAAAATATCTAGGTCTTCCCCCTTCCATTTTCTAATGAAAAGAGAATTTTGAGGTTATGTTCTAAAATGGCTCTCTAAGGCAAGAAAGTTAATTCGGGTTAAATTTTTTTTTTTTTTTGTAAAAATTCGATAAATTAAGAACCGTTAGGAAAAATAACAAATATAAACTTCTGTATTCAAATTAAGAAAAATGGTATTAAAAATAGAAATAAATTTTTTTTTTTTCATTAAATTTAAAAGAGGAAAAATAGAAAAAAGTATTAAAATTTTTATCACTTACAGCAACTTTGGATGATAATAACTTTAGAAGTAATTCGTATTTTTAATTAATTTATAAAAATTATTTTTTTTTTTTTAGAATACTTTTCTTTATTTATCATCGAAAATGACAGTGTGGCATTATAGTTAAGAAACAACAGGTGAGGCATTAGAGAGTTGTCATTTGTCAATGATTCTCACACCAATGCGCAACTCTTTTTTGCGTTTACGCCAACTTAAGTTCTCTTATTGGTCGAAAAAGGCGCGCTTATTTAAAACCTTTTAAATCCAATAAAACGTAAATATAAAGAAAAAGGTAAAAAAAGAAAAAGAGCAATTTTAATTCGTGTAAAAATCGTTGATTCTTTTATCGTTAAATTAAAATTTTTTTGCAATATAAATTTATAAACATTATTTTTACATAAAATATATATTACTCGTCGTTTGCCTTTTGAAGTAAATTATAAGCTGCGTAAGATGCTCTTAAAATCTGTTAAAAATTTTTTATTAATAAAAAAATAATTATTTTAAAAAATAATTTTGAAAAACTATTTAAAAATTACTTTGAAAAATGTTTCATAATTCATTGGTATAATTGAACCACTTGTTATAATTATTGGATTACTAGCGCGTACACCAATTAAAAGAAGTCCTTGTTTTGTGTTTTTTGTTAAATCTGTCCAATCCATCATACTTATAACATTTGATAATTTCAAACTCTGCGATTTATTGAAAAATTTAAATTCAAAATCAAATTATTACTATTTAAATGCAAAAATTTAAAACTTACTTTTAACATAACTTCATTTCCAAAATGACAGTAAAGAAATATTTGAAATAAAAAACCAGCTAGTTCCATAATTTGAATAAAAAATCTATCGTTAATTTCCCTTTTGTTTGATAAACTGAATACGAGTGTACAAATATTGACAATTGATACAAAAAATTGAATACCAAATACAATGCTAAAAATATCTTTTAATTTACTACTAAACCTGTAATTTAAATATTTTTATTTCCGCTTTATTTTTTTTTTTTTGTTTCCATTGTTCCCACTCGCAAAAATCCCTATTTGCAATTTGTCATAATTCTCGTCAGCTACCGCAACCTGCTTTAGTAAAAATTTAGTAACTTTTAATTTTTGAAAATAAAGTCACTAGATTTTTACTAGAGCAGGGTGCGATAGTTGACGAAAATTTTTTGACGAGTGGGAATTTATGTCATAAATAAAAAAAAAAAAAAATCCCACATATAGACGTAATTATGATGAAGAATACAATTTTTGATAATTTTCATTTCTTCTGTTTCATTAAAAATAATTGATTTTATATTATTTCTATATAAATATGATAAATTTTGTAGACGATAATATAATAAATCGAGTTGAGAACAAATTTGAATTAACATTGTCATTACAAATGTTGCGCATGCTAAGCTAATAAGAGCAGAAAAATGAATGAATGCCGATTGAAAAATGTATGTTAAACAAAATGCTAATTTTTGATTATAATCATAGGGAAATGATGCTTTTAATGGTAGATTAATAGAATTTTTTCCCTTTGCCAATCCTTCAAATATTAATATTAAAGTTGTGACATAACCTGTTATAAAATAATATTTTGTGTTCCTTCTGTAAAATTATAAGTAGGTTATTGTAAACACAGCTTAAATTATATATTTTGGTTTCCATTGTCCCCCCCCCCACTAGCCATTTCGTCAACTATCGCACCCTGGTCTAGTAAAAATTTACTAACTTTATAGTAACTTAATTTTGAACAATAAAGTTACTATATTTTTACTAGATCAGGGTGCGGTAGTTGGGTACAATGGAAACCAATCGAAAATTTAATTTCTAGTTATAAGGCTTTTCCCAAAAAGTTACTAGAAAATAAACTATATTTTCCCTAGATTTCATGAAAATGCTTCTAAATTCGCTAGATATTGTAAACGTGCCCTAAAAAGTGAAAAAAAAAATTTTCACTATATAATACTAACCTAGCAGTAAAATCACATTTATCTTGCATAATTTTCTCTTCATTGTCACGTGTATTTAAACAATCTTCATTTAAAATATTTATTAATTTTATAATATCTTCACGTCGTATTAAAAAATTTATCATTATAACACAAATAACAAAAAATGCAAGTGACCAACATAAAGATTCAGCTAAATCGTCAATATTATTTAATGAATAACAAAAAGGAAGATACATGAATAATGAAATATTAGAAAAATATAAAAGAATAATCACAAAAGCTGAGAAAATATAATACAATGTCTTTGTTATGAATGATGAGCAAATTTTTGGTCTATAAGCACCGGCAATTGTAAGAAGCTTTATTGAAAACTCGGCTTTATACATTTTTTTTTCAATTCCCCTCTCTATGTGAATTATTTTTTTTATGGTCAAAAAAAAAGTTATTAAAATTTAGTAATTTTTCATTTAATTTTCTATAATTAAAAATAAAAAAAAAATTATATTTTAGAATAGAAAAATTTTCAATTAGAAATTATTTGTTAGAAAAAAATTTTATAGACTAAATTTGCTGAGAAGTGTATATGAAAACCGCGTCTCTATTATTTCATATTCACCCTATGTTATAAAATTTTTAAGTGAATAATATGACATATGTTACATTGGAAATGAATGTAATTTCATATATATATAAAGTCGCGTTTTCAATGTTTTGCATATCTAAGCTATAATTATTTATTTATATTCCCGTGGCGTAGTTAAAAGTCATATATATATATTATAGTCGTATATTTTCAACCCTTCATTGAATTCATTATAAATTCATATTGTATCTCCCTCTTTTCACATATCGGTAAATTGTCAAGATATTTCTATTTTATAAAATTTCAATAATTTCATCCCTTTGCAAATTGCAATGAATTCATTTTACACATTCGTGTAATTTTATTTAAAGTGAAATGATTTTGAAGTAAAAATTGTATAAGCTGCGCATAAGATGTTCTTAAAAATCTATTTACATCGTGTTCGAAAAAAAAAATTTTATTTTAAAATTTTTAAAATTTTAAAAGTAAATTAAAAATAAAATTCTAGAAAAAAAAATTAAAAATTATTTTTTTGCATCTGGTATTTTGGATTTTCAAAAACTGTTATCAAATTCGTAATCAGCGAACCCCAAAAAGCGCCCGAGTAACGAGATTCAAGTGAATTCGATATTTTTTTTAAAAAAAAAAAAGGTCGGACATTTTGAATCCGCCATTTTGGATTTTCAAAAATTGACATCGAATTCGTAATCAGCGACTCCGTAACGAGTTTTAAGAAAGTTTATTTAGTTCTTTTGGTTTATAACTCATTTTTGAATTTTTTTTTCGCTTTTAACACACTATTTTTTAAATTTAAACCTCAATTTTTAAAAAATCTATCCATTTTTTTGGAATTTTGCCATTTACATTTTTTGTTCAGGAGGTCAAAAACTAAAAAATTACAAAGTTGTAGAAAATTGGACTTACCATTTAAATATGGTGCGGGGTTTTTGCAAATTAAATAAATAAAAAATTCGTCAAGTACGAGTTACATTCGCTTACCTAGGATTCCGTTCACGATTATTTAAATTTAAATATTTAAATATAATATTTTAAAAGGAGTTGGCTATATTTTACGTGAAATTTCCAACATGAAATTAATAATATGTGTACCATAAGTTGCAGCTTTTTAGCTCCAAAACTGGTAAAAATTTAAATAGTTTAACGTCCGAGAAATATATTAATTAGAAGGTTTCGTATGAATAAAACGATAACATTCGGACCATTGTTGTTTTAATAAAGGTTTACTCCAACGTTTCGAAATCTAAATGATTTTCTCTTCAGGGAGTCAAATAAGAAACATATGTCAAGTCATAGAAATAATGGTCAATTGCGGTGTCAAAATTAATGCGCGGAAGGATACGTTTTTTTCGAAATTTCGAGTTTTTGTACTATAACTATATTAAATTCAATTCCAATCGGGTTCGCTATAATTTTCCTTTAATCTACTTGCAAAAATACGTATGTATACCAAATTTGAGCTTCAAAACTGTAAAAGTTAAGGGGGGGGGACACTTTTTAATGAAAATTCGGCTTTATACATTTTTTTTTGTTAATTTTCCTCACACGTAAAAATTTGAATGAAATTTTTTTTTCATTCTATTCAAAAATAATTGCAATATTTTATTTTTTTTTAAATTTCTAATAGTTAATTTACAAAAAAAAATTAATAATAGTTATTTCAGAGATAAAATTTAGCATTAAATTCCGTCGAAATCCCATCGGAGTTCCAAAGAATTTCCGATAGGATTCCGACGGAGTTTCGACCTCCAGGGGGCACTTTCCGGGGAATCTTTCCAAGTGGGAAATTATTAAAACTACTATTATTATATTATTATTATTATTATTATTATTATTATTAAATAATTATAATAAATAATAATAATAATAATAATTATAATAATAATAATAATTATAATAATAATAAAATTTTGAGGCACATAAATCAAATACACTTGCAAAATAGAATACTTTTTAATTTTTCACAATTTACATAATAATTAAACATAATTTATGTTTTTTTTTTTTTAATACAAAAATAATGTCGATTTTCTTATTATAATAATAATTTATCGTACTTTTTTTTTCTTAATATTTATACAGTGCGAAAAATTATTCAAAAATTTGCAATCAAAAAATAAAATTATTATCTATAAAAATTTATGAAATAAACTAAAGTCACAAAAAATAAAATGCCAAAATATTTTGTATATAATCAACTATAAAAAAAAACTATTTATCTAAATCACAAGTACTGACGTTCGTAAATGTGATCAGTAAAGAAAAAGATATATAATTCTATATAAAATATAAAAAATAGTACTTAATTTGGAAACTTGTACACTTATTTTTCTTACGGCCGCTCCACACAAAATGTGGAGAAAACTAAAAAATAAACTCTCTAAAAAAATATTTAAAAAAAAAAATAAAATTTCTCATTTACTTGAACATTTACCGAGTCTTTCAATCATTTTCTTCGAATGTTCAACAAGATCATTTTGTAATTTAAATTTCTTTTCACAAACAGTACAATTATAGATGCCCTTTAATTGTTTATGTAATTTTAAATGACGATTAAATGTTATTTTAGCACGAAAATCTAATTTACAAATATCACATTTTCTTACATTTGATAAATGTTTTGAATAATGAATTGTCAATGATGCTTTATATCTAAATGAAAATTGACATAATAAACAATTAAATGGCATTTTACCAGTATGTTTACGATAATGCATTTTAAGTAGTCTTTCCTTTTCATAGCCCTTATGACATTTTTTACATTTATATGGATAATTACCAGTATGCATATACATGTGACATGTAAGATCACCTTTAATTGCATATTTTTTATCACAAATATTACAATGAAATGGTTTTTCACCAGTATGAGTGCGTATATGATTAATTAATGCCGATGGCTTTTTAAATTCCCATTGACAATAGGGACATAAATTTTTTTCTTTTGGAAAATGTATTCTTAAATGACGTCTCAATGAAAATTTACCAGTAAACATTTCATTGCATTCGTTGCAGGTCAATTTTTTTTTATGCGATTTCATGTGTACTTGTAATGTTTTTTCGTCTCTCAGCTTTTTATCGCATACCTTGAAAAAAAAAATTAATTTTGTTTTTTTTTTTTTTTTTTTTTTACATTTTGTGCCTATAAGTATAGGGTAAATGTACTAATTACTGCGCGATTATTTTACAATTTATCGAATCTGATCATATTTTTAAAACTTTTCATAAAATAAATAATAATTTATTCTAACTAATAATAATGAGTTGTTTTAAAAAATTAATTTAATTTAATATTCACTAAACTTATTTAAAAAATGAAAATTTGTCAAGTGACGTGAAAAATAACAATTACTTTACGTTTTACCAAATCCGATCAATAAAAATCGCGATTTCCAGAGTTTATTAAAATTTGTTCCACTTTTGCATATATCACCAATCGAAAGGGCGATTAGTAATTGTATAAAAAAAAATTAAAATAATTTCTTTTAATAATTTTGTAATTTTGTTTTGTTTTGTTTTGTTATTTTTTTATAAACGCGCCGTAATTGGTACACTTACCCTAGATAATTATCAAGAACCATTTACTATATATATAATGGGGGAAAAGTTGACAAAAATTTTTAAAAATAACTAAAGTGTTCCATAGAAAGATATTGAAATCTTCATAATGTATAATCTTAAAAAAAAAATTCAAATCAATAATCTATTTATTTGTATACTAAAGAAAAAATTTATTTATAAACTAGTGACACTTACTGCATGACTTATTTCCCCCCTTGTCCCAAAATTTATAAGCAAGAATTATCATATTACAGAATTTCATTTTTTATATATTTTTTTCGAATATTGTTAGAATATTATTGTATTTTATAATAATTTTGAGTTGTTTTAATTATGAATTGAAGAAAAAATTATTTAAAAGAATTATTATATTTTACTAGATAAATAATAATTAATAATTTTTACTTTGCTGAATGCTAAAATTGTAGAAATTTAAATTTTTAAAATGTTTATTAATATTTTTGAAAGTAAAATAAAAGGCTTTTTTTTTATTAATAGAATTTTTTTCAGTATAGATTTTTTAAATACTTCTTTATTTATTAGAATTGTAATTTATTATTTTATGTAATTATTGACATTTTTATTTTACGATATCTTTCTATAATTAATTTTTTATGAATTTTGAATTAACGATTAATATTTTGAAATTTTTCTTCTATTTATTTGTCAATGATTAAATTTTTTTTTGTTGAATAATTATTTTACGCAAATTTTATAACTTTTTAATTTTTATATTATTAAATTTTTATTTATTTAAATTAATTTTATAATTATTTTTTGTTGTATTTGATGATTATTATAATATTTAATATTAATAAATTAAAATTTTAATATTTATTTATTTTTATTTTACTTTATTTTTTTATGTAAGATAAAATTAGTTTTAATGATAATAATGATAATTTTAATGATATTTTTTTAATTTTTTAATAATAATTTAATATTTCTTAATGTTTATTTTTCATCATATTTTTATAAGCCCTATTTTTTTTTAAATAAACAAATGTAGTTAAGAATTGAAATCTGTGAATACAGAATTTTCATATTTCCGAAATTTCGCTGTAAAAAATAATTTTCTTTTCAAAAATAATTGATTTAGAATTTTTCGAATTTTTTTTTTCTTCAAAAATCAATAAAAATTATCAAAAATGATTATAAAAAAAAAAATTCAGTGCTATATTTTTCTTTAATATTGTGATTAAATATAAGGCATATGTGAAAAATATATTTCTCACCCCCCCCCCCCCCCCCTTCCCCCAAGTGAAAATGATTTGTACGAGTGTTATCTATAGATATCTTCTCTCTCTCTTTCTATTATTTCCAGAAATTCAATTTATCTAGTTTTAAATTTATTTCTCGATATTATTTTATATTTAATATTTCTTAATTTTTTTCTAATAATTTTCTAATAATTTTATAATTAAATTTTTGACTATTGAAATACCATTTCAAATGCATGTAGGGAAATAGTTTTTTTTTTTTTTTTTTTTTTTTTTTCACCTGAAAAATAGAATTAAAAATAAAAAAATAACAAACCTGACAAGGAAATGGTCGTTCTCCAGTATGCATTCTCAAATGTATCTCCAAAATTGACTTAGAGGGAAATTTTTTATCACAATAATTACATTGATAAATTCCAACAAATGTATGAGTTAATTTAACATGTCGATCAAGTGCACTACGATAATTATAACAATTCTCACAATATGAACATTTAAATTCCTTAAGATTTTCATGTGATTTAAGATGATGTTGCATATCAATTTGTCTTGTAAATAATTTTTTACAATCCTTATATATACATGCAACTGTTTTTTCTTTATTATTATGTGTTTGCATATGATATTGATAAGAATGTTTGTGTGCCAATATTTTTTTACATATTTTACATTGCATTCTTTTAGTGCCCAAATGTATTCTTATATGTGCGGCAATATCTTTTTTTGATCTAAATGTATGTTTACAAATATCACATATAAATTTACGTTCTTTTAAATGTGATAATTGATGTGATTTTAAATTACGTTCTACCACATAACTTTTATTACATTTTTTACATTTAAATGGACGTTCATTGCGATGTGATTTTTCATGTTCCTGTAAATATGATTTACTTGCAATTTTTTTATCACAATATGAACATTTAAAACGTTTTTCTTCATGTGTTAATAAATGTCGTTCATATTGTCTTGGACCTATTGATGATTTTGGACATTTTGGACATTTTAATCTTCCTGATGGGGTTTTTTCAATTACTTTTGGTTCAGCATTTACATTACTATTTTCACTATCATTATCAGTATCATTATCTTCATTATAATCATAATCTTTATCATTATCATTATCATCATCATCATTATCGTTACCATTTTTTTTACCATCAGAAGATAAGGTAGAAAGTTTCTTTAACGGCGAGACGGGAAAATATTTCGTTAATAAATTATTTCTCGTTGGAATTTGATTTTGCAATTTTTTTATTGTCAAAGAGGAATGTTTCTTCATTGGGGAAATTTTTTTTGTAGATGATAATTTTTTTGTTAAATTATCCGAAAGAAATGTATCAAATGACGAGATATTAATTGTTTGCGATAAATTATTATTATTATTATTCGAAGGAGATATTTTCATTGAAGTTAAATCTTTCATTATATCCGTTAACGAAACACGAAGTTGTTTTTCCAATAAATTCAAATTATTTTTATTCTTCTCTAATTTTTCTCCTTTCTTTTTTAATTCAATTTTTTTTTCAAAATTTATATTCAAATTTTTCACTTCTTTTATTTTTTTTCTATTAAAATTTTTCTCTTTTTTTTCTCTTTTTTCAATGAATTTTTCTGATTCCACTTTTTCTTCATTAGTTTTTTTTTTCAATTCGATTTTAGGGGAATTTTCCAATTTTTCATCTTTCTTTATTGTCGGCGGTGGTGTATTTTTTTCCCCCATTTCAATGGAGGACAAATTTTGCGTGTCAATTGTTAAACGTTCGAGAACAATTTTAACTTCACGAAAATTAATTTTTTTTTGTGCAAATGGATTTCTCACCCATTTACGAATACTTTGTTGTTGTAATAAGTCTTTTTTACGTTTTGTACGCGCTTTTAATTTTTTTAAAGGGGATTCATTTTTATTTTTTAAATTATAACGTTCGAGATTTATAAATGGTTGAAATGATGTTTCATTGGAATTTTCCGGTGACTTTTCAAGATTTTCTTTTAATTGAAAATTATTTTCTTTATTCGATTCATTTTTTGTTGTTGGGGAATTTTTATTTTTATTATTTGTTTTTGGTTTTTCTTGTAAATTTTTATCTATGAATGGAATTTGATTTTGTGGGATTTTTTTTGGTATTTGATTTTCATGAATTGTTAATTCGTCATTATTTGGGAAAATTTCATTTTCATTTGTAGAAGTTTCATTGTTTTTTTCGAAAATTTGATTTTCTTTGGCACATTCATTTATTTCAGTAATTTCATTTTCTTGGGAAATTTTTGTTTCTTTGGAAATTTCATTTTTCTCTTTATTTGGTGATGAAATTTTATTATTTTTCAAATTATTGAAAAATTTGTTTTTTGTTGATGATAATTTTTCCATTGACACACGTCGACGATTAATGGATTGTGAGATTTTTTTCTCTAAATTGGAATTTTCTCCTTTTTTCAAAGAATCATTATTGTCGTCGATAATTTTTGATTGCAATGAATTGTCAATCGTTAAATTCATTAACAATGGTTTATCTTCATCTTCTTCAAATGATATTTCCATTGCTGAATGAATTTGTTGCGATGTAATTTCCTCTCTTTCGCTTTCGTTTAATTCCTCTTTTATTTCATCCGATGTTTCCAACTCGAAATCTGAGGAAAAATGATTTGTTTTGTTATCAATGAATGTTAAAAAAAAATTAATTACATTTATTGAATGTAAAATAAAGAATTAGTTTTTAATAAATAAAAAAAAAATTTACTTTGAGCTTCTTCACAATCTGTGTCCTCATTTTCTGTATCTTCTTCTTTGATACTTTCGTAATCGGTTTCAAAATCGGATGTAAAATGTTGTTCAATTTCATTGTTTACAGTTTGTGGCTGGGGAAAATAATTAATTTTTAATTATAAATATAAATTTTGAATTTTAAAATAAATACTTAAATTTTTACGTAAATTTTATGTAAATAAATTTTTAATTACGAATATAAGAAAGAAAATGAAAAATTCTCTTCTAAAAAAAAAAATATTTACCTTAATTTCAATTTTGTATTTAAATAAAGGTCCAATTGAGATGACATCGTCATTTTTTAAATGAACCGTCGAACCATTTGTATGTTTTGTCCCATTAACAATAACACCCGCCCAACTCTGTCGAAATAAATATTATTTTTTTGAAAAATTAATTTGAATTGTAAAATGACAAAAGGGGAAAAGCGCTAATTTTTTCGAAATCGAGACCATAGAAACAGCTATATCGAAATATAATAATTAATTTTTTTTTTTATGAATTTAAATTTACAATTAATATTTTGAAATTTTTGTTCTATTTATTTGACGATAATTAAATTGAAGAAAAAATTATTTAAAAGAAATATATTTTACTAGATAAATAATAATTAATAATTTTTACTTTGCTGAATGCTAAAATTGTAGAAGTTAAAATTTTTTAAATGTTTATTAATAATATTTTTGTGAAAGTAAAATAAAATTATTTAAAAAATAAATTAAAATTTAAAAAATTATTTTTCGATATCTTTCTATAATATTTTTTTTTATGAATTTGTATTGAATTACTCTCATTTTTTCTCTTTCGATCTTCTCTCTTAACATATAACCTGGGCAATTCCAACTAACACCCATAACCCATCTTAAATATTTCTCATGCATATTTTCCACTTTTTCCATTTCCATCCATCCCCATAATTTCACACCATAACTCAACATCGACCATAGTAACATATCATACAATCACAGTCTCTTTTTCCAATCATTCTTAAACCTTCTTTTCCCAATTCCCCAATGTTTAAATTTTTTATCATTTTCGTATGAAAATCGTTTGAAAATCGTTGTTAAATTCTTATAAGAATTCATGAATAGTTTGATAATGTAATGAAGACTTTCTGAAATTTTCAGCTTGGCGTTATTTTTTGTTTTCGAAATAAAATGAATAATAATTTTAAGTCTTTTTTCTTTTCTTCATCAGAAAAAAAAAATTTACCTCCAATACTTCAACAAAGAAACCATTTGAATTGTGATGAAAAATACAATGATGATTTGATACTGTTGGTGCAAATAGGACAACATCATTTTTTGACATTCGTCCAAATGAATACTGAAAAGAAAATTTTTTTATTAATTTTAATTTATCTAATAGTAATTTTTTTTTTTTTTTACTTCTTAACTCACCGATTTTTGCTGATTTAAAAATAAAACTTCATTTGCAAAATTACCATCAGCAGTTAAACGTTTTAATGTCACCTCCATGGTGAATTTTCTAAAAATAGAATTTAAAATTGATTAATTAATTTTAAATTTTAATTAAGAAAACTTTTGAAAAATTCTAGAAAAATTGAAAACTTTTTTATTCGATTTTTTCAAAATTAATCCTTATTTTTTTCCACCTTTTAATTTTTTTTTTTTTTTTTTTCATTGAAAAGCTGATATTTTTTTTTTTTTTGCAAAAAACTGTATAAGTATTAAATGGGACAAGAATAAATTTACGAGAAATTAAAAAAAAAATAATTTTTTTTTCACATTTTTTTCGTAAATCTATTGTTGTTTTATTTTTATATTTATTTTGTTAATTGAAAAAAAAATTTCAGCTTTTCAATGAAAATGAAAAAAAAATTAAAGGGGGAAAAAATTAGAATTAATTTTGAAAAAATGGTGTTAAAATTAATTAAAAAAAAAAAACACATTTTTGTCTTTGGATATTTCAATTTTTTTTTTTTTTGAGCTAATATTTTACAAATTTATTATTATTTCTACTTTTTTAAAAAAATTTTTGAGTTAATATTTTACGAATTTATTATTTTTACAATTTTTTTTTTTTTAGTTAATATTTAACGGATTTATTACTATCATATAGAACAATAATTTACCAAAATTTAAAAAAAAATTCAATAATTTAAAATTTGTATTGGTTCTTTTCTCACAGAATGCCCCATTATTGAGAAATTTTATTTTCGTATCAAAAAATTTGAGGTTAGGTTCGTAAGATAAATGGAAAATTTTACAAAAGAAAAACAATGGGAATTAAAAGAGAACGAATTATAAGTTACGTAACTAAAATACCAATTTAAAAATTTATTTACATATACATATATTGTATTTATAAATAAATATTTAAATTGCATTTAGTTTCGATATATATACGTTTTCGGGAAAAATTCATTTTCTCTTATTTCAATTTTAATAAAATTTATACAATTTAACGAAATATTGAATTTGAATAAAAAAAAAAAATATTGAATTATTTACAATAATAAATATTAAATTGTTTTTTTTTTTACTTACAATAATTAGGCGCAAATTTCCGGCCGCAACATTTCTAAACGTATATCAGGGTTGGGTAGATCGATTTTTTAAAAATTTGCTCTTAGGCTGTCTTCACAATGTTTTTTTTTAGTGTTAACTTTAAAAAAACCACGGCCTTACATTAATTAAATTAAATAATTTCTTGAAATAAATTATTAATAAAGTATTTAATACAAAATATATAATGTTAATGCGGAAAATTAAAAAAACTATTCAAAGAAAGTATTGTCGAATATCCCAACCTTGCGTTTAAAGTAAATTTCCTGTTTTTACGTTGGTCAATCTGCTTTAACTTCTAACCTAGAAATTTCTCCCGGCCTTGTGGTGCTCGTGGTTATTTCGCATAGTGAGGCGAATGAAAAATAGTTTCATCATCATTTTTTGTCAAATTTTTATTTTCATCAATTTTTTTTTTCGCTTTTTGTTGAGTATTAAAAAAGTTTTATAAAGTTAAAGTTTAAAAAAAAAAATGGCACAAAGTAAAATGGATTTTAATATGAAAAAACTTGGCAAATTACCACCGGGAGTAAATTTAGGTGCAACAGCACTCATTGGACTCGGCGCCGCAATCTACGGAATTTCACAATCAATGTTCACAGGTTTTTATTTCATTTATTTATTTATTACAAAAAAAAATAATAATAATTAACTATTTTCTTTTCTATTTACAGTAGCTAAATAATAAATTCCCCTTTTTTTTTGTCATTTTCTATTTATATAATATCCGCCTTTTTTTGAGGTTAGAATTTTTCAATTAATTTAGAAATCTTATGAAACAGAGGAACAGAGAGAGTTCATAGGTCGAATTTTTTTTTTTAATATCTATTTTAACGGACATTTTTTAATATTATTTAAACTTAATTATTATTTTAATTAATATAATTAATAATTAAAATAATAAATTTAAAACAAAAAAACATTTTCGAGAATAAAAAATTTAATTTTTTATTCTCGAAAATTATAAAAAAAAATTTTTTTTTATTATATTAATTAATTATTATAATTAATTGAAATAATAAATAATTTAAAATAAATAGAATAAAATAAATAAAATAAATAATTTATTTATTATTTTAATTAATTATAATAATTAATTAAAATAATGAATAAATTTAAATGAATTAGGTATTTAAAATAATAATTTTTAAGAATAAAAAATGCAAAAAAAATCGATTTTCAAATGAATGTTAAATAATTTATTTAAATTTAATTATCATTCGAATTAATTATAATTAATTAATTATTAAAATTCAAATAATTAATTATTATAATTCGAATAATTAATTAATTATAATTAATTCAAATGATAATTAAATTTAAATAAATTATTTACAAACATTTATTGAAAGATTTTTGAGAACAAAAAAATTTAAAGAACATTTTTTCGAATTTTTTACATTTATTTAAAATTTAATTATCATTTTAAATAAATAAATAATGCAAAAATAATTAATGTAATAATTAATATAATTTATTAATTTAAAATAATATTTGAATTTAAATCAATGTGAAAATTAATTAAAATTTTTTATTCTCAAAAATTATCTTACTTTTTTTTACAAAATTCAAAATTTTGGTCTTGATTTTATTAAATATAAAAGTTATTTAATAAAATAAAAATATTTTTTAACCTTTTTTTTTTTTTTTTTAATAACAAGATTTCGTATTGAATAAAACGATAATTTTTTTTTTTTTGTAAATTTAGTTGAGGGTGGACATCGTGGTATAATGTTTTCCCGATTAAATGGCGTGCAAAAGGATATTTTCGCTGAGGGTTTACATTTTCGAATTCCCTGGTTTCAATATCCAATTATTTATGACATTAGAAGTAGACCGAGAAAAATTTCCTCACCAACTGGATCAAAAGATTTACAAATGGTGAATATTTCACTTCGTGTTCTATCACGTCCTGACGCCATCACATTGCCCTCAATGTATCGTCAACTTGGTCTCGATTACGACGAAAGGGTAATAAAAAAAAAAAAAAATTAAAAAAAGTATATTTATTTAAAAATTTATAAAAAATACTTAAAAATATTTTTGAAAATACTTTAAAAAAATTTTTAAAACTACTTTTTTAAATTTAAAATTCCATTTTTCTTTCCAGGTATTACCAAGTATCTGCAATGAGGTTTTAAAATCCGTTGTTGCCAAATTTAATGCCTCACAATTAATAACACAACGGCAGCAAGTGTCGAATTTAATTCGCAAAGAATTAACTGATCGTGCACGTGATTTTAATATTATTCTTGACGATGTCTCGATCACTGAACTTAGTTTTGGCAAAGAATATACGGCCGCCGTTGAAGCTAAACAAGTTGCACAACAAGAGGCGCAACGTGCTGCATTTGTTGTCGAGAGAGCAAAACAAGAACGACAACAAAAAATTGTTCAAGCCGAGGGTGAAGCTGAAGCAGCAAAAATGATATCCTTTTTTGAAAAAAAAAAAAAAACAGAAAAAATTCACTGAAGAAAGAAGAAAAATTGTTTCTTCAATGAATTTTTTCATTCTTTTAGTTTTCTTTTTATTAATTAATAAATAAATTTTATTTATTTGTTAATTAATAAAAATCTTGGTAATTTTTCTTTCTTTGCAGCTTTTCATTTATTTTCATTTCAAAATAATTCATGATTAGAGTTATCTTTGATCCTTTTGCTAGAGAATTTTGAATTTTTAAAATCTGACTTCAGATTCGTAATCAGTGGAAAATACCCCAAAAAAGGTTCCCTAACAAGATTCAGATTTTAGTAAATTTTTTTTTTTAATCTACGACTAAACTCTCTTAATTTAAATCAGTGACTTTCACTGTTAATTAGAGCCCAGTGGGCAAAAAACCATGTTCGTTCCAAAAATGTTCTTAAAATATTTGAAAAAACTGTCAAAGAGAAAGAGAGATGAAAAAGATGTATAGTATCGATGAGTAGAGAATGTATTTGGGGGGATAAAAAAAAAAGACGAAGTCAAAATGGGCAAAAGAAACTGGAAACGTAAAAATAAAATGACAAAGTCAAAATGGGCAAAAGAAACTGGAAACGTAAAAAAAATCACAAAGTCAAAATGGACAAAAGAAACTGGAAACGAAATACACTGCGTTGCATGATTATTAGGTTAAGAATTGCGTTTTGTAATTTTATTTTTTTTAGTAGTACAATAACGATCAGGAAAATCGGAATTAATTAATAATAATTAAGGGGCCACATGCAAGAACAGACGAGGCGCTCGGGGTTTTGTCCGAGCGCCTCGTCCGTTCTTGCATGTGGCCCCTCGATTAAATGGTTAGGGAAGTTTTTTTTTTAAATTTTCTTTAATTTCTGGTCAATAAGTTTTTTCTTCAAAATCTATTTTTATAAAATCGTTTTTCGTGAATTTCTTACTTTATTTTTACAAATCGGGGAAAATTTTCGATTTTTCTATCTTAAATTCTCGTTTTTTTAATTCGTAAAATTTTAGTATTAAAATTCATTCAATTTTTTCTATTCTAAATTGTCTTTCTATTTCCGGAAATTCGCCTTAGAAATTCTAAAATTGATGTATTTTTCTTTTTTTTTTGTCAATTGTAAATTTTATCGTTTTTTAAAATTAATTTTAATTTCTAATTTTCATAGTTTTTTTAAAAAATTAATTTAATTTCGATTTTCCCTAGTTTCAATTAATTTTAATTTCAAATTTTCCTAGTTTTATTAAAATTAATCCTAGTTTTTTAAATTAATTTAATTTCGATTTTCCCTAATTTAAATTTTGAATTTTCCCGTTTTTTTTTTTTGAAAATTAATTTTAATTTCGAATTTTCTATTATAAATTAATTTAATTTTGTTTTTCCCTAGTTTTAATTAATTTTAATTTCGATTTTCCGTATTTTAAATTAATTTTATTTTCGAATTTTTCTAGTTTTTTTTTTTTAAATTAATTTAAGTTCGATTTTCCCTAGTTTAAATTAATTTTATTTTCGAATTTTTCTAGTTTTTTTTTTTAAATTAATTTAAGTTCGATTTTCCCTAGTTTAAATTAATTTTAATTTCAAATTTCTCTAGTTTTTTTTTTAAATTAATTTTATTTCGAATTTTCCTATTTTCTTTTATAAATTAATTTAATTTCGAATTTTCATAGTTATTTTTTTTTTAAATTAACTCAAATTTCTAAAACTCTGTTTCTCGAAAAAAAACCAAAGAAAAATTTTTTCCTTAACCACTCAGCACTTGGGTCTAGCAGTCAGCCAAAATCCTGGTTATCTCAAATTGCGAAAACTTCGCGCCGCACAGACAATTTCACGCACGGTAATAAAAATTTAATTATTTAGATTTTTTTTTTTCAAATATCTAGTAATTAAAAAAAAAGGGGAAAAAAATGAAGCTTATTAAGCACATTTTTTTTTTTGTTGCTCTCCTGTAGGTTTCAAATTCAGCGAATCGCGTTTATCTCAATGGCAGTGCATTGATGTTGAACATTCAGGATCCAGCGTTTGACGATCTATCCGAGAAACTCAAAAGTAAGAAGTAAAAAAAAAACAAAAACAAAAACCATTGTAAAACATAAAATGCATTTATTTCTAACGAGTTGGTGAAAAACAGTCGATTTAATTTAATATTTGTCGACTTTTTTTTTTTTTTGCCTATTATCATTATTTCATTGTTAATGTAGATTTTGTTGTAATAAGAGAGTGCAGGTCTTTATAGTCAATTTTCTCAATATTCACTTGTCCTTTGTCATTTATTATATTATTCCTCAAAGAGCGAAAATTTCCATCTAAAATCCCATTTTTGAGTTTTTTTTTCTAATTTTATTTTACTATAAAATTAAGAGAACAAAAATTTAAAAAAAAAAAATTTTTGGAAGATAAAATTTTTTTTTGTTTTTTTTTTTTGTTTAGCAAATGAAGAAGATTAATTTTTGAAAAAGAAGAAATTTGACGGAAAATGAAAGAATTGCGCTCGTTTGTGAATCTCGAGAACGTTTTTCTTTCAGGTTCCGGAAGAATAAAGAATTTGAGGCCGAGAATGGAGACGGTTAATTCTAAAATTGAAAAGCAGTTAAAGGAATCCGCTTCCCTTCTCATGGAATCGGCGGAACACGGAGCCAAAATAATTGTATCGTGAATTATCAAAAAAGAACACTGATTAATTCCTTTTGAAAAAAAAAATTCCATATGCACGTCGGTAAAGTAGAGCAAAAAATTTAAATTAAAAAAAAAATCTAAGACAATAAAAAATTTATATTTGTCAAAAAAATATTAGCAGGGTTCTAAAAAAAAAATGTGCGGGAAGTATTCGTCGAAATGTTTATATTTTTCATTTTACAGTTATAAAGTAGTTTCTTTTTTTTTTATTTTTTGAAAATATAAAAAAATGCATTATTATATATATGTACAGTTTATAAAAATTTAATGAGTATTTCTTTTTTTTCTCCACTAATACATCATTCCCGGATGTGCCCTTTGGAAAAAAACATTCGGATTGGTTGAAAGCGTTGTGTAAAGATTACCAACGTCCTCGGGCCTTAAATAAACCCCATGTGACATTACAAAAGGATCCATTCCTCCATGTACATCTGAAACCAAAATTTTTTCCATCTATTAAAAGAAGAAGATTTTTTTCCATTTTCATTAAAAAATGTTTTAGTTTTTATTTTTTTTAAAATTTTTATATTTAAAAAATATAATTTCTTTAAAAACTGGAAATAAGGGGCTTTTATCCTTTACCTACTGTCGGTAAAGTAGATCGAGAAAATGGCACCTTGAACTTTTTTTGCAACTCGGAGAAAATAGGCAAAGATTTTAAATTACTATTTTTATTTCAAAAAAATATATATTTTTCTAAAACTTAATGTGGCTTTTATCCTTTATCTACAGTCGGTAAAGTAGATAAAAAAATGGCACTTGGAATTTTTTTACAACTAGAAGAGAACGTGTAAAAAATTTTTTAATTTCCCGCTCAATTTTTTCCCGAGTTGGAAAAAATGTTCTGTCCTTCTGTTTTACCGACAGAAGGTAAAAAATTTTAATATTTTAAAAAAATATTTTAATATTTTATTTAAAAAAAAGAAATACTTGAAAAAAAGTGAAAATATTTTTCAAGAAGTCATTTTAAATTCCTTTCTTTTTCTGTAGATTTTCTTAATAAGATGAAAGTCTTTTTTTTAACACGTCCTTGAAATGAAAAAAAAAGAATGTGACCCATATAAATTTGTACTAATAAGCATACAATGAAAAATCGCGTAAACTGAGAAGGAACAACAACAAAAAAAAAACACCATAAATTCAGAAGTTAATCTTGATTACAAGGTCACAGTTTGATGCACATGGAATGAATTAAATTTAAAATTTTTTCTCTGGGAAAAATAATTTCACATCTTTTTTTTTCTTGTTAGTAGCTTTGACAACATTTTTTTTTACAAAATATTTTTTAATTCAAAATTTTATATTTTTAAATTTTTGTTTGTTTTTAAACACATTTTTTTTACAGGAAATGAATTTTCAAAGTGGAATTTTTATTTTCAAAGTAAAAAAGTTTTTTTTTTATATATAGAAAAAAAAGTGTGAAAAATATATTTTCTATTCACCGTCAGAGTAAATTGGACTGCTTCCGTGTCTACATGCATTGCATCGAGGAATACCGGAAGAGACCAATGCCACACGATCTGAAAACATCGAGTTATTTTGGTATTTATATATATTTTTTTCTAATTATTATTTAATTTTTTATATAATTTCCAATGCAGTTAAATAAATTTTGTAGTTTTTGATTGTCAAAACAAAACAAAACAAAAAAATGTTTTAAAAAATCTACAAAACTACCAAATTACAAGAAATTTCACTGAAATCGTTTTTTGCAATTTATTTTTCAATTTTTTTTTAAAAAAAAAAAAACAAAAAAAAAGACAAAACGGAACTAGTGTAAAAATAAAGGCGGAATTTCCGGTGTTTTCCCTCTTTTAAGGAGAAAATCTTAAATAATCGACCTTGCGTGAATTGCAAGAGAAAATCTTTAAAGATGAAGAGTGCCACTTTTCACTATAATAACTCACAAAAGTAATATACGACTATAATTATAATTTCATATAATTATACTATCGTTAAAAGTTTCGTACTAGATTTTAACAAAAGTTCTATTTTAATGCGTAAAATAAATTTTTAAATAAAATAATTAAATTGGATAAAAATATTATTATTATTACCATTAACAACAATTAATTAAACTATTAGTAACAACAAAATGAAAAATTAATTATTTAAAAATACAATTTAAAAAAAATATATATAAAGGTTAATTTAAATTTACCCGAGTTTCGTGGATATTAATGAGCGATTAATTGCCCGTCGATTGATTAAAAAGATAAGATAGAGAGAAGAAAAAAAAATGCAGTCGAGTCATTAAAATGATCGTAGAAGCGGAAATTAATAATTGGGAGTCAAATTATCAAAATATTTGTTTCAATTAAAATAATGTAACCTTGAAATGTTAAATCTTCGCATTATAATTTTATATATATTTATATATTTATATGAAAATTGCAATGAGCTTTCGTTAGAAATTCAAATTTTTTTTTTGCACAATTTCGTAAGTGAATTGAGTAACTCATTAGTAACGCTTCTCGAATTTATCTGGTAATTGTTACGATTAGCTTTCTAGACGCAATAGATTCATCACAAATTAATGACGTAAATAGAAAATATCTAAATTGCATTCGATAAAAAAAAGAATTTATTAATTTTTTTAAATAAAAAAATTTTTTTATCTACAGTCGATAAAGCAGATTACTAATTTATCTACTATACCGATAGTACATAAATTGGAAAAATAATAATAATAATTTTTCCTTTTTTTTGTTTCAGGATCGACACGGAAGAGGATATCAGAAAAAGTAACGGACCGTTACAAAAAAAGGTTGTTTTATATTAATGATGAATAATAAATTTAAAAAGCAAAAAACCAATAATTATGGTTGAGAAAAATAAAAAAAACGTTTAAGGCATTGAGTGATAACAAACTTACCAGTACTGTGATAGTCGACTTTTCGTTTTAAACTCGTGTCAGCGGGTTTAAAATGAAAAAATGATGGCGAATAACCACTGCCTGGTAGTGAACTGCAACTTAGTTGTTCCTCACGATCACGCATTGCGGCAGTTATTGCTGCCGAATTTTCCCTACCAAGTGCGGCAAGTTGACGTCCCTTTGGCAGAAACATTGTCAAAAAAACAAGAAATGACGTTGACAATAATCCAAAGGCGACCCATGCTTCACGAACATCTTCCGGTGCAGTTAGTGCACCAATTGCCGTTGCAATCCATGTTGGTAGTGAGAGACCAACAGCAAGACCAATAAATGCCGCCTCTCTATGATTATCACGTACACCACGTGCTCTTACCGCCAGACACGTAACAGCAACAAGTAACGTACTTGGATATCTAAAATTAATTTTATGTTACTAAAATATGTCTTATTTTCTTTATTACCGACTGCCTATAAGATAGTTTTCTTCTTTACCTACAGTCGGTAAAGTAGGAAACTAACTTATCTGCAGTTGGTAATGAAGAAAACTGTTTTATATGTTATGACCTTGCTGTTAGTACCTTCTTTACCTACAGTAGATAAAAGCGAAAGTTTTTTTTACCTACAGTCGGTAAGAAAGAAAACTAACTTATCTGCAGTCGGTAATAAAAAACTGCTTCATATATTATGACCTTTGTCGGCTGTTGGTAAAGGCAGTACCTTTTTTAATTACAGTAGATAAAGGTAGAAATTTTTTTACTTACAGTCGGTAAGGCAGGTGTCAAAGTGAGAAAGTAATAGTGATATAAATATTAAAGCGATATAAATTAATTGCTTACCCTAGAGAAGCGAGAGTATGGCTGACGGGTGTTTTGCACGCTGATCCAAATGAGGTACGACTTGCGTTTTGATTTGAAATTACAGCTGGTGGTTCACCATAGAACCATTGTGCGTTAATTGCTACTTGCACGAGAACAGCAAAGATCAGTACCAATGCCTGTAATGATTGATTTTAAGGGGTTATACCTGCCTGAAAAATTTTTTTTTCGATTTTTTTTTTTTTTGCTTAAAATAGACTATAACATTCCTAGATTAATAATCAATGACGTCCTTGCACGAAAACAACTTGGAAATGTTGTTAAAATTATTTTTTCTGGAGCATTTCGGAAGCGCCATAATGCATAATTTTAATTTTTCCGAAAAAAAATGCTCGACGGAGCATAACTTCAGTGAGAAAGGAGCTGGAAGAGACAAATACGGCCACTGAGGGACAATTATATGGTGCTGGGATAGCAGAGTGAAGGTAAAAAAAATTTATTAACCAAATGCATGAGATTATTAAAAATTATAGTGTTGTGAAACTTCAAACGCGTTTTTCTCGAAACCATATTTTACAAATCGGCGAGCAGTAGAACTCGAAGAGTTATTGTCCGATTGAGCTAAAAATTTAACTGTAGCTTCTTAGTTAAATTATCTAGTGAAGTACACACGATTTTTAAAATTGATGAAGAGAATTTTTTTTTATAAACAATTAAAATCGATTTTTTTGGGTCAAAAATGCGATTTATTTTTATAATTCTCACAATTCTACAAAAAAAATTCTAAAATTATGATCATGTGTACTTCACTAGATAATCTTATGTAGTTTATGAAAAAAAATTTTTTGTGCTTCTAGATGACGATCCAGGGGACTTCAACTGCTCGCCGCGGAGGACTGCAAAAATACATTGCACTTTTTATGCAACCATACAGCCGACAATTTGTAAAATAAATTCGTAATAAAATTTTTTCTCATTATTTAAAAGTTGCTTAATTAAGTGGTATATTAGTTGCCAACGATTATTTAAAACTGTATTCACGAAAAAGTCTTTAAAAACATCCTTTTTTTAAGCCTCGAAACAGGTATAACCCCTTAATTTTATCGACTGTGGATAATGTAGAAATCTGCCTTATCCGCAGTCGATAAAGTAGATTTAAACAGCACAAGTGTACAAAATTGCCAACTATTAGAAAATAATTATTACTTTTAGTACCGCAGTGCATTAGGTGATTGCTTACATTTTTACTGACTGCAGATAATGTAGAAATCTGCCTTATCTACAGTCAGAAAAGTAGATTCAAAGGGCACAATTGCAGAAAAATTTTCAACCATTTAATATACAATAATTATTTTTAGTACCAATGCCAGTAATGATTTTATTTATTACCAACTGAAGATAAAACAGAAACCTGCCTTATCTATAGTCGGTGTAATAGATTGAAAGGGCACATTTTTAACTATTGTACAATAATAATTATTTTTAGTACCGCAGTGCATGTAATGATTGAGTTCTTTTTTACCGACTGTAGGTAGTACAGAAATCTGCCTTATCTGCAGTCGGTGAAATAGATTCAAAAGGTAAACTAGGTCAAAATTTTGCAATTATTTAATATACAATAATATTTTTTTGAAACTTATAAAAAATAAATAATAGAAAGAGGAAATATTTTAATTAGTTATTTCCAATTCTAATTATTTATATTAAATATATAGTTATAAAAAATTTATTGCTATACATATATATATATAATACATATTACACGCGTTTATATATATATGCGTCTTGCATGGTTGATTCCAAGTGTTTTCAAAGTCATTGAAGAAAAAATAATAATTATAAATAACACATTGTTTGATGTTAATTTTTTTTTTTTGCAATGGAATTCCTGTATTTTTATGCTAAAAAAATTGAGATGCACGTGAGATAATTGTTTTCACAGAATTATATTATATTATATTATACTTTTTATAACTTGTTTCGCGCGCGTTTCTATTTTTTTTTTCCTTTTTCCCATTTGAGAGAAAGCTTCATATAGAAACTTGAGAAAAATTCATATATAGAAGTCAAAACAAAACAATATATTCATTATATATATATTTTTGCGACACGTTATCTAAGATCTTCATCAATTCCCTGGCAACCGCGGAAATAATATAGAAAAAAAAAAATAGAATAGAATGTAACAAACTCTCATTTTTCTTTCACGTGTAACCTTCGACAGTTTAGTTTCTAATTTTACAGATAAAAAAAAAAAAAAACAAAAAGATAGAGAAATTTTTATTTTTAAAGGTCAAAAGTTGAACATAACCTCAAAAAGTAGTTTTTTCTAAAAAAAACCACACATAAAGAATATTCTGTATTTTATATATTTCTATAATTTTGTAAAAATTTAAGAATGAGAAAAAAAATTATTTAATTTATTTTTAATAAATAAAAAAATATAATATAATATTATAAAATATATAAGGTAAATATATTTTATATATTGTTTTTACCTGATAAGGCGCTGGTAGATAAACGCCACTGTTTAGTGAAAGTAAAAAAACGCATTTGACAAGGAGGGCAGCGAAAACAAGAGCTGCCGGCAGTCCAACGAGTCTGAAAGCCGCACACGATAAAAGATTTGGTGTGATTGATGCTGCGGCTGAGAGGCCAGCTAAGAAAAAAAGACCCAATAAAAGTGCTTGACCCAAGAACAAATGCCGTCTACTTGGAGCTGTGGTTCTTGCCTTAAAACAGAAAAAAAAATTTTTTTTTAATTTTTTAAAACCCGCCTCGTTTCTATTGAAACAATTACCATAGCAACCGTTACTATGGCAACAGTTTCTATTGCAACCGTTACTATGGTAACAGTTGGTTTCTATTGCAACAGTTACTATGGTAACAGTTGGTTTCTAAGGCAACAGTTAAAATGGCAACAGTTACTACACACTAAAAAAGAAATCTTGATTTCAGCCTATTTTTGAGGGTGAATTTAAGGTGTAAACGGAGTCAGACCAATTAAAAAAGGACAGACTTATGCAAAATATATGGGCTTAATTTAAGGTGTAAACGGTTTAAGACTTTGTTTTTACTGTGTATGCTAACAGTTGGTTTCTAAGACAATAGTTACTTTAGTAACAGTTGGTTTCTATGGCAACAGGTACTTTGGTAACAGTTGGTTTCTATGGCAACAGTTACATTGGTAACAGTTGATTTCTATGGCAACAGTTACTATGGTAACAGTTGGTTTCTACGGCAAAAGTTGGTTTCTATGGTAACAGTTGGTTTCTAAGGCAACAATTACTTTAGTAACAGTTGGTTTCTATGGCAACAGTTACTTTGGTAACAGTTGGTTTCTATGGCAACAGTTACATTGGTAACAGTTGGTTTCTACGGCAAAAGTTGGTTTCTATGGTAACAGTTGGTTTCTAAGGCAACAATTACTTTAGTAACAGTTGGTTTCTATGGTAACAGTTGGTTTCTATGGCAACAGTTACATTGGTAACAGTTGGTTTCTATGGCAACAGTTACTATGGTAACAGTTGGTTTCTACGGCAAAAGTTGGTTTCTATGGTAACAGTTGGTTTCTAAGGCAACAATTACTTTAGTAACAGTTGGTTTCTATGGCAACAGTTACTTTGGTAACAGTTGGTTTCTATGGCAACAGTTACTATGGTAACAGTTGGTTTCTAAGGCAAAAGTTGGTTTCTATGGCAACCGTTACTATGGTAACAGTTGGTTTCTATGGCAACATTTACTATGTCAACAGTTACTAAAAATCAGTTGCCATAGCAACGGTTGCTATTGGTAATAGTTTCCTTAGAAACGATTGGAATTTAAATAATTTTCGTCATAATAATAATAATAATAATAATAATAACATTAATTAATTTTTAATATGCAATATTTTAAATTTATTTATTACAAAAATTATTATATTATTGTAAGGGATTTTTTAACTTAAATAAAAAACAGAACTAAATTTAATTATATTTTTTAACAATATTCTTATTTGATGAAGCGTAAAATTTTTTATTTGTTATATATATATATATATTTGAAATCTACGATTAAGGATGAGTTAACGAATGATTGAAGCGGAAACTAGGCCTTGCCATTATATCCCCCCTTGCGATTATCGGGAAGTCGTGAAATGATCCGCGCCGCACGATTATAAATATAAAAATTATTGGAGCTTGTCCGAGAACGAAATGAAAACAATTTTTGCATTAAGATTGTGTGAGGTAGGTATATATACTATGTATATATATGTATAATCGTTTGAGCGTCGTTTTCTTCTGGCTCTGTTTAATTTCTCCCCGAGTGGCCAGGCATTCAAATTACTATTACTCTAATTACTCGGTGACTCGCGCTCTTCTATATAGCACTTTTGTGTTTATTATAGGAATTTCTATAGCCACTTCCTTTTTTTTATTATTATTGATATCAATTACATATTATTTTCTTTATCACTCCTTATCCCCAACTCCTCTATTTTTTTTAACATTAAATTTAATTTCAATTAAATTATAGATAATTTTAGTTTTTCTTTAAATTATTAATATTAAATATAATAATTTAGAAATAATTAATTTATATTATATTATATATATATATATATATATATATATATATATATATATATATCCCTTTTTGGAGAATATTCCATTTGATATTACATATATGTATATATCTTAAAAATATTTATAGATATTACGTAATTTTATAAAAATTAAAATTTAGAATATTTAAGGATATTAAATAAATTTAAAAATATGTAATATTTAAAAAATATTACTGAGAAAAAAGTCAATTGATATTACTCAGTAATATTCATAAAATATTCCAATGATACTGCAGTAATATTCGTGAAATATTCCAGCGATATTACCAAAATATTTTGAATATTTCACATTGAAAATAAAATACTATTTCCATAAGATATTCCTATCGATATTACGTAATATAATAGGATATTCCTATCGATATTACATAATATAATAGGATATTCCTATAGATATTACATAATATCATATGATATTCTTATCGATATTTCGTAATATAATAGGATATTCCTATAGATATTACATAATATCATAGGATACATAGTAATATTCTCATAATATTCGAATGATGTTACCGAAATTTCGATATTACCTAAATATTCTTAATATTTTCCCCTAAAATAATATACAATATTTCTGGAGTATTTAATTAATATTTTTAAAAATATTCCACTAATAATATTCCTGGAATATTATTTATTAAAATTTAATGTTTTTCATTTATTTAGAATAAAATTTTTCTTAAATTAACGAATAAAATTAATTCATCTTTTGTTGTATTTAAAAAAGAGAAAAAAAAAGGAATTTTTGTTCGGTCTATTAAAGATGTCGATCGATTAATTAAAATTTCCAATTTAAAATGAAAGCTATTTTAAATTTACTCTAAAAATGAAAATCGTTTCTATTTCCGTGTTATTTGGATTTCGTTAATATTGGAAAGTTGCTTTATTAGTTACAAAACAGGTTAAACATTTTATTAATTGAAGGCATTTTAGAAAAAAAAAATGAGAGAAAAGGTTAAAAATTATTTTAATCATTACAAAAATAATGTTTTAGATTGTAATTTATTAGAATAATATCCTAGGAATAATGTACTATTGTAATATCAATGTAATATCTCGGATATTCTAAAAAATGGAATAAAATTTTTTTTTCTAAAAAAAATGTAAAGAGTAGTATAAAGTTGTAATTTTGTAATGTCAGTGGAATATCTCAAGGATATTCTAATAACAATGGAATATCCTCAAAGTAATATTTTTAATATCTACGGAATATTACGATTATCACGGAATATCAGGAGATATTTTAGGAATAGAAAGAATATCATAATATCAATGGAATATCTCGGATATTACCAAAAAACGAATATTGTAATGTCAATGGAATATCACAAGGATATTCTAATATCAGTGGAATATTTTTAAAATAGTATTTGTAATATCTGCAGAATATCCCGAATTATTATCAAGGAATGTAAGGAGATACTTCAGATATGGATAGAATATCGTAATATCAATGGAATATCTCGGATATTACCAAAAAAATAGAATAAATTTTCTTTAAAGTTAAAAAAAAATTAAAAAGAAATGTCTAATTTTGTAATGTCAATGGAATATCTCAAGGATATTATAGTATCAGTGGAATATTCTTTAGTATTTTTAATATCCATAGAATATCCCGAATTATTTCCAGGAAATACAAGGAGATACTTTAGATATTGAAAGAATATCGTAATATCAATGGAATATCTCGGATATTACCAAAATAAAAAAATCAAAATTTTCAAAAAAACGAAAAATATTATTGGTATAAATGTATAATATCGTAATATCAATGGAATATCTCGGATATTACCAAAATAAAGAAATCAAATTTTTCAAAAAAAACGAAAAATATTATTGGTATAAATGTATAATATCGTAATATCAATGGAATATCTCGGATATTACCAAAATAAAAAAATCAAATTTTTCAAAAAAACGAAAAATATTATTGGTATAAATGTATAATATTGTAATATCAGTGGAATATCTCAGGGATATTACTTCTAAATATGACTATCAAAAAATATTTTTGTAATATTGAAATATTTTGGATACTACGAGAAAAAAAAGGAATTTTTTTTTTGAAATAAAATATATAGTAAATAACGTACTTTGCAGAGGACAAAAATTTCAAAACTCGCCATTAAAAACATTGTCACAGCACTAAATGCAACAAGTGGTAGTGCCCATGGATGTGGCCTTATTAATGGCCAAAGTCTCGTGGCACTATTTAATTTTGTCGTATCAATTGTTGATGTTGAACGATGACCACCTGGACCACGATATATTGATATTGTATGATTTGGTGCTGGTACACTGACAACACTAGCGACACTTGCATCGCCACGATCACCACTAACACGATCACCACCAATGTTCACTGGTACCAAAAAAAATTCTGTCGACAATTCAGGACGATATCCAGAAAAATATGCCATTTTTTGTTGTTGATGATGATAATAGTAATCACCATTAGCCACACCACGACGTTGCTCGTGATGTTGTAAACCCGATGTTTGACCAGCCCATGCAGTCGCTGCCGATATTACAATTGGGCTTAGCCTCATTTTTTTTTTTTTTTAAATTATTTTTTTCTTTGCTTTTTAAAAAATTAGCCCACTTTTAATTTGTGCTTTCGTTTTCGTTGTCGCATTCTCCTTAATCGCAATCATCAAAATTGCAAATTTTCTGAAAGAGAAAAAAAAGAAAAATTAAAGATTTATATAATAATAATTTATAATATTACAGGAATATTAAAATATCGGTAGGGAAATTTATTTTGGAATATCGTTGGAAATATTCCATTAGAATATTTCTAGTAATATCCCATTGTAATATTTTATTAATATACTTTTAGAAAATTTTGGTAATATCGCGCAGGAAATGTTTCGTTGGAATATATTAGTATTATCGTAGGGAATATTAACTAATATTCTCTACTAAATAATATTATTTTGGTAATATCTTAAGGAATATTTTACTAATATTCCTTTAGAATATTTCGTTGGAATAATTTACTAATATTCTTTTGGATTATTTTGGTAATATCGTAAAAAATATGTTACTAATATTCCTTTGGATTATTTTAGTAATATAGTAAGGAATATTTTAGCAATATTCCAGAAAATAGTTCGGTGGAATATTTTAGTAATATAGGGAATATTTTGGTAATATAGTATGGAATATTTTGCTAATATTGCAGGGAATATTTCGGTGTAATATTTTATTAATATCGTGAGGAATATTTTACTAATATTCCTTTGGAATATTTTGGTAATATCGCAGGGAATATTTCGTTGGAATAATTTACTAATATTGTTTTGGATTATTTTGGTAATATCGTAAGGAATATTTTCCTAATATTCCTTTAGATTATTTTCGTAATATCATAAGGAATATTTTACTAATATTCCTTTGGAATATTTTGGTAATATCGCAGGGAATATTTTACTAATATTCCTTTGGATTATTTTTGGTAATATAGTAAGGAATATTTTGGTAATATTCCAGGAAATATTTCGGTGGAATATTTCACTAATATAGGGAATATCTTACTAATATTCCTTTGGAATATTTTGGTAATATAGTAAGGAATATTTTGGTGGAATATTTTATTAATATCGTGGGGAATATTTTACTAATATTCCTTTGGAATATTTTGGTAATATCACAGATAATGTTACATTAGAATAATTTATTAATATCGTAGAAAATATTCCACTGAAATAATTTAATAATATTTAATTATTATTATTATTATTATATTTTTTATTGTTCCTTAATTAATTAATAGAAGAAAAAAATTTATACAGAAAAAAGGGGGATGAAAATTTATTAAAAATATTTTTTTACACATATTATATGCGAATTTATATATCTGATAAAATATTTTCTTCCGAGTGCGCGTGCCTGGAACGCGTTACATCTTACGTGACGATAATAAGCAGTCTATTTACCTGTTTACCCCATTGAAGTTGAGAATAAAAAGTGATTTGACGTTTCTGAAGAAACCACAAAAAATGTCCTTTGATATCGACCCTAATGTATCACTTGAGATTGTCCCATATTCATAGTAATAATAATAATAATAATAATAAAAATAATTAAATAATTCTGTTGAAATATTCCAAAAAATATTCCTACATTATTCCAATGGAATATTTATACAATAATTATAATATATTTCGAGGAATATTCGAACAATAATCATGAAATATTCCGAGAAATGTTTTTTTAATATTCCAAAAGAATATTTCTACATTAATACAAAAGTAATGTTTATATAGTATTCCTAAAATATTCCAAAAATTTTTTTTTATAATATTCCGAAGAAATATTCCTACAATACTCCAAATAATGTTCTTACAATATTCCGAAGGAATATTCCTTCATTAATATAAAGGCATATTAATACAATAATCATACAACATTCCTAGGAATCTTTTTTTTAATATTCCAAAGGAATATTTATACAGTATTCCTACAATATTCTAAAGGAATATTCATACAGTATTCCTACAATATTCCAAAGGAATATTCCAAAATAAAATTTCTAAAAGATAGACATTTTTATATTCCCGGGATATGGACGTAATATTCCTTTGGAATATTCCTAATATTCTTTTGGAATATTCCAAAATAAAATTTCTAAAAGATAGACATTTTTATATTCCCGGGATATGGACGTAATATTCCTAATATTATTTTGGAATATTCCTAATATTTATTTGGAATATTCCTAATATTCCAATGGAATATTCCTAATATTCCAAAGGAATATTTCAGGAATGTTATTAAAATATACCCTGCTACTAGAGACACAATTTTTTCCGTTAAAATGTGGTTTCCACGCTCCTCAAAAAATAGAATATTCCATGGAATGTCACTAAAATATTCCACATAATATTGAAAAATTTTCAAATTTCTATTCAATTTTTTTGTTTTTTTTTGAAAATTTATGAAATTATTTTTTATTTTTACTCTTCCGGTTTTTTTTGTTGATATTTTCACTGTAAAAAAATTAAATATCCTGTTAGTTTTGTTTTTTCTTGTACAATGTATATATATATATTGTAAATTTTTGTATGCACACAGCGAGGAGGCATTTTTCTAAAAGTAAATATATATATATACAAGATAAGAAGTTTCCTTTGGTACTTTACTATATAGTGTCACTGAAAACTCCTTCATCAAGATCTTCTTTTAGAGCGAACGGATTTCCTGGCGAGTGTGATTATGTCTCGAGAATTATCCTGATGGTCAACGAACAGTGAATCTGCTTCTATGGGGAGAGACTTTCTCATGTGAATCGTCGCGAGTATCCACCCAAGAGATCACGTCTATGTATGTATGTATGTTTGTCTATTTAATATATACAAAATATTATTATATACTACGATAATAATAATAATAATAATTGTAATGTATATAATTTTATCATTCTTAGATCGTCATTGCATTCTTGGAAAAAAAATAATGATAATAATAATAAGAAATATTCTATAGGAATGTTTACGTTCTTTTTCATTATTCTATAATAATTCTACATTAAAAAAAATTGGAAAAAAATTATTTGATATTCAATTTGGAATATTCATTGTGGAATATTTGGAATATCCTTGTGGAGTATTTTGATAGTATTCTTGAAGAATAATTCTAATATATCCCTTTTTAATATTTGTAATTTTCTTCTGTAAATTAAAAAAATTGATATTCCATTGTGAATATTTGGAATATCCTTGTTAAGTATTTTGGTAATATTTTTAAAGAATAATTCTAATATCCCTTTTTATTATATGTAATATTCTTCTGTAAATTAAAAAATTGATATTCCATTTGGAATATTCATTTCGGAATATTTGGAATATCCTTGTAGAGTATTTGGGAATATTCTTGTAGAATAATTGTAATATCCCTTTTTATTACTTGTAATATTCTTTTGTAAATTAAAAATTGATATTCCATTTGGAATATCCTTGTGGAGTATTTGAGGATATTCTTGTAGAATAATTGTAATATCCCTTTTTAATATTTGTAATCAGGTCATTTAAAAAAAATTGATATTCCATATGGAATATCCCTGTGGAATATTTCGAATATCCTTGAATAATAATAATTGTAATATTTTCGAAGAATATTTAAAATATCGTGGAATATTTGTACTATTTTTTTTGGAGTATTTTTTTTAAATATTCCTTTTGGAAGGCAACGACTAATTTTTAAAAAAGTAATATTAAAATATTGCATTGAATTTGGAATTTCAATTTGGAATATTCTTTTGTTATAATATACTGTTAATATTCTGATACTATTTTGAATAATTTATATATAATATTTCGTTTGAAATTTTTAGGATATAACCTAGATATTACCTTAAAATTTTTTCTCAGATATTAATGAAATATGTATATGATATTACCTTTTAATTATTTACAAGATATTACTGTAATATTTATACGGATATTACTTTTAAATAATATCTTGAAATATTAATAAGTTATTAAAGGAATATTTAGAGGATATTACCGGAAAATATTTACAGGATATTACCTGTATTATTTGTAAGATATTACCTTGATATATTTATAAGATATTACCTTGAAAAATTTAATAGATTTTCCTGAAATATTTTCTGATATTACCATTAAATATTTACGAGATATATAGTGTTGTAATATTTATATATTTCCTTGGAATATTATCGAGATATTATTTTGAAATATTTAAAAAATATACTTGGATTATTTTTAAGATATTACCTTGAAATATTTACAAGATATTACTGTAATATTTATAAGATATTACCAGTAAATATTATCGAGATATTATCTTGGAATATTTAAGAGTTATTTTTTGGAAATATTTAAAATGATATTCGTAAAATATTTACAGGATATTACCACTATAATATTCACCAGATATTCCTGGAATATTCACAGAATATACATATATGAAATATTTCCTATCTATATACAAATAAATTTCAAAAAAAAAAAATTGATTTCTAATATTTAAATTTTCAAAAAAAAATTTTTTTTTTCTTTTCTATTAAAATATATTAATAAAAAATTTATTTTCAAAATTCCATTTTAAAAAAAAAACACGTACCATTTATTTATAGAACCAAAAAAAAATGAAGACACATATAATAATCACTTTGTAAAAATTTTTTTTTTTTGTCATGTAATAGTCACTTTAAGGAGAGAGAAAAAAAATTACTTGTCTATAAGAACTACTAGCCCCGTGAAAGTATAATAATAATAATAATAATAATAATAATAATAATAAAAATAATGAATAAAACTCTCAGCACGGATACAGAGAAACAAGTTAAAAGCAACGGTTTGCAGTAAACTGAAGAGTTCAGTTTTATCTTATGTGCAGAACTCAAGAAGCAAAAGCCCCCCTTAAAGAACGAACAAGACACTCTACGAAGGTGGGAGTGACGTCAAAAGGGGAAAAGCGGTTACGGAGGAGGGACTTCTTAAGAGTGTGGACCATCGAGAGAGGACCACCGGTTAACACAGGGACGGTTCACCTTATCCAAAAAACCATAAGGGTATATAAAAAAAAAAAATTCACGTAAAAAAAATTTTACTCCCCCCCCTCATTTTAATTATTTTATTCCCCCAAAATTATTTTTTTTTTAATAACTATTAATATTCCAAAATATTTTTTTGCAATTTTTTTTTTTATGGATATTACAATTATATTCAAAATTATTCTTGTAATATTTGAGGATATTCCATAATAGTTATGAATATTCCAAAATAATATTCAAAATTATTCTTGTAATATTTGAGGATATTCCATAATAGTTATGAATATTCCAAAATAATATTCAAAATTATTCTTGTAATATTTGTTGATATTCCGAGAATATTTGAGAATATTGCGAAATATTTATGAAATTTAAAAAAAAGAATATTTCCATATTTAGATATTTTGGTAATATCTAAGGATATTCCAAAAATATTTGAATATCTGAATGTAATATCTGCGAAGATAATTTAAAAACAATATTTAAAACTATTATTATTTAATACTATTTTATAATATCGAAGGATATTTCAATAATATTTAGTTATTTTGGGAATATCTAAGAATATTCTGGAATATTTAATTTTTTTTTAGTAATATCTAGGAATACTTAAATAATATTTAATGTTATTTAGTAATATCTGAAGGATATTTCGATAATATTCAAAGGTATTCTTGGAATATCTAAGAATATTCCAGAATATTTATGAAATTTTTTTTCTCGAAAAGAATATTTCATCAATATCGAAGGTTTATTTTAGAGTATCTTAGGATATTTTTAATAATATTCAAGGCTATTCGATAATATCTATGGATGTTTTCATAATATTCAAAACTATTTAGTGATATTTAAGGATATTCCATCAAATTTCTAAAATATCATTGTAAATTGTATTATAAAATTATTTGGGTAATATTCAATACCTTTCGATATTAGGTAATATCATTAAATATTAGGTAACATTCTTAGATATTAAGTAATATCATTAAATATTAGGTAATATCTATAGATAATACAAAAAAAAATTACGATATTTTACGACATTAAACTTTATTTATGAAATTAGATAATCCCTAAGGATACTATAGTTGCAAAAATATTAAATGTAATATCTAAGAATACTACAAGAATTTTTTTTTTAAATATTTGGTAATATCTAAAGATATAATAAGATATATTTTTTTAATATCATGTACAAAATTTAGTTTTCAAGTTGTTTTACAAATACCTAAAGATATTCCAATAATATTACAAATTATGTTTGTAATATCTAAGAATATCCTAATAATATTATAAAATATATTCGTAATATCCAAGAATATCCTAAAAAAAAATGTTTCCTAAATACTTTCCTAATATCTAAGAATATTTCAATAATATTTTAAAAATATTAATAATGTTTAATAGTTTTAAAGGATATTACAAAAATTTTACTATGTTAAAAAAAAATTTTTTTTTTTAAATTTTTTTTGAGGATATATTATTATTATTATTATTATTATTTAAAAAAATAAATTTAAAGAAGAATAACATTATTATAAACATTATCGGTTCGAATATACTCGATGGTGACTTTTCGTACGACGAACCATTGTTCAGAATTTTTTTTTTCGGGTTTATTGTACAACATACATACGTCTCGTTATGTAAATGCGTTGCCGGGTCCGGTCTTCGGCGCACCTTACCCCGCAACCCCACTTGCCCCTCATAACAGAGCCGGCTGCAGAATTTTCAGTGCCTAAGACAAGAATCTCTTTTAAAGGGCTCTCTTTTAAAACTCAAAAATCCAATATCATGCAATAAAATAAAAATTCCCTTTAACAAAAAAAAAAATTAAAAAAAAAAAAATATTCCATTGTAATATTCCAATGACATTATTTTTCATTTTAATTCCCTATATGAAATATTCCCATTAATATATTCCTTTTGGAATATTCAAAATTATATCCTTTCGTAATATTCCATTTGGATATTCCTTTGGAATATTTCATTTTAATTTCTATGAAATATATGTATTCCATTTCGAAATATACGAATTATATTCTTTCGTAATATTTTAATTAGATATTCCTTTGGAATATTTTATTTTAATTTCTATGGAATATTCCCTTTGGAATATACAATTTATATTCTATCGCAATATTTCATTTAAAGATATATTCTTTTGAAATACTTCCATTCACATTCCTGACAAATATTCCAATTAAATTTCTCTATAGAATTTTTTCTGAAATATTCCAATTAAATTCCTATAGAATATTACCTTTGAAATATTTCAATAAATTTTATTACGAATATTCCAATCTCTTTATTATATTAATTTAAATATTCCACTATAATTTTTTGTTATACTTCTTGTACTTTATTTTAACTTGGAATATTTTTTTAAAAAATATTCCCATTTAATTCCTATGGAATATTTTTTTAATAAATATTCCCTTTTAATTCCTATGGGAATATATTTACTTAAAATATTACAAATTTTAATAAAATATTTCATTAAAATATTTTGTTTTTTTATTCCTAGGGTATATAATATAATTTAATTTCCATGGAATATTTCTTTATAATATTACATTTTAAAATTCCAATGAAATATTCATTTGAAATATTTCAATATTAATTTTTCTTTAAATATTATTTGAATCACATTCCTGACAAAATATTCCATTTTACTGACTTATATATCTATGGAATATTTGTGATTAAATATTCTTTAGTAACTTCATTGGAATATTCTTTAGTTTTAATTTTGGAATATTCTATAGTAATTCCTTTGGAATATTCTCTTGTAATATTTCATTTTTTTTTAATGCCTACGGAATATTTCCTTCTTAATAATTATGTTTCAATTCTTACGGATCTTTTTTTCTAAAAATATTTCATTTCAATTTCTTTGGAGTATTTTATTAAAATTCCTATGGAATATTTCATTAAAATTCCTATGGAATATTCTATTAAAATTTCTATTGAATATTCCATTAAAATTCCTATGCGGAATATTTCATTAAAATTCCTATGGAATATTCCATTAAAATTTCTATTGAATATTCAATTGAAATTTCTAAAAATCATGAAATAAAAAACTAAAATCTTAAAAATTTAACTCTTGTAAAATAATTAGATATTTCGAATAGAAGAAAAAAAAGAAATCATTTAGAAAATGTTAATAACAGTCTTAAATGTCCTGTGGGCAAAAAAGCTATTTTAGTTTGAAATAAGCGGTTAGAGGATAATTCTGAGGATGAAAAGGGAACGAAACTTTGCAGGTCTCAAAAAAAAAAAAAAATAAATAAATAAAAGAAAGAAAAAATAAGAATAAATAAACGACGTGGAGTAAGAAGAAGAAGAAGATGAAGACGAAGAAGAAGAGGGTGGGGGGAGAGGGAGGACATGTTTTTTTTTTTGCAAATCTCTTCGTTGAAGCCACAAACCACACTCATCGAAATTTGTCGGGCTTTTTTTTCCTTATTTTCGGCTTTCCCCCTCCCCTTCATTATATATATATATATATATATATATATATATATATATATATATATATATATATCCCTCCCTCTTTATTATATATATTTGTTATTACAAAAAAAATTGGTTATTTTTAAAGAATATTTTTTTAGTTTTAAAAAAGTTGAAAAAAGTTTCAAAAAAATAAAAAATAAAGTTAATTTAAATACAAAGGTAATATTTTGGAAACTTTTGTTTATAATTTTTTTTTTTTTGTTTTCATTATAAATTATAAACAAAAGTTTCCAAAATATTACCTCTGTATTAAATTACCTTTATTTTTAATTTATTTTTTTTTCAACTTTTTTCAACTTTTTTAAAACTTTAAAAAAATATTCTTTAAAAATAACCAATTTTTTTCTTCCTTTTTATTACTTAACGGTTTTCTCAGCTTTGATATATGTATACATATATGTGGGAGGAGTAAATATTAATTCAATTCTCCCAAACGGGTTTTTATTTTTGCTTATATATATATATATATATATATATATATCGAAGAAAATTATTTTCAATAAAAATAAATGTTTTTGAAAAAAAAAATTTAGCATTAATATAGAAAATTTTATAAATTTAAAACAAAAAAAAAAATTTTCTCTGCAGGGGGTGAAATTTTTACAGGCGTTTTTTAAAATAAAAATTATTTCCAAAAAAAAAGAAATTTAAAAATTAATAAAAAAAAAATTTTTTTTTCCAACTTCAATTCGCGAGTGTGCTAAACATTCTATACATATATGTATATATATACAAACAGGATATAAAATGCGAGGAAAATTTGTAATTTATCATGAGGAGAGGATCTTTTCTTGAACCGCGAGCGGCGCGAAGCCCCGCGAGGTAATACGCTTGTTTCAAATTCTTGGTCGATATTGTTATTACCCACAAGGAAATATATATAATGCGTTGGTATTTGTGAGTATATATATATATATATATATATAAAATAATGAAAAAAGAATTTTATATATATATATATATATACATTGGCACGTAAAACGCATATCCGTGCCCTTGGCGGAGAGAGAACAATATTTATTGTACGTCTCAGATGAAATATGGGCAGTTAACTTTTGCTTCGTATGCGATTCTAACCCTCTTGGGTTCCTCAAAGAGGATTTTCAACGTCATATCTTGAAAGGGGTGGGGGGGGGAAGGGCCTCCAACAATGTTAGTCGTAACAATATTTAAAATGAAAACAAAAAAAAAAAAAAATTATCATTGGACACGCGAAAGATTACAAAAGTCATATATTTTTAAATTTTACCTCTGTTAGAAAGGAAAAAAAATTACATAACCTATAAAAAGAAATTTTTGTGTTAATACGTATGTAAAATTTTTTTTTATAGGTTATGTTCCTAAGTAATACGTATACCTATTAATATATCCTCAATATCAAGGTAATATTACACGTGAGATTCGTAATATAACGCTGTAATATTACAGTAATCTTACAGTGATCTTAAAATGTCCGCCTCAAGGTAATATTACCGGGAATATTACTGTAATATTAACGGTAATATTACAGTAATATTAACGGTAATATTACAGACTGATTTGAGTTATTCATAAAGCATAAAAAACGTAAATATATATTATAAGTCAATTTGGCTTGTTGGTAAAACTCTGGACTCGTGTGCTTTGAGTTCGGGGTTCGATTCCCTGGATGGGTAGATTTTTTTCGTAAAGAAATGTTCCCATAATATTACTGTAATATTCTCTTGTAATATTACCTTAATATTACGGTATAATATTACTGCAATATTACCTTAATATTAGCACGTAATATTACAGTAACATTACCGGTAATATTACCTTGAGGCGGACATTTTAAGATTACTGTAATATTACAACGTTATATTACGAATCTTACATGTAATATTACTTTGATATTGAGGTTATATTACGTGCTTCTTGGGTAAATCCTGATTATTCATAATTTTTTTTTTTTTGTGATGACATAAAAGGTACAACCTACCCACATAGCACACAACTTCTTGCTGTGCGGTTACTGTAAGCTTACACGCAGTAAAGCTATAAGCTTACACAGTAAGGTCGTGGTAAGTTTACATGGTAAGGTTGTGGTAAGCTTACACGGTAAGGTTGTTGTAAGCTTCCCGTAAGGTTACTGTAAACATAGAACGTTATTAATAAATACATTTTATTAATATTTATGCGCAGTAGTTTTCTATGGCACATACGGCTGCGCAGTAAATTTTATTTAACAAACTATATTGGGGTTCATGAAGTACTTTACGAAATATATAATTTTTTATAAAAAAAATGTATAATATAATATATATTATAATATAATTGTTTTTAATATATTTCCATATTACTCTATTTTTACAGTAACCTTACAGCAACCTTACAACAACCTTACCATGTAAGCTTACCACAACCTTACTGTGTAAGCTTACTGTAATGGCGGGAGTTTTAAGATGACCTCAAGTTTACTGTAGACTTACACGGTAACCTTACAAACCCTACAGATATCCTTACAGTAACTTCACAGCAAGAAGTCGTGTGCTATGTGGGTATAATCTCCAAAAAATTTTAGAGAGGTTATATTTTTGATTTTTTAAATGAAAATAAAACTTTTTATACAAACTATTAATGTTTTAAATCCAAAATATTCAATAAATTTTTGATTTTGTCATCAAATTTAAAAAAAAAACTAGGAGTATATTAAAACTGCTGCTAAACATAACCTAAAATTTTTGGGAGCTTAGGTATATACCTTTTTGCCAACTTCACGTTGCGGCCAGCACAGTAATTGATTATCTCAAAAATTTGTTTTTGTCATCGTTTCAGTCTTTATTTGCGCTTAGAGCACCTCAATAAGAACTCCTGAACAATGTTAAAAATTCATTATATATACTTCCAAGTCAGATATCTGAAACCCGTACTCGCAGGTTTTTAAATTAGTTGTAAGGAAAAGGAAGGTGCAGAAAATTTTTTTTTTTTTTTTTTTTTGAAGACATATTTAAAAAAAAAATTTTTTTCTTTTTAAATCTCTCTTCAATTTCTTATTTTCTTTACCAAAAATAAAACGATATTTGAGAAAACTTTATTTTTTTTTTTATACATATATTCTTTATTACACTGTATATGAATCAATGTAAGGTTTTTTTTTGCAAATTTTTTATTTTTTTTTTATTTTTGACAATTTTTGCAAATAACATAATTGTCTCTTTTTCATAATTCTCGCAGTAAAAATATAAATAATCAAAACTATATTGTACTATATAAAAAAAAAAAAAAAAACATGTAGTAAAAATCTGTGGCCGTCGTTGTCCAATGATTCTCCAAAGAAGACTATAAATATGGAATTTAAATATTTTTTTTTTTTTTAATATATATTTCTTCATCGGAAAACATGGATAAAAACCGTCATAAAAAATTAAATTAATGCAATAACGATTTTTTAAATTAAATATATATTTTTGTCTTTAAAATAAATAAAAAAAAAATTTTATTTGTCAGAAAAATAGTTTTTTCCAGGAAAGGAGGAGATGTGTGGGGACGGAAAAATAGATTTGTCGCGATTCTTAACACGACGGCCGTAGATATGAGTTTTTTTTTCACTAAATTGTACACATCGTACTTTCGAAATTTTTTTTTCTACTGTCACAGACTTTTGTATTTTTTTTTTTTCTCCACTTTCCTCTTTTCCCTTTTTTTGCAACAAGATCTCAAAAAAAATTGATAAAAAAAGAAAATTTACGACTTGATAAAAAATATATTTTATGCGTTCATAATTTGTTTCTTGGACTTGTTGGCGTTATTGGCATTTGGGCATTAAAAGAGAGATAAATAACTAATTTATTTAAAAAAAAAAGAAAAAAAATTTTTTTTTTTTTCTCTGTCAATTAGGCACTAATCTCAAAGCATTACAAAATCTCCGCCTGAATTGGATTTATCACTTTCGGAACCTTCTTCACTACCCTCTTGGCTTACTATTGTTTCAATTCCTTGAGTGCTTTCATTTGACTCTTGTTGCATTAATTCCACTTCTTTTGCTGAATCCGATGATTCCGATTTTTCCTCTCTGTAAGTAGTAGGGAAAATTAATTTTGCATTTTTTTTTAAATGAAAATAATTTAGTAAAAAGAAACTTACGCTTGCATTAAAGGAGTATCCTCACTATCAGAATCCTTGTCTTTCTTCTTTTTTTTCTTTTTATACGATTTTTTATCAGCATTCGATGGACCACAGTATTCATACTGAAAAATTTTACAAAAATTTTGATAATTTAAAAAAAATCAGTACAGATTCAAAAAAAAAACAGATTTAAGCTACGATTAAAATTGAATTTGACAATTTTTATTTTTCAACTAAATTTTACCTGATAGAGAGGCCAGAACGAGGCAAAGAAGCCAACGTCCTCAACGAGATTTGGCAATAGCCAAAGATGATGCCTGCCAAATGTGAGTAGCCAAAGAAGACAAAAGACCATTATACGTAATACCATTAGCGCCAAAATAAATACCAAAAATCCAGCTGCCGCTATACTTAAATACCATACTCCATGACGCACTGTTAGTGGCCACAATGGAAATAGACAAACCCCTATTGCACCAAGTACCAAAAGTGTACCAAAGAACCAATAATAAACTGGTATTGGTTCATAAATCCAAACATAGGCATCGCAACAATCAGCAAAATATTGATTCATGTGCATTTCAAGACGAACCTTAAAAAAAAAAAAAATACGAAAATTTACAGCAACACTGTAAATTGAATGGTATTAATTATACCATAGAAAAGTTTTTTCGATTGCTGATATTTTAACAATAATAATAATAATAATAATAATAATAATCCCTATTCATAACCAATAAATTAACCTAAAATTGATAATAACATAATCTAAAATTTATTATTTTAATAATAGGTAATAATTGTTTCATTTTTTTTTGTTTCAGATGCAGACGGAAGAAGATGTAAGAAAATGTAACGGACCGTTACAAAAAGTTTGTTTTATATTAATGATGAATAATAATTAAAAAAAAGCAAAAAACCAATAATTATGGTGAAGCAAAATAAAAAATGAAGGCATTAAGTGATTATCTCTAATATATAAAGTATAAAGATTTATAAATTTATAACATAACCCAAAAATTTAATATTTTAACAATAATAATTCCTATAACCAATAAATTTACCTAAAATTTATTTTAATAATAATGCTCTCCTTCCGGTTTGACGACATTTTGAAAAGTCGTGAAATTTCTATAATAATCTTATTAGTTTATGCCACGAATTAATAAAATTATTTTGTATATGGCGTTTTGGCATTTTCAAAATGGCGTCAAACTGTAAAGAAAGAATTTGAAAATTCGTCCGCCACATTGAATTTTTAAAATCTAACCTCAAATTTGTAATCAGCATTTCAAAAAACTTTTCTAAGTTAATAGTTTTGAATGATACATTAGGAGTTATGCGTTAAATAAGAAATTTCAGTTTTGGGTCATAAAGTTGAAGGTTTAAGCTTTCTTTTGAGATCTATTAAAGCTTTCTATGCCCTCACGTTTTTACAGTACTTCAAAAAGTGTCAAAAAGGCCATTTTTTGAACCCCCCATTTTTTAGGAAACTGAACAAATTAAAAAATTTGTTTTTGTATTTTTTTGTTCATTGACACCCAAATATTCATTAAACACAACATGACCATTTTTTTTGTAACCCAGTGCAATTATTCGTCTATTAAAACCAGTTTTAGTTAATTAACACCTTTCTTCATCGTGTGGATAAATTTTTAATCTTCCGAGAAGTTAAAGGCAGTTATTCTGCGTCTACGCAGAAACGAACATTCTGCGCAGACGCAGAATTAAACTGCCTTTAACCTATCGGAACATTAAAAATTTATCCACACGATGAAAATGGGCCCTAAAATTCAGTATTTGACGAATATGAACCAAATATCAAAGAGGTTTTTTTTTTTTTACTTTTGCATACTTAACCACCTGTACCCTTTATTTTTTTTACCCCAAAAAATTTCGAAAACCACATTTTTTTTTTTTACCGAAGGAATATTATATTTTATAAAAATATATACCTTCGGTTTCTTTTTTTTCTCCTCGGGTTTTTCTTCAATGTCCTTTGTCTCCTTTTCATCTTTATCATCTTTAGTCTTTTCTTTTTCCAAATCTTTTTCCTTATCTTTCTCCTTTTCCTTATCTTTTTCCTTTTCTTTTTCCTTCTCCTTTTCTTTATCTAATGATTTTTTATCATCTTTTGTTTCTTTTGATTTTTTTTTAATACCACGAATTTTACAAAGTTCATCCTCGGTGATAATGACTTTTTTCGCACGATGAAAAAATTTGTGTCTTAACATTAAATCAAGAAAATCAACGACTTGTTGACGATTTTCAAATAATGTTTTACTCCATGGTGAATTGTCAAGTAATGCATCAACAGCGCGTGCACCAGTGAAATATTCAACAATATGATTGCGATCAAATTTTGTTTTTTTCGATGGTACATTGTTGCGTATCCATTTTGCCACTGCGTATTCTTCTTTAGATGCTTTTTCCGGTACCGTTGACTCTGGATTACTTCCATCCTGTGGGGAAACAGTTACCGTTATATTAACACTTGTTGGATTTAAATATTTGTTTTTTTTAAATTTATTTAAAATTATTATTATTATTATTATTATTATTATTATTATTACTTGAATTAAAAATTTTAATAATAAAATTTTTAAAAAATTCATCAATTTTAATTAAAATAAAAAAAGTTTGAATAAATTTAAAAATTTTTTTTATAATTTCAATCAAAATTAATAATTTTTTAAAACATTTTATTATTAAAATTTTCAATTTTAATTACCTACAAACAAATGTTTTTCAATTAATTTTAAAAATTATTAAAAAATTTTAATTTTTATTATTATTGGAAAATTTTAAATACAGAAATTTTAATTTATAGAAAATTTAAAATTTATTTACTTATTTTTATAAAAAAAAAACATTTTAAATTTTATTTAAACATTTTTATTTTAATTAAAATTTTAGTAATAAAATTTTTAAAAAATTCATTAATTTTAATTAAAATAAAAATGTTTGATTGTAAATTTTAAAATTAATTAAATTTTTTTTTAATTTCAATTAAAATTAATAAATTTTTAAAAATTTTATTTACAAAATTTTCAATTTTAATTAAAATAGAAATATTTTTTTAATTGTAAATTTTGTAAATAAAATTTTTAAAAAATTTTTAATTAATTTTAAAATTTACATTCAAACATTTTTATTTTAAAATTTTGTAATAAAATTTCAAAATATTTTTTTTATAGAAATAAATAAATAAATTTTTAAATTTCTATAATTAAAATTTCTATATTTCAAATTTTCAATAATTATAAAAATAAAAATTTTTTGAATATAATTTTCAAAAATACTTTTAAAAAATTTATTGCAATTAAAAATTGAAAATTTTTTATATAAAATTAAGAAAAAAAAAACATTAATTTTAAATAAAATAGAAAATTTATTTAAAAGTAAATTTTAAATTTATTTGAAAAATTTTATTTTAATTAAAATTAATAATTTTTTAAAACATTTTATTATTAAAATTTTCAATTTTATTTACCTACAAACAAATTTTTTTCAATTAATTTTAAAAATTATTAAAAAATTTTTATTTTTATTATTATTGGAAAATTTTAAATATAGAAATTTTAATTTATAGAAAATTTAAAATTTATTTATTTAAAGAAAAAATATATTTAAAATTTTCTTTAAACATTTTTATTTTAATTAAAATTAATAATTTTTCTATAAATTTTAATTAAAATTAATAATTTTTCTATAAATTTTAATTAAAATAAATAATTTTTATATAAATTTTAATTAAAATTAATAATTTTTCTATAAATTTTTTTTTAAAAAAATTAAAATTTTATTTGAAAAAAAAAAATTACATTTCATTAATTTGATAATTATTGGCAAATAAAAATACACAAAAATTATTAATAAAATCAGCATTAAAAAATAATCAAATCAATAAATGAATAATTAATAAATTAGAAACAGAAAAAAAATACAATATGTTCCATTACAATAAGTAAAATTTACGATCGAAAAAAAATTATTAGTTCAACCTTGATGTTTGTCACGTTTTTCCGCAATAAAAAAAAATAACAAATAAAAAAATTTGCTCTTTGCAATTAAATCTTCAAAACAAATGTGACTAACATTTAAAAAAAAACCGTTTTTCTATTATACTCATCAATAACATTTATTTAAAAAAAAAATATATATATCGCAAAATTAATTTTTGATTCTTAAATTAAATTTTTTAATTTTACAAAAATTTCCAACAATTAAATAATAATTTTTTTTTAATTACATATTATAAACGTGGAAAATAAACAGGAACAGGTGTTTTCTTTTTTTTTTTTTTTTTTTTTTACTATTTGCTATCTCTCTTTATGTTACGGGGAGAAAAAAAAGTAAAGAAAATAAAAATTACTACGTAACGAGAATGACATTAAACGATAAATTTTTTTTTATTAATATACTTCCAAATATTGTTTCGATTAAGAATAGAAAAAAAAATCTATTAAGAATCAATTTTTTGTCTACGTCATCATAAAAATTCCCAAAACTAGAATGAGAGTAGAGAGAGAGAGAGAGAGAAAGAGATCTGTCAATTTTTCTCCTTTAGTTCGAGAATGACAACAGTCTTTTTTTTATAATCATAAAACTTAAAACGACAATTGTAGAAAATTATAAAAAAATAAAATTTAAATGAAAAAAATTATTAATTCATTTATAATTCGGATGATTATTAAAAAATTTCAATGTATTTTTTTAATTCCATATGTCGTTATTAATACTCACGTCTTTACGTTTTCTGTTTTTCCTACGTTCCACCATGTTGTAAATTTAACTGAACTTCACGCATGCGATTTTCAGTTTTATTTCCAACATGAGAAAATTTATGTACTAGTTGCTCAATGTTCCGTTAGGTGGATTAGAAAATAACTGTGTAGTTCAGGGTTGGAAATGAAAGTTGCAAAATTGTTGTCTGCTAGAAAATTAGGTGTTTGGGGAGGGAATCCAATATGGCTGCTTGTTGGAGGACAATTTCATATTTAAGGTGCTTACATACCTTTTTGGTTTTTGGCGAGCGATGCATTTATTATTTAAATAATAATAATAATAATAATAATTTCCATCCACAACCAATAAATTATAACCTAAAATTTATTATTTTAATAATAAAAATTGTTCCTTTTTTTTGTTACAGATGCACATGGAATAGGATGTCAAAAAAAGTAACGGGCCGTTACAAAAAGATTGTTTTATATTAATGATGAATAATAAATATAAAAAACAAAAAACCAATAATTATGGTGAAAAAAATAGAAAATTAAGGAATTGAATGGTTACCTTTGATATATAAAGTTTAAAGTAATAAAATAAAATAACCAAATATTTAATATTTTAATAATAATAATAATCCCCATTCATAACTAATAAATTAACCTAAAATTGATAATAACATAATCTAAAATTTATTATTTTAATAATAATAATAATTGTTTCATTTTTTTTGTTTCAGATGCAGACGGAAGAAGATGTAAGAAAATGTAACGGACCGTTACAAAAAGGTTGTTTTATATTAATGATGAATAATAATTAAAAAAAGCAAAAAACCAATAATTATGGTGAAGCAAAATAAAAAATTAAGGCATTGAGTGATTATCTCTAATATATAAAGTATAAAGATTTATAAATTTATAACATAACCCAAAAATTTAATATTTTAACAATAATAATTCCTATAACCAATAAATTTATCTAAAATTTATTTTAATAATAATGCTCTCCTTCCGGTTTGACGACATTTTGAAAAAGTCGTGAAATTTCTATAATAATCTTATTAGTTTATGCCACGAATTAATAAAATTATTTTGTATGGCGTTTTGGCATTTTCAAAATGGCGTCAAACTGTAAAGAAAAAATTTGAAAATTTGTGAACAAAAATTAGTAGTAGTAAAATTAAAATTAGTGAAATAATTGCCAATTTTCGTGTGATATCTCAGCCTTAATAAAAGTCAACGCACAATAGTTTCGTGAAATAAGATAGAAAATGACACAAATCTCTCTGTCCTTTTCTAAAGCATGCGAAACTATATTGTCCGTTGGCCTTTAATATAACAACCAATCAAATGAAAGAGAAGTGAGAGAACAGTTGAAAGATTAAAATCACCAACCCATCTCTTTTCCCCTAAACTTAAGGATAAGAGGAGAATTATAGTGACTACTATTTTTTCCCCAAAAAATTGAGACCAATCTGACCAATCCGCTAAATTTGCCTCATTTCACTTTGCGTTACCGGTAAGTGAAGTCGTAGTCTTAAATTTTCATTGGTAAAAAAAAAAAAAAAGAAAAATTATTCGAGTGTCTTTTCTCTCGGTCTTTTTTTTTCCCCCTTTTTTTCCGCTTTATAATTAATAAAATTAAATTAGTGCTCACTGTGTGTTATTAGTCAGTGATTTTTTTTTCTCAATTAATAGTTGAATTTTTTTTTTTTCTCGTTAACATGTTTCAGGTGGATTATTAAGGAAACTGGCGACGTGATAGAAGTTTATTTCTTGGCCGGATTCTAGTATTACGGTACAGTAAGTATTAATTTTTTTTCGTCTATTTTTTTTATTACTGCATTTTTTTTTCTCGTTCTTTCCCTGCCCCTCGGTAAGGTCACTACACACACACACACACATATATATATATATATACACATGTACATCGCCTTGAAAATTGACAGAATGATTTTATTATTATTGAGCAAAATTTTTATTACGTTGTGAATGAATCGTGAAAATTAAGAATGGAGAGATTTTTCAATTGTTGAAGGGAAAAAAGGGGGAAATTTTTTTTTTTTTTTTTTTTTTTTTTTGGGATGAGAAAAAAGAGGTTAGCGATCTCGTGACGTGTCAAAGAGAACCAAGTGAAACACACATTCCATTCCATATGGTGGTTACTTGTCTTGTCTCCTCTCCAACCATTGGTCATTGACATGCTGGCATTTTATTCGATTATTGAATATGATTAATTAAACATTATTCTTCATGTGCATATATACATATATGTGTTTTTTTTCCTTTCTTTAAATCGTATTTTTTCAAATATTCCATAAAAAGAAATAATGTAAATTTTCCGTTATTTGGCCATTTTTCTTTTTACTTATCTACTCGGAAAAAAAAAAAAATTTAGAGAAGGGGAAGGTTCATCAGATTTTATTTTTGGGAGGGTCACTTTTTTTTTCTCGTGGAAAATTTTAATTCGGTTTTTTTTTTTTTTGTTTTCGAAAATTTTAAATTCAAAATTTCTTCATGTAAATTAAATGTTGATTTATTTAGATTTTTTTTTCAATTTTGAGAAAAAATGTAAATTTTTTTTTCATCCCATTTGTTATAATTATAATGTTAATTATTTTGAACTTTTTTCGGTAAATTGAATTTTTTTTTTTGGTGAAAAATATAATTACCGTTTAAAAATTTTATTTTTAATTAACTTTTTTTTTGTTTTTTTTTCAATAACATTTTAATTTAACATAATAGTATAATAATATCAACATAATAGTAACCTTAATTTTTTCGGTGTTTCAATCAACACCTTCGTCCGAGAGTTACAATACTTGATATACCACGATAATAATAATGCTAGTGCGGCCACACAATAATTACTGTATTTCTTTTTCTGTAATATTCAGTACTCTGTACTAATGGGCAGTGTAATTACTACCCGTCTAAATTGAAATAAATAAATAAATAAATTTATTTAAAATTTTCTTTAAAAAATGTAAGAATTTAAATGTTTCATTGAAATTTTTTTTTCTATTTAAATATTTAAAAATTTTTAATTGAAATTTTTTTTTCAGAGAATAACATGCGGCTAGAAAGAAATATACCCAATTCTAGAATAAAAAATTTTAATTAAAATGGTTTTTTTTTTGCTTTTTAATTGGAAATTTTTAATTGAAAATTTAAAAAAAAAAATTTTAATACTTCAAATTTTATTTAAAAATTTTTTTTAAATTTTTTAATTCTGCTCTGTTCAAAGTAAAAACCTAGTATGTCGCTTTTCCATAAGTTTGAAAGTCGATGGATCTGATCTAACGATTTTCACCCTTACGGAAAAACAACTTACACCCAGAGAAATGATATATTTATCTCAGAGCCAAATAAATATTTATTTGATTTAAATATGAATTTTTATTTGATTTAAATATGAATTTTTATTTAATTTTAATAAATTTTTAATTGATTTAAATAAATTTCCATTTAATTTAAATAAATAATTATTTAATTTAAATAGAAAATTTATTTAAATCAATTAAAAATATTCATTTGATTTAAATAGAAAATTTTATTTACCCCAAATAAATGGCCTAATAGGCTCTGAGACAAATACACGTTTATTTAATTCAAATATATTGTATTTGATTCAAATAAAACATTTCTCTGGGTGTATTAGGTTTTTATCAGAATTAGAAATTTTTAATTAAAAAATTTTGAAAAAATTTTAAATACTTCAAATTTTAATTAAAATTTATTTAATAATTATATAAGCAAAATTTTTAAATAATTTTAATTAAAATTTTAAAAGTTGTATTAAAATTTAAGTAATTAAATATTTAAAATTATAATAGAAAATTTTTTAAATAATTTTCATTGAAAATTTTTAAATTAAAATTTCATATCACCATTGAGAACTTTAAAAAAAAGCAAATCATTATATTTAAATCTAGATTAAATTTTACGTATCTTTAAATAACAACGCAAGTCATGATAATTATGTGAAAATAACATAATTTTCTATTTTTTATTCGATAAAATAGTAAAAATAAAGATTTAAATGTAATTTACTTTTTTAAAGACCTTAAAATTATCAAGATCATTAAAATAAATTTAAAATACACTTTTTTTGCCCCACCCCCCCTTTTTCTCTCTTCAAACGAGTGAATTTAATTTGTTATCGGTCGGGTGACGACGATTAGATTGCGTTTTGTAACTTTTTTTTTTTTTATTTCTTTTTTTAATGCGAATCCAACACCTTTGACCTTTTACCGAAACTAAATATCCAAAAGAATTTATCCTTAATTTCGCGAGATAAGAAAAATTTTTCGTCAATGATTGTTATTATATTCTAATTTTAAAGTGTAAATTGAGACGATTATTATTTTTTTTAATCAAGACACGAAAATATTTTTTTTTTTAATTTTAATTGTTTATTTATAATTCATTTAATTAATTTTGATTATTAAATATTTTTTATTTAATATTTATTTTAATATTTAATAAATTTTTAAATAAAAATAGGATAAAATTATAATTTATTGTTCTAATAATGGGGGTAAAGAGAAAATAATTTTTTTTTTTTTAAATAGTGCTACTGTAAGGACTTGGCACGACAAAGGACAATCCGAAAATGCAGCAGCCATCAGTAATGGAAGAGGGACCGGCCTATGAGCCTCCAACTTATGACGAGACTTTCCCTGAACTCCCGGAATCAACAGGATCAACAACAAGCAGCCCAAAACCCCCGCCACAAGGCAACAATCGAATGCGTGTCGAGTGTTCAGTTGTTACTCACGTAAATATTAGTTGCAAATCATTTCTCTTTTCTCTTTTCGAATCGCAAATTTTTATTCGGTTTCTTTTTTATTTTGGGGGGGTGTTCTAGGTTTTTCGTGTGCCAATCGAGGAGAGAAAATTTGATCATAGCGATAAATTTGGAGAAGGTGAATCCGTTCGCACTTGCCAATTAATCACCAAGGAATCGGGTGCTCATATTGAAATTGCATCGTCCAAGGATCAGTCATTAACTTTTTTAGTGACTGGCAAACAATCTCAGGTCCAAGAAGCGAGACGTCGAATTTTGACCAATTTCCAAACTCAGGTGAGAAGAGTAAAATTTAAATTGATTTTGAATTATTTGAAATGATTTTATAATATATTTTCATTTATCGCAGTCAACGAAGCAAATTAATATTCCAAAAGAGCATCATCGATGGATTCTTGGTAAACAGAGACAGAGACTAAAGGACTTGGAAAAAGTAACGTCGACAAAAATTACTGTTCCTGCATATCAAGATCAATCGGACGTTGTCACGATTACGGGAACAAAAGAGGGAATTGAAAAAGCCGAACATGATATTCGTGTTATTTCCGATGAGCAGGTGAGGGGGAGAAAGATGATAATGAAAGAATTTTTTTGCAAATGAGAGAAAATGCAATTTTATTGGACTACGAACTAGATTCGTTATCCGTTGCGTTAACAGGACATTTTTTTTTTTTTTTGATAGACCTTGAGTTTATCTTCTTCTTTTTGCTGATAAATATGTTGTGAGAATTATATCTCGCATATATAAGGCGCCCAAAAAATATTTCTTGACAAAAAAAGAAATTGGATACGATGATTCGTTATCCGTTGCGTAAACAGGACATATATATATATAGAAAATTTGAAATTAATTACAACTTAATTTAAAACTGAATTACACTACCGATGGGAAATTATGCGACATCTGCTTTTTCGATGACTATAAAATGGTTTAAATCTTCAAAAATATTAATACAAATTTTTTTTCTTATTTTCTAAAAGCTAGTAAAATTCTGAAAGAAATGACACCTTGACAAAGAGAATATATTAATTTTTCAATTAGATATCTAAAAAGAACCTAATTTTCAATGTTTTTACTATTTTTTTTTTTATTTCTTTGGCAAAAATTAATATTTTTTAACGTTCTTGGATTCATTGGAATGATATTTTGTTATACAATTCAAATTATTTAAAACAATTACTGATCACATTCTTTCTTAGCGTATTGAAGACCGTAAAAGTTGTGTCAAAAAAAATTAAAATTCAATTCTACAACAAAATATAATGTTTAAAAATCAAGTAAATAGATCTAACTTCTGCGTTTTTTTAAATGTGATTTGTATAATCCAGACCCTCTAAAAATTAAAAAAAAATATTTTTGTTTATAGAATGAAAAAATGAGAGTAAAATGTTTTAGCTTGTCTGGAATATAAAAATTACTTTTTATAAACGTTGGCTTATAGAAAGTATTAAATTTTCTTTTAAATTTATTTTTCCTTTTTTTTTTTGCTTCAGTCAAGGAAAGCATTTGTTAGAGTATCAGTGCCAAAAATGTATCATCCCTTTGTTGTGGGTGCTCACAATGAAAATTTAACGAAGCTCATCGCGGAAACTGGAGCTCTCATCAATGTTCCACCGCCGTCGGTTCAAAAAGATGAAATCACAATTGCAGGCGAAACCGAAGGTGTTGCACTTGCCAGAGAGAGAATTGAGGCAATTTTTGCTGATATGGTATTTAAAATTCTTCACCTTACAAAATTTTTAATTTTTTGTTTTTTTACCATTCTATACCGTAAAATTCTCATTTTTCCTAAAGGAGAAACGATGCGCATCAGTTTCCGTTGAAGTTCCCAAATCTCAACATAAATATGTACTTGGTCCCAAGGGAAGTACCATTAATGAAATTCTTCAATTAACTGGAGTTAGTGTTGAAATACCTGCGGCCGATTCCTCAGTGGGAACAATTACTCTTCGTGGCCCTCAGGATAAACTTGGAGTTGGTGAGAAAATTAATAATAATTTTAATTTTCTCTAATTTTTCATTTGTGAAATATTTCGTGGGGAAAGTAATTTATTTTCTTTTTTTTTTTTTTTTCAATTAGCATTGAGTAAAGTCTATGAGAAAGCAAATAGTATGTGTAATGATGCTGTTGATGCACCGGCATGGATACATAAATATATTATTGGACCTAAAGGAGCAAATATCAAAAAAATAACTCAGGACATGGGTAAAGTGAATGTTGAATTTAACGATAAAGAAAGTCGTATTAAAATTGAAGGCCCACCAGAGGAGGTTGAAAGAGTTAAAAAAACAATTCATTCAATGGTTGAAGATTTTGTTGCCAAATTAACATTCAGGGAACTCAATATACATCCAAAATATTATAAGCATATCATTGGCAAAAATGGTGCAAATGGTAATTGAAAATTAAATTTTAATTATTTTAAATTATAAAATTATAATAATTATTATAATAATAATTATAGTTAATAAATAAGAAAAAGTAGGTAAATATTTTTTTCTTTTTTTTTAATTACAGTAAATCGTTTGAAGACTGAAATGGGAGTTGTTATTACAATTTCCGAGAATGCCGGTGTCAATTTGATACGAATTGAGGGCAATCATAATGGAGTTCAAGAGGCCGAGAAGGTAAATTTTCTAAAATTATTTTTTTTTGTTGCATTTCTTTCAAATTATTTCCATTTCTATTTTTTTTTTTTTTTGAATTTCGAATTTTCTTTAAAAAATTTTTTTTTCAGGAATTATTGGAAATGGTGGACAAATTGGAGAATGAAGTTGAAAAAGATGTTGCAATTGAGCCGCGTTTCTATCGTAAAATAATTGGCTCTAAAGGTGATAATATTAAGGAAATACGAGATAAATTCAATCAAGTGCAAATCATCATTCCTGGACAAGGTACATTTAAAAATTTTAATTTTACGTATTTATTTTTTGTTTCTAATTGAAAATAAAAATTTTTTTTGTTAGTTTTTTTTTTTGGATTTACTAGAGTTTTTGAAAATTTCTTTCAGGAGATAAGGCCGGCGCTGTGAAAATTCGCGGCCCAAAACAAGACGTTGACAAATGTCAAAAATATTTAATGAAACTTGTTAAGGAAATGCGTGAAAATAGTTATGTTCTTGAGGTGCCAATTTTTAAGCAATTTCATAAATTTATCATTGGCAAAGGTGGCGTCAACATTCGTAAGGTAATTATTTATTTATTTTTTTTAATATTTAATGCAAACGTTTCTTTAATTTTATTTTCTAATAATTTTTATTAAAAATTTTTTTTTTTAGATTCGCGAAGAGACACAGACGAAAATTGATTTACCAGCGGAAGGTGAGAAAAGTGATGTAATTACAATTACCGGTAAAAAGGAAAATGTCGAAGAGGCTAGGGATAAAATTCAAAAAATTCAGAACGAAATGGTAAGAATTTTTTTTTTTATTTTTAAATGGTAATTGAAATTATTAAAAAATATATATTTTTTTACAGACTGCAACAGTTACCGATGAAATATCAATTCCGCCGAAATTTTATAATACGCTTATTGGAACAGGTGGCAAATTAATTCAATCGATAATGGAAGACTGCGGAGGTGTTACTATTAAATTCCCATCTTCGGATAGTAAAAGTGATAAGGTAAATATTTATTTTATTTTATCAATTTAATGGACGTTTTTTGTTACATAAAGATAAGAAGAAAAATTACGATGGTGTAAAATTACACAATGTGTCTAATATTATAAAGCATTTCATAAAATAACTCTCATGACGATAAGGAAAACAGGGAAATTTCTAATTTGAATTTCCCCTTCTTTATTTGCATGATAAAAATAAAGATGGGGGAAAAATTAGAATAAATAAAAAATAAATTTGAAATTAAAAAAAAAAAAATTGGGGTTTTATGGATATTTTTGATGAAACTGAAATAGAAGTAACAGATTACGAAGAAGAAGAAGATTGTGAATTAAGTGAAGAAGATAGAGAAATTTTAAATAAAACTAAAAGAGATTTTGATGATTTTATGCGAATTAGAACAAGAATATAGATAAATCTAAAATTAAAAAGAAAAATTGGGGGTTTATGGATATTTTTGATGAAACTAAAATAGAGGTAACAGATTACGAATAAGAAGATTGTGAATTAAGTAAAAAAGATATAGAAATTTTAAATAAAACTGAAAGAGATTTTGATGATTTTATGCGTGAAAAAAATAAAAAAAGGTTTAGCAACTGTAGCAACTCAACAAACAAGAAAATTACTAAAACTAAAAAAATGTTAATTAAACACTAAAAAATCATAAGTCAAATTTTTTTAATCCACTTTTTAAAAATTGTCTTTTGAGGTTTTCTAAAAATCACTTGGCTACTGATCCCAGTTTTTTTTTTTTAATGGCACCAGTAGTTCCGTTGAATTACCATTTTTTTAAATGGTAAAATTGTTAAATTGTCTTTTAAGGTTTTCAAAAAAAAATTTTTTTATCCTTTGAAGAATAATTTATATTTTCGTATTTAAAAATAATTGCTATTGATGTTGCAAACAATTATTTTTCGAGTCATTATAAATAGTGATTTTTTGTAGACGTAGACAGGATCATCTGAAATAAAAAAAATATATATTGTTAGTAGATTAATTCACTGTTGTGCAAAACTAGTTATCGTTAAATAGCGTCAATTTGGACACCTCGTGGGAAGTAGGAGAATTAAGTTCAGCTGAGTAGGGATAAATTAGAATAAAATTTATCTTTTTTTTTTTTAAAATAGGTAAGCATTAGAGGACCAAAAGAGGATGTCGAGAAAGCAAAACAACAACTTTTAGAGTTGACAAATGAAAAATTGCTCTCGAGTTATACTGTAGAAATACATGCCAAGGCTCAACACCATAAATTTATTATAGGAAAAAACGGTGCTAATATCAAAAGGGTAAAATTTTATTTTTATATATAAAAATTTTGTTTTCCAAACGTTTTTTAACTATGAAAAAATACTAGAAGAACAAAACTTTTGTAGATTCGAGAATCCACAGGAGTTCGAATTATCTTCCCGACTGATAAAGATGAAGATAAAGAAATGATTACAATTATGGGTAAAAAAGAAGCTGTCGAAAAGGCAAAAGCTGAATTGGAGGCCTGCATCAGTGAAATAGTAAATTAATTTTTTTTACCTCTTAACAAAAAAAAAATTTTCTTTATTTTGAATTCAACTTTTGAATTTTAATTTAAATTTAAAAATAAAGATTATTTTTTGCTTTCTCTTCTTTAGGACAATATAATTGAGGGCGAAATTCTCATTGATTTGAAACATCATCGACATTTTGTTGCAAGGAGAGGTGGAGTATTGCATAAAATTGCCGATGAATTTGGTGGTGTGCAAATTTCATTTCCACGACCCGGTGTCGAGAGTAATCGCGTCACTCTTAAAGGCTCTCACGAGTGTATTGAAGCAGCGAAACAACGCATGCGAGAAATCGTTGAAAATCTGGTAAAAATTTGTACAATTTTCTACATTTTTTTTTTCTTCCAAAATACAGTTTTAAAAGATTTTAAAACTGTTTTAGGAATCAATGATCACAATTGAATGCATTATTCCGAGAAAATATCATCGAACTGTAATGGGTGCCAAAGGTTGCAAAATACAAAGCGTCACAGCTGAATATGATGTGCAAATTAAAATTCCCGATCGTGATACATATGGTAAGAAAAATATATTAAAATTAAAAAATTATCAAAAGAGTAAAAATTACTTTTCATAAATTTTGGAAAAATAATATTTAAAAATACCTACCTTAGTGATTAAGAATTAGAAAAAATTGTTTTCGATTTACAGTAGATGATAAACCAGTGGAACAAGTTAATGGAGAGAATGGCGATGAAGCACCAGTTGTTTCACCAGGCGATATTATTCGAATTACTGGTTTGCCGGAAAATGCTGCAAATGCAAAACAAGCTCTTCTTGATCTCGTGCCAACAATAATTGAAGTAAGTTTATTTAATTTGATAAAAATTTTGTTAATTTTCCTAAGAAAAATTTTAATAAAAAATTTCTTTTTTTACAGGTTGAGGTTCCATTCGATTTTCATCGTTCAATTATTGGACAAAAAGGAAAGGACGTTCGAGAATTGATGGAAACTTACGATGTTCACATTAAACTTTCACCGGCCGAGGAGAGACTCGACTATATCGAGGTAGAAACTAAAAAATATTTTTTTTTCTATTTCCGTAAAAAAAAAACATTTTAAATATTGATGAAATCAAAAATTTCTATTTTAAATTACAGATTTGTGGCACTCCAGCTAATGTTGAGAGTGCGAAACAGGCGATTTTGGAAAAATGTGAAATTCTCAAAGCCGAGAAAGAGGATAAAATATTGAAATCATTTGAATTAAAGGTAATTTTTTTCTTTGTACTACCTTACATACATTTTTTTTTGTTTCAGTAAAAATATAATTTTTGGTTTACATTATTAACTCTTTTTTTTTCGCAAACCAAATAATTATATTTTATTTATTTAAAATTTTCGTTAAATAAATTTCATTAAATTAAAGATTGAAGTCGATCCCGAGTATCATCCAAAAATAATTGGTCGAAAGGGAGCGGTAATAACAAAAATTCGCACCGATCACGATGTGCAAATTAATTTCCGTCGTAAAGGCGAAACTGATGAGAGAATTATTACCATCACTGGATACGAGGCAAACACTTACGACGCTCGAGATGATATTCTCAAGATTGTCAATGAATTAGTATGAAATTTACTTAATTAAATTAAAAATAACAGTAAAAATAATTATTACATTTATTATTTTAATGTAAATTATTATAAATTTTAGGATGGATTAATGAAGGAAGAAATTCGCATAAGTTCGGCAGTACACTCGAGACTGATAGGATCAAAGGGACGTAATATAAGGAAAATAATGGATGACTATAAAGTTGACATTAAAATTCCACGTAAAACTGATCCCGATCCAGAAATGGTCACTATTATTGGTAATGAAGATAATGTTCTCGATGCCAAGGATTATCTTCTTAAATTGGAGGAGGAATATGTAAGTATAAAAAATCTCGAAAATTCAAAAGAAACTTTAAATTTAATTTTTATGTTAATCATATTTAAAATTCATTTATTTAAAAAAAAATGCACAAATTTAGTTACAGGATGTCCAGCGACTTGAATTTTTTTTTTTGCCTTTAAAACAATTAAAATCAATTTGATTAAAATTTTTCTAGAAAAAAATTTGAAAAGAACAATAATAGTTCCTCCTGGAACCTCAGAAGACTAAATAAAGGGAGAAACTGGCTGAGTTTCTAAAAAGAGTCGCGGTTTATCCACGAACTCAATTCGGTGACGACGCCAGTTTCTTAAATAGGGTGTGGGAGGTGAGGCGTGTAATTGTGGATGCTTTGCAACCACTTCATGCCTCGTCGGCAGAAAAGAAAAACTAGAAAATGATCTCTGTACTGGTGAAACAATATAGTGGCTTGTCTTCAAAAAAGACTGCCATGCAGCTAGAAAGAAATATACCCATTCTAAAAAATACAAAATCTACGAACTGTGATAAAAATGACATAGTGTCAGACTAATCTTCAAGTAGGCAAATAGTTAATGCCATTATTTTGTAGAGTCCCGATCAAAGAAACAGTTATAATTTCTTAAACTAAAAATCACGTAAATTAAGATTTTAAATCCTTTTTTCTGTCAGGTAATTTCACATATTTTTTATAAAAATAAATAATTGCAGAAAACTAAAATTTTAAACTTTTTTTTAATTCAAGGGCAAACGATTTCGAGTTTTTAAAATTTATAACCGGTTCTTTGATCGAGACTCTCAATTGTAATAGTAATAGTTCCTCCTGGAACCTCAGAAGACTAAATATGAGGAGAAACTGGCTGAGTTTCTAAAAGAGTCGCGGTTTATCCACAAACTCAATTATGTGACGACGCCAGTTTCTTTAATAGGGTGTGGGAGGCGAGGCGTGTAATTGTGGATGCTTTGCAACCACTTCATGCCTCGTCGGCAGAAAAGAAAAACTAGGAAATGATCTCTGTACTGGTGAAACAATACAGTGGCTTGTCTTAAAAAAAGACTGCCATGCAGCTAGAAAGAAATATACCCATTCTAAAAAAAAACAAAAACTACGAGCTGTGATAAAAATGATCTAGTGTCAGACTGATATTCAAGCAGGCAAATAGTAATGCCGTTATTGTAGGGACCTATTCAGTGAATCCAATAATAACCCAAGGGTTTTTGGCTTTTTAAATTGTAAATTTAAATTATTTAAATATTTCTGTTCAAATTATCTTTTTTTTTGGTAATTTCAGGGCACATGTTTATCCCATAAAAATCATTAGTTAGAATTTCCATTTTCAACAATTTTATTAGATATAATTAGTTTTTAGACGAATTTTGATTTTTCGAATTAACATTTGTCAGAATTTCTTTATTAGATATAATTATTTTTTAGACAAATTTTCATTTTTCGAATTAACATTTGTCAGAATTTCTTTGTTAGATATAATTATTTTTTAGACAAATTTTCATTTTTCGAATTAACATTTGTCAGAATTTCTTTTTTAAAAGAATTTTCAATTAACAGAATTTTTAGCCAACGAATTTTTATTTAGTAAAATTTTTAAAACGCCGAACTTTTATTTCTCCGAACAAATTGTTTGTTTTGTCGGCCATTTGTAATTTCGGAAAAATAAAAAATCGGCGTTTTAAGAATTATGTACAATAAAAATTCGATGGATAAGAATTCTGTTGCGTAAAAGTTTGTTTTAAAAAAAAATAAATAAATAATATTTTTAACTAATGTTTTTTATGAGATAATCATGCGCCCCGGTAATTTGTAAACTTACTTTTAAAAACTGACCTCAAATTCTCAATTTTTACTCGTAAATTTTTCTTTTATTTTAAATTTTAAAACATTTAAAGTCAAAATTTTGGAAATAATTCAATTTTCGATGATATTTTAAATAACAGAATTTTAAATATAGTAATTTTGTAAAATTTGATTGAAATTTTAATAATTAAATTTTTTTGGAAGAATTTTAATTGAAAAATATTTAAATAATTTAATTTATATAAGTATTAAAAAGTAATTGTTTATTTATATAACAAAAAAATAGAATTATTATTCGTTAAATAATAATTAATAAGTTAAAGGTGAACTTAATAAAAAATTATTTTAGACCCTGAAATTTTTTTTTTTTTGCTTCCGAAGTTGCTGGACAACCTTAATTTAAATATCTATTCAAACCAATAGCTAATTATTCATTTTTTGGTAATTTAAATATTTCTAATATAAAAAATTTTTCTTCCTTTTTTCTTTCTCTTCAAAAAAAAAAAAAAAGATGCAAGAGGTATCACACACCTATGAATACACCAATAGTCTAAGAACACCACAACGTGACGAAGGTAGTGGCAGTGAAAATGATTCAGGATTTATTGTAAAAGGCGGTCCATGGGAACAACAACAGCAAAGTGCTCCAAATACCGCAAGTGTCGAAGAATTTCCCCAATTTGGTGGTTTCACTCATGTTCCTGCCACTGTTCCCGATGGTGCCTGGGGAAAACGTTAAAAAAAAATGCAAAAAAGTAAAATAATCGAGAGACAAAAGAAAAGAATTTTTGTTTTCTTCTCCATGAAAAAAAAAAGAAATTTCACAAAAAATATATGAAAAAAAAATGAAAAAAAGAAACTTTCCTCTAACAAGAACAAAGAAAAAATGAAAAAGAATAAGAAATGATCAATTTTTTAATATAAATATATAAAAATATGGGTAATCGCACTTTTGCTGCTAATAAAAGTGATTTCCCTTTTCCCTCCTCCATTACTGAAAGCTGCTGCAATACGACTTGGCCAATTCTCTCGGACTTTGACAATGGTTTTGCTACACAGAGTTAAGAAGAAAAAGAAGAAGAAGAAGAAGTAAAAAAAAAAATGAAGATGACGAAGACGACGACGACGATGTTTATATTTACAGTTTACATCACGTACCCCAATATCTGGATCTAAAACAAAAATAATAGTCTTAGATTCAGATATATGTGTTGTACTTAAAAAAGACTGTGGCTTCATTATTATAGGGTATATATTTAATTACGCGCTCTAAATTTGAAATTATGAGTCGCAAACAAAGCTGAACTTTTTATCTATATATTATTTTTATTATTAATACAATAATAATATAATTAGCCCGGCATAATATTCACCTTTTTTTTTACATATATTATATATATATATATCTCTCTCTTTTTTTGTCTATGTCACTTTTTTTTTGCCTTTTGCTTTCTCGTTTCAATGTTTTTTTTTTTGTTTTGTTAATTTATTTATATTTTTGTACATAAATTGCATTTTTTTTCCTTTTATTGTTGTTGAATAATTGAGCGACCCGGTGTTGTTCATAAATGATAAATCTTCAAAAGGAGAGGGAAAAAGAAAAACTTTTTTTTTTTAATCTCCGTTTTCTTTTTTTTGAGGGGAGAATATTTTTTTTCAAAAAAAAAAAAAAACAATCAATTGACTTTCAAAGTCGTGTTTTTCGGATTTTTTTTGTTTGTCCTTTTATTATAAAATTTTACAATTGTTTCTTGGACACTTTTTAAAAAATTAAAAAAAAATTGTAAATTTTGTTTTGAAATTTTTTTTCTTTTTACTATTGTGAATAAAATTGAGTTACAAAAATGTTTCTCGAAAAAAAAAAATGATTTTGTGTTTTTTTTGGTAAAATTTTTTTTTAAGTTTGAGAATATTTAGAGAAAATAAACTCTCCTTTTTGCGAAATAATATAATTTTAAGCAATTTTTTTTCTCGTTTAAAAATTAAAAAAAAACTCCCCTTCACCTACCACCAACATCACTTTATTTATATAAAAATTTTCCGAGGCCAACTAGATAAGATTGAAAAATGATGATGAGAAAAAGAAAAAGAAAACTTATTCGGTTCAAGTGCCTTGTCTATTTTCTTCAAGACAGCTCATTTTCAATTGTTGGAGGAATGCGAATATTAGAATTATTTGTATGATACTGATGATGATAATGATGATAATAATATTATCGAAAATAATAATTAATTGTGTTTGAATTTAAAAAAAAAAAAAAAATGGTAGAGACTGCTAATTTGTTGCTGAAAAAAAATGTCGCCATAAAAAGTAAAGGAACAAATGTAAAATCAACTGGTTATGTTATAAAAAAAAAAAAAAATTATGGAAATGATGAGTGAGAGAAAAAAGTTAAAGGAGTGAAAGAATTTAAAAAAAAAAAAATATTGTCGGAATGACTGAAAAAAAGTGAGAATGAGTCCGAAAAATGTTTTTTGTCATCGGATACATATATAAATATAGAGAAAAAAAAATCCACTTATATTTTTTAGATTACCAGCAATTTTTTATAAAATCTAGTTGGTGGTGACGATATTATATACGTCTAATCCAATCGCTTGTTTTTATTTTTTTGGCTTTAGAATTTTTTTTTTTTTTGATTATAAAAAAAAAAAAAATGAAAAATAAAAAAAATAAAACAGGAATAAACCTGATTATACATGAAACTTTTAACGCGCTTAGTCTCGGCCAAGAGTTTGATAGAAGCTATGCATGATGAATATTATTATCTTTTTTTCAAAATGAGTTATATAGATATATTATTATATATATAACTATATATTATTATTATTATTATATTATTATTGAAATATTATACATACTATTACAACTGTAATTACCAAGTAATATTCTCTGTACACAATAAGTGAAACACTGTCATAATACAGAAATTTTATCAAAAAAAAAAAAAAAAAAAAAAAAAAAAAAAATCGAAACATTTCTTTCAAAAAAAAAAAAAAAACAAAGATTTTTTTTTTTAAACAAAGTAATTATGTTTTTGGAATTTTAGCTAATGATAAATTTTTAAAAATAATATCCGTCGCATTTTTTAAATCCTTTGTCCCTTGAGAACAATCGTTTTCATTTTGAAATTGTACAAGTATCACGAGATAAGTTGCCACAGCACCTGCAATCTGTAAAATAATATTTTTTTTTGTAATTCAAAAAAAATCGTTTATTTATTTATTAAAAAATTAATATTTTTTTTTTTGATAGAAGTTAGAATTGAAAAAAAAAAAAAATTTACCGATGTGACTAAACCACGATCTATTGAAAATAATCCACACGCTGAGAAATTTAATGGACGATGAAGCAATTGAAGGGAAAATATTTCCAATTGTTTTTGCACGTCTGGATCCCATTTTAGTGTCAATAATTGACTGACTAGCAATGTTGTTTCTCTGGACTGTTAAAAAAAAAAAAACAAAAAGAAGAGAAAAAATTAGATCATGGATTCCACAAAATTTCTTCACTGATTCCACGAAATTAGATCAAAAATTCCACTAAACAAAGTCACGGATTCCGCGAAAGTATGGTAATGGATTTAGCAAAATTAGATCACGGATTCAGCGAAATTAGTTCACGGAATTAAAGAAATTAACTCACGGATTCTGCGAAACTAGTTCACGGATTAAGAGAAATAAAATCACGAATTCAGCAAAATTAAATCGCAGATTTCACGAAATTGGGTCATTGATCTGGCAAAATTAGATCACGGATTTCGCACAACTAGTTCACGGATTTAGTAAAATTAAATCACGGATTCCACGTAATTGAGTCACGGATTTATCAAAATTAAATCGCGTATTCCACGCAACTAAGTCACGCATCCTACGAGACTAGGTCACGGATTTAGCAAAATTAGATCACGGATTCCGGAATACTAGTTCACGGATTTAGTAAAATTAAATCACGGATTCCACGTAATTGAGTCACGGATTTATCAAAATTAAATCGCGTATTCCATGCAACTAAGTCACGCATCCTACGAGACTAGGTCACGGATTTAGCAAAATTAGATCACGGATTCCGGAATACTAGTTCACGGATTTAGTAAAATTAAATCACGGATTCCACGTAATTGAGTCACGGATTTATCAAAATAAAATCGCGTATTCCATGCAACTGAGTCACGCATTCTACGAGACTGGGTCACGGATTTAGCAAAATTAGATCACGCATTCCGGAATACTAGTTCACGGATTTAACGAAATTATGTCAGGGATTCAGTGAAATTATATTACTGATTCCACTTAACAAAGTCACGGATTTAGAAAAATTAGGTTTCGAATTTAGTAATATTAGATCGCGGATTTAACAAAACAAATTCACGGATACCACATAACTGAACCACGAATTTAGTAAAATTAGATCACGGATTCAACGAAATTAGTTCACGGAATTAAAGAAATTAACTCACGGATTCTGCGAAACTAGTTCACGGATTAAGAGAAATAAAATCACGAATTCAGCAAAATAAAATCGCGGATCTCCACTTAATGGAGTCACGGATTTAGTAAAATTAAATTCGCTGATTTCGCGTAATTAATTCACGGATTCTATGAAACTAGGTTAGGGATTTAGAAAAACTAGATCACGGATTCCTTATAACTAAGTCACGGATTCAGAAAAATTAGAACGCGGATTTTACAAAACTGGATCATGTATCTAGCACAATTAGATCACGAATTCCGCAAAACTAATTCACGGATTTAGTTAAATTAAATTACGGATTCCACGTAATTGAGTCACGGATTTATCAAAATTAAATCGCGTATTCCACGCAACTAAGTCACGGATTCTACGAAGCTAGCTCACGGATTTAGCAAAACCATATCACGGATTCCATGTAACTAAGTCACGGATTCAGCAAAATTCAATTACGGATTCCACGCAACTAGGTCACGGATTTAGTAAATTAAAATCACGGATTTGGAAATAAATTACGAATTTAGTAAAATTAGATCGCGGATTCAGAAAAATTACTTTAATAATTCTGCGAAACTAAATCACGGATTCCGCAAAATTAGTGACCCTATGAGTGAAATTTTTTTTTTTTTTTTTTTTAATTAAATAAACCTTCACTATTGCCATGTAACAAGGTTGAACAAGAAGAAATAGCATCACAATGTGAAAAATGACCCATAACGGTTGTGTTATAAGGAAATATCCACTGTAATCCTCCTCTTTTATTTCAGTATACAAAAAATAGCAGGTATTAATTAAATGCAGCATACAACCCAAAACGCAGGTAAGCAATGGAATTCCAAATGCAATATTAATCAATGATGTTGAATCACAAAGATTTCCATGTAATGTCGTTAGTGTCGATATTGAATCAATTAATGCATGATTTCCTAAAATATTCATTAACTTTAAAAAAAGATTTCTTTGCTTTAAAGAAATCATAATTAAAAAATTACTTTGAAACGAAGATAATTTTTTTTTTTGAATCAAAAATAATTTGTTTGAAACAAATAAATTTTCTTTGTATCAAAGAAAAATTTGTCGAAGAAATTGGTTTCATTGAATCAAAAAAATTGATATCTTTGAATTAATGAAACTGATTTCTTTGAATCAAAAAAATCTTTTTTTTGGGTGTATATTGCATTATTATTATTATTGTTATTGTTTTTGTTATTGTTATTGTTATTGTTATTATTTACACATATTACCTGCAGCAATTCCCTCGTGTGTTTTTATTTTTTTGGTACGACTTAAATCAGACGAAATTGTAGGAATTGTTATAAGATGCTCTTGCTGCTTAAATTCTGTAGCTAAATATTTTTTTTTTCAATTTTAACGAGTAGAAAACACATTGAGAAATAAATATTTTATACTTAAGACTTGTAGAAAAATGAATATCCTATTTTTCAAATTGTTGGAAATTTAATATTGAAAAAAAAAAAAAAAAATTTTTTCTATGAGAAATTATGAAAAAAATTAATTTTAAAACTTGTTAGGAAAAATGTGAAAAAAAAAATTGTAAAGAAAATTAATATATAATTAAATAATAAACAATTATACACACCTACTTCAAGAATTTTGTTACATTTTAATATTTTTCTACTAAATCGATTAAGTCGTGAAAATCGTTCGCCCACATTGAATGTAATTAAGGCGTATTGAGCTTCAAACACTGTTATTATAATGTACATAAAATAAAGTGGTAAATAATTTATTTGTCCTTTATCCGGTAGTAACTGGGGTTTTCTGCTATCAGACAATTTCCATGCTTTAAAATCCAAAACGGAAATAACTATTAAATAAATTAATGGACAAAATATTAACATTATTGTAATACGTTGAAGTCTTTTCATTTCTAAATTTCCAATTTTTTCATCAATCTGAAAAAAATATTATTTTTTATATTCAATTATTTTCTTTTTAATATTAAATTATTATTATTATTATTATTATTATAAAATAATAATTTAATATTTAATTATTATTTTATATTATTTTTATTAATTTAATAGATTTAGGTTAAGCAACAACTTTCAGGTTTGTTACTTCGATGGGTGTCCTTGTAATGAGGTTTGTTTTTTTTTATTTCTAGTAAAAATTAAAAAAAAAATATATATACCTCTGCCAATATTTTTATTGCTTTTTGCAAATAATTCCATCGAAAGGGTGCATTTGAAATTGCAGTAATCATAACAGTAACGATTGCCGTTACATCGGTACATGTTACAGTTAATGCAGTTTGTGACGATAGTCTTGTACTATTTTTCCAACCATTTCTCAAATCTCGCCATAGTCCCCATGCTTGAGATGCTATAAAAGCTGCCGCTAATGATACACTATTTTTTTTTTTAAATACAAAAGTTATTAATTATCGATAATCGGTAAACTAGAAAACTACATTACCGACCAATGGTAATGACAATGGTAAAGTATATACTATTTAAAAAAACAAAACTGATTAATTACCGATAATCGGTAAAATAGAAAACTACATTACCGACCTATGATAATGATTTATCCTTGGTCGGTAAAGTAAGAATTTTAAACAGATAGATTGATTTGAAGATAAACTGTGAATTTAGATTTTGAGGTAAATTAGAAATCTATATTACCGACAAATGGTAATTTTTTTTGTTGAAAAATTTTACCCATAAATAACAGCAGGTTTGTATAATTTTGACGTATAAATTCCACCCCCACGTGATTTTATCTCAACTGGATAAAGGCCACATATCTTTGCCACATAATAAAGTGGCATAAGCGCTAGATAAATATCAGATTTTATTCCACTGATATTTTGATTGTAATTTTGATTTTTATCTTTTACATTAATTGTTCGTATATTGAAATTTTCTGCAAAAAAAAAAACATTTTTATTGTGAATTTTTATTATTTATCGTTTTTGAATGATAAAAATATAAAAATAGCATTAAATTTTCCTTGTAAAATATAATAAAGAGAAAATACACAAAATTTCCAACTGATTTCGAACAAATACAATGTAAAAAGGAAAAAAAAAAAATAAAGGGGTTTTCTTGTTAAGTTTTTGGTTTTACAATTGGGTTTCGAGCAGGGGACTAATTTTTAAGTGTATACAATCGGTAATACAGATCGCTACATTATCGACTGCATGTAATGTAGATTCCTTCACTGCCAACTGTCGGTAAGGTAGGGATCTAATATGATTTTCCACTAGATCAAGTAAAGCAGTGAACTGTTTTATATAATCGGTAATACAGATCCCTACATTACCAACTGCAGACAATGTAGATTTCATCACTACCAACTGTCGATAAAGTAGGGATTGCTAGATCACTAAATCAGCGAACTGTTTTGCTATCTGTGTTAATTTACCGACTGTAGGTAAAGTAGGGATCTGTATTAATAGAAAAAAATAGACTCAACACTTACTTTTTTCCAATGATGCTGATTTTGTATCGGAAATTCTTCGTAATTTATATGGAACATCACCAATATATTCCGATAATGGATACATAATTTTAATTTTTTTTTTTAATTATTTAATTTAATATTAGTAGGAAAAAAATTTACAATAATTTTTTTTCGAAAAAAAATGATAATCGATTTCTTTTTTAAACGTAATATTAATTTTTTTTTCTTATTATAAATCAAAAAATTTATAGAAATATAAAAAAATAATTTTTCAAAGTTTTTTTTTGAAAATTTTCTATAATTGAGAATAATTTTAAAAGTGGTTGTTACCTATAAAAAGGCTATAGAGTAACTGCAAGTCTCAACATTGTCGTGTTTTATTTACAATATATATATATATATATATATATATATATATATATATATGGAAAGGGTTGAAAATCCATTTGTCCCCGTCAGATAAGAGAGAAAATTATAGATGTTGACAATATATTCCAATAATTTCACTGATTATTATCCTTAATTAAAAAAAAAAACGAGAAATCATTTTACAAGAAGCACTTGAACTTTTTTTTCTCATTTTTTTTTTTTTTTTTGCATATTTGTTAAAAAACAATTTTTCTCTTTTGTTACAAAATTGGAATACTTGTATTTTTCATTCTTTATTTTTACATTGAAATTTTTTTTTTAATATTTTTATTTTTACTAATATACCTATTTATGTGTAAATATATAAATAAAAAAAATTAATTAAATGATTAACTAATTAAAATATAGTTTTAAATAAATAATAATAATAATAAATAAAATTTTGTTTTTACAAAAAAAAAATATTAAAAATTAATAAATAAATAAAAAAAAAAATTATTGTTTAAAGAAAATTTATACTTGAAAAATAGTTAACAGTTTTAAAAACACATTTGCAATGAGTTTAAAATAACAAGTTTATTGATCATTCACGTGGTATTTAATAAAAGGACACATATTCTTGAATGTACTGTTGTTTTTTGATTTTAATGACATTAAAATCATAAGGAATAATAAAATTAATGAAAATAATAATAATAATAATAATAATATCAATAATAATAAAATAATAATAATAATAATAGAAATAAAAAAAATGAGAATAATTGGCATAAATTTAATAATAAATAATAATCATAAATTAATTATAATCAAAAAAAATTTATTAGCATTAAATAAATTTTCTCTAAATCAAAAATGAAAACTTTTCTTTTCACTATTTTTTTTCATATATAAATATGTAATTATTATTTTTTTTTCTTCTATAATTTATAAAAGAAACCAACTTTTTTGCATAAATATATATATGAAAGAAAAATTCAATTGAAATTATGAAATCCTCATTAATAAACATGATATTTGTACAAATAGTCTGTATAACATATTTGATTATGAAATCATTTATACATTAATTATATTAACAATAATCTAGGCCAAAATGATTTTTTTTTTAATCATGACATATACTATTATTGAGAGAACCAAAAAAAAAAAATATATATTCATATAAGGAAATTTTTCTTCAAATTATATTGTAAATATGATATATATATATATATATATATATATAAAACTAGATTTATCTATTTAAATAATAAATTAATTTCAATAACAATCACGCATCTAAAATAGATGAATATCTACCATCATGAAGATGATAAATTAACATCGTTTGGAAAAATTATCTGAAAAAAAAAATTTCTTTTTTTTTATGTATTCAATTAAAAGTCAATATATTTAAATAGAGTGCCATTGAGGATAGATTTTTTTTTTGCCACTCTTTTATTAATTATTAATAATATTCCACATATCATCAATAAATTTAATTTGTTAACGGAACATTAGTTAAAAAGAATTGAAATTATTATTTTGCTTTTTTCACAGACAAATGTCATATATGATAATTGGAATTTATGCCTTTAAATATATAATTTTCTAGCAAATAAAAATTAGTGATATTATTCTCCTTTTTTTTTTAATAAATGTCACATTGTTAAATTATTATGATTTAAGAAGAAAAAAATAATTTTTTTTTTGATAATTAGACAGTAAAAGCAAAATGTATTTTTTCTTTCGAATTTTATTTATTTTTCTATTATTGTTATGTGTCCAAATAATAAATTCATTGGACAATGATGCAAACTTGGAAGTTAATAATTGTCCGCAAATGGAGGTAAAAAAAATTTCTTCTTTCTATATATAAATAACAAAAATCCCATAAGTAATGAGTTTCAAAAAAATTTGATCAATTTTCTAAAAATTCTTCCACCATATTCAATCCGACTTTAGGAATTTTGAAAAATTAACACCAAATTCATAATAAGCAACTCCAATAACCCACGAGTAACGATTTTTAAACGAATTTGAGCAAATTTTTAAATTTTTGGTCGCCATTTTGGATTCGCCATTTTGAATTTTGAAAAACTAACACCAAATTCGTAATCAGCGACCCCAATAACCCACGAGTAACGATTTTTAAACAAATTTGAGCAAATTTTTAAATTTTTGGTCGCCATTTTGGATCCGCCATTTTGAATTTTGAAAAACTAACATCAGATTCGTAATCAGCGACCCTAAAAACCCCAAGTAACAAGTTTCAAGCAAAACTGATCAATTTTTAAATTTTTTCCGTCGCCATTAAGGATCCGCCATTTTGAATTTTGAAAAACTAACATCAGATTCGTAATCAGCGACCCCAATAACCCACGAGTAACGATTTTTAAACGAATTTTCGCAAATTTTTAAATTTTTGGTCGCCATTTTGGATCCGACATTTTGAATTTTGAAAAACTAACATCAGATTCGTAATCAGCGACCCCAATAACCCACGAGTAACGATTTTTAAACGAATTTGAGCAAATTTTTAAATTTTTGGTCGCCATTTTGGATCCGCCATTTTGAATTTTGAAAAACTAACATCAGATTCATAATCAGCGATTAAATTCTATTTAATTCTATTTGCAGCCGAATATGACAAATCTAATTAATCCAAATGATCCCCGATGTTTGAATTTCAATATAAATGATGTGGAATCAGTATTTAATAGATATCCACTGGAGGAAGTATATAATTTAACAAATCCCAATTTGGTAATAATTATGGCCGACAATTCAAGTGATGCTGTAAATTTGGCAAAATTTTTATCCAATAATAACAAATTGCTACCACATAAATACCATAATAAAACAAAGTTTTGGCATAAATTAAATTCCACTGAATATGAATTTATAGTGAAAAATTTTCAAGCCTATGAGAATCAAAATAAATCAATGACATTTATTGTCTATCCAAGGAATATAGATGATAAATTTCTAGCTGCAAAATTAGTAGCGGAGAGTGTAAGTCAAGTCGAAACTGTTCAATTAATATTGACATTGCCCCATTTTGCTGATGAGAAATTAGACGTTCGTGTACGTCGAATTTTTGAATTTGCTGGAGATATGTTGAAAAATGTCAAAAAATACAGGGGTAGCTACTGTTTGGTTGTCACAAATAATGGGGAGGATGAGAGTATTGCAAAGGATATAGGGCAGATGAATAAAGGAGAAAGGATTTATGAGAAATTGGAGCCGAAAATCAAGGTGGTAAAGGAGATTCAGGAAATTGGTGGAAGAATTAGGAGAAACGTTGAAAAAATTAGGAGAAAAAAAAGGATTGAAGAAAGCAGTGGAGTGATCCAGGAAGCTAGTGAAACGAGCCTAGAAGCTGATGAAAAACTTCAATTCAACGAAGGGATTAAGGAAACTAGCGGGAAGAGTCTAAAAACTGATGAAGAACTTAAATTCAACGAAGGGATTGAGGAAACTAATGGAAAGAAACCAAAAACTGATGAAGAACTTCAATTCAACGAAGGGATTAATGAAACTAGCGGAAAGAGCCTAAAACCTGATGAAGAACTTAAATCCAATGAAACCATCAAGGAAACTAGCGAAACGAACCTAAAAATTAACGGAGACCTTCAATCCAATGAAATGACCAAGGAAACTAATGAACAGAATCCAAAAGTTAATGAAGAACCTGTGGAATTTTTCAAAAAAATTAAAGAACCTAACGACAAGATCAATATCAATATTCGAAAACTCTACATTGATCTAATTAACAAATACGCCAACAATGGAAATACCAGTAGTAAATATTTAGCAAAAATGATCAATGAACAGAATATAATTATCGGAGAATTTACATCAACAGGACAGAGGAAATTAATAAATCATCTTTATAACATGGAACGATTATCAGCCAATATTTATGATCATGAAAGTCGCCTGCATCAATTTTTGGAATGTTCTTCCAATTCAATTAATAAAAAATTAAATTCACCAATACGATCACTAATTTCACGAATTCACTCCAAATTAACCGATAATGAATCCAATTTAACAACACTAACATCCGTATTCACTGTCACTAAAAATTTCAACATAGCCAACAAAAGTTTATCAACATTTTTTAATTGTATTCACAATAATATGAATATATTTCTAAAAAAATGCTCCGATAAATTAGCTCATGATCTCAAACCCCTTGAAATTGATCTTGTTGATTTTATCGAAATTAACGATTTATTTTCCACATTATGTTGGTTAGAGAAACTTTTCATTGTCATTGAAATCGAACACAATAATATACCAATAAAGTGGATTACAATTGTGGAGAATTTTTTACAGCAATTAAAATATCCTACAAATTGGTATTGGAATTTACAGAGGATTTTCAATGATATCGAACCTAAGAGAGATTCATTGTCATTAGATGAAATTGATATACAACTTGATAACCTAATTAGAGAAATAACAATTAATGGAAATTATAATTTTTCATTTATGATAAATGCTATTAGAATTGTTAGAGATGATTTAAGAAAGAAGCCTATTAAAATCTCGTGCCATCGAGAATCAATTGTTAAATTACAAGTCACTGGAGAATTATTGAGATTCAGTGAAATTCTAAATGCTACATCAGACTGTCAAGATTACAAGATATTGGAAATATTTGCTCTTGAAAAAATTATCATCGATCAGGATTTAATTGCAATTGGAGAGGAAATTCTTGTTTCAATATTTGCACCAATTTGGGAAGTTGTGATGAATAGAAGAATTATTTTGGATGGAGCTTCACGAAATTTGACAAATGATGATTACATGGTGAGTGGAAATTAGTTTACTGATGTAATTATTGGAAAACAATTAATTATTCTATTGATAAAATTATTGCAAAATAATTAAGTTACTAATACAATAATTGGCAAGTAATTTAATAATTTATTAATATAATTGTTGGGAAATAATTAATTATTTTACTGATATAATTATTGGATAGTAATTAATTATTTTACTGATACAATTATTAGCAAGTAATTAATTAGATTATAGATGTAATTATTGCAAAATAATTAATTAGATTATTGATATAATTATTGCAAAATAATTAATTAATTTACAAATATAATTATTAGCGAGTAATTAATTATATTATACAATATAGTTGGGAAATAATTAATTCTTTACTTCTATAATTATTGACAAGTAATTAAATAATTTATTGATATAATTGTTGGGAAATACTTAATTACCTTACTGATATAATTACTGGAAAGTAATTTATTAGTTTACTGATATAATTGTTGGAATATAATTAATTAGTTTAATCCATATAATTATAAGAAAGTATTTGATTAGTTTACTGATATAATTGTTGGAAAGTAATTAATGATTATACTGATATAATTATTGGAATGTAATTAATTACTTTACTGATAGAATTATTGGCAAATAATTAAATAATTTATTGAAATAATTATTGGAATATCATTAATTATTTTACTGATATAATTTTGGGGAAATAATTAATTACCCTACTGATATAATTACTGAAAAGTAATTAAATAGTTTACTGATATAATTGTTGGAATATAATTAATTACTTTACTGATATAATTATTGGAATATAATTGATTACTGTACTGATATAATTATTGGAATATAATTGATTACTGTACTGATATAATTATTGGAATATAATTAATTAGCTTCCCAATATAATATTAGGATATAATTAATTACTTTACTGATATAATTAATAGAAAAAAATGAATAAAAAATTATTTTCAGACACCCAAAGGGAAAAACGGTAACACTCATACAAATCGAAATGGAATTCACGGATTAGCCGGTTTCCCAGGTGGACCAGCTGGTTCCTTCTATGGTATAGCGGAAAAAATCATCGGCCAGGAAAATTTAACAATTTCCCTAAACGGCGGTAATGGAAGTAATGGCCAAAATGGCGGTGATGGTGCTAATGGAGAAGATGGCGAGACACCAAGTGCATCATACATTCATTCAATGTTTAATTATTATCACTGTAATTGGTTGAATAATTATCAAGTTAATTATCGTGTTAATCATTCATCGTTTCTAAAACATTACATACCTCTATTTTCAACAAATGGAATTGCATTCAGTTATCGTAGTAAATGTTACATTCACGGATTAAATGGATTCCCAGGTGGAAATGGTGGTAACGGTGGTGTAATTGGTAAAGGAGGTTCTGCAGGTGATTTTCATATTTATCCCCTCGATATTAATAAACTTCCAATAATTGTGATGGCAAAAAATGGTAGCGATGGGAAATATGGAATTGGTGGTAGAAAGGGTTTAGGTGGTTCAACGCGGATGGTTACAATTTACAATGAGAATTATTTTGAACATAAGATTGAAAATAATGAAACGTGTGAACGTGCAAATTGGGGTAAAGACGGTAGGGATAATTACAGTATTTTGGGTAGTAAAATAAAGAAGGAGTCGGAGATTAAGCAAACTTTTGCACAGACTGTGAATCTTTATAAAAGATATATATTGACGATGGGTGAGAAGTATGAAAAATTATACAGGCAGATAATTGGTAAGAGGGAAATTATTGAGAGTTATGATACTTTTGCATTGGTAAACGAACTTATCGATTTGGAGTATTATTATTTTCGTATTAATAAAAAGAATGCGACACTTTTTATGTATAGATCGTGGAAGGAGAGATTGATTTACTATTCTTGGCATCGGAAGGAAGGTGAGAGAACGGAGGATTATACTGCATTGCTTCGTAATTTGGATAGAATGATTTCCGAAAAGATACAAAGACTGGAGACTAATAGTAATGAACGTTCTGTATTTATGCTCAAGGATTATTTGGCACAGTGTAATAAAATGGGAGAATATTTACATAATGCAAGAACGGTTGTTAGAATTAAGATGATTAATAGTAATTTCATTAGGGATTATGATGATAAAGTGAAAGAGGCACAGGAGATTATTCAAGAAAAATTGCAAAAGGATATACAGCAAATGAATTCAAATTTAAAAGGTGAGACAGAAATGCTTTTGAGAAAAATAGCGAGTCTCACTGAAAGAGAGAGGAAAAATAGTGAAGCACTGGAGAAAAAATCGATAGCAATGGATGGTAGAATAGTAGCAAAAAGTGTAAACGAAATATTTGAATTAATAAATTCCGTTCTTGGTTTTATAAATCCAGCTTTAGCGACAATTGGTAGAAAAATTTCAGCCGCTGGATCAATTGTACAAAATTTTATTGATGAAACTGCTGATTCAAGTATTGTCGAAGTTGCAATTCCAAATGTCGTGGATAGATCGAGGGAATTTTTTGACAATTGGGTTGATATGAAATATGAAATTGAGAAAATATCATTGGAAAATAGTTTGGAAATGATTGAGGAAAAGAAACGTGAACTTCGTGAAAATGGTGATGATGTAAAACCGCTGGACAGTGTTGCATCATCAATAATTGAATTAAAGGATGAAAAAATTTTAGGTAATGATGTAATGAAATTATTGGATGATAAATTAATAAAAGAGGAATCATTGTGGAAAAAATTGAATGTGAATAAAAAATTTATTTACAATGGTGCATTAAAGGCAATTGAACAAATAAGAACGTTTACGCGTATGAAACAAATGTTAGGTGATCTTAGTGATAAATTCGAAGACGTGAAGAATAAACGTCAAATGAAGGAAATTAGTGATAAAATTCATAACGCATTTGAAAAAACGATTAATTTACGTAATTTCAAAGAAGATATTTATATGAAAATGATACCATTGATTGAGAAAATAAGAGACGATACCGATATTAATGGAAAATATTCTGAATCATCGATTGCATATTTAGATTTTAAAAAATTTCAAATGAAAGAATATTTTCAGGAAATATTGGAACAACTTGAATTGTTTATTAAACAATTTAAACTTGAATCATTATTTGCGACAACAATGAAAAATATGCATGATGTTATTGATATGGTATTGAGTACCTATGAAAGAATACAAGAATATGTTGATACGATGAAAAAAGCAAATTACGAAAGAGATCTCTCCCTTGCGCCATTTGATGTCACCTATATCAAAAATACTGAATTAAGTCTACAATTAGCAAAAATGATTAACATTATCTATGCAAATAATGTTTTAGATAATTACAATAAATGGATATCAAGTTTTCGACAATATATTTTTCCATTTGCTGATAATTTTATTGTTCATGATTCATCATTCATTGAATTGAGAGGAATATTTCCAAAAGCTGAAGAGGCAAGTAAAATTTTACATCTTCTTGGTGAGAAATTATCACGTAAACGTGCGGAATTTAATGAATTTGAAAAAACAAATAATGCCAAATTTGGTTATAATTTACCACCATTTTATGTTTGGGAGAATAATTCTAATCAAAATGAAATACAACAAATTCTTGAGGGTAAAACAATTAATTTATATGCCGATATAATAGAACATAAAATTTTGAATGCTGTTAAATTTCGTGATATTTGGTTACGTCTTCGTTTAATTGATTCAACATTGAGTGATGAAGAATTAAGAAATGATATAAAAGGTTTTTCATTTAAATTAACACACTTGGGTGATTCATATTATAGATGTGACAATGAAGTTTATTTAATTTCATCAAATTCTCATTTATTTGAAAATGTTTATAATTCATTGGATGAAAATGATGATGAAGAAAATGAATTTCATGAAGACGATGATAATAATTTAAATGAAAAACAAAAAGGTGATTATTTATTGAGTCCATATGCAACGTGGAAAATTGAATTAATAAGTCGTGATGTTGATAAAAATTTTGATAATCTAAGAAAATATCATTCGAAAATAAATATTGAATTAGTTGGATTTGGTCGTTACACAGATCGTCATTTAGATATTTGTCAAAGTAATTTAACAAAGTACTACGAAAAAGTTTGGTAGTAATTTAAATATTTAATTATAATCATTTTGATATAATCTAATTAAATAATAATTGTAAATCACGAAAATAAATATTCTTTGTAAGTAAAAAATAAATCTCTTATTAAATTAATTCTTTTGTTCATTAAAACCATTGACAATTTCTTTTATGAAGGAAAACAAAATTCCTTTTGCATTTTATAATCGTAAAATAATTGATATATATGTAAATTTTCGAAAAAAAACAGTTGCGAACAATTGTCAATGATTATTGTTCACGAATTCTTTTTAACATATGGAATTATTTAGTTGATATAAATTCATGAATTCATCAGCCGGAACGGCAGTAATTATTTTAAACGAATATTATTTATATATAAATGAGAAAAAATGGAAAAATTTGTTCCCTTGCTGCTTATAGTTGTAAATTTATTAAAAATATCAAGGGGAGATTTATTTTCGTTTAGTAATTCATGTCGTGAATTAGATAAGGTAAGTTTTTAAATCATTGAAAGGAAATAATTATTTACTATACTGATATAATTATTATAATATAAATAATTAGTTTACTGATATAATTATTGGAATATAATTAATTACTTTTCTGATATAATTATTGAAATATAAATAATTAGTTTTACTCATATAATAGTTGACAAAAAAATTAATTAATTTACTGATATAATTATTGAAATATAAATAATTAGTTTTACTCATATAATTATTGAAAAGTAATTAATTAGTTTACCATATAATTATTGTAATATAATTAATTAATGTACTGATACAATTATTGGAAAGTAATTAATTAGATAATTAATATAATTGTTGGGAAATAATTAATTAATTTACTAATATAATTATTGAAAAGTAATTAATTAGTATTGCAATTTAATGAGTTAACTCATATAATTATTGGAATACATTTATTTCATATATTAATTTCTTTATATTCATATTATTATATTAAATAATTAATTAAGAATTAATTAAATACTTAAATAAATAATTATTATTCCAGAGCAATTATACAGATAGTGAAAAATTATCCGAATGCAATGATCTCCTCGATGATTCTAATGGGAAAATTTACAATAATCTAAAAATGCTACACGAAATTTACGAATTAAAAATTAACGTATTAATTCTAATTATAGCCGACGACATGAATGATGGTATAAAATTAGCTCGATTTCTCTCCTATCAAAGTGGAATGCAACGAAAAATAAAACGTGAAAATATTTCCAATGATCAGTTAAAAATTTTCGATTTCCTACTAAATAATATTCATCTCTATGAAAATCCCCAATTTCCAAATTTGACATTTTTTGTCTATCCTCGACAAACGAGTGACGATAATTTAGCAATTATTCTCGCCAATTCAATAATAACAATGGCAAAAAGTGTGAAAATTATTTTAACATCAAATACCACACAATTACAAATTCATCAAACATTTAACGTTGCTGGAAAATTTTTACGAAATCCAGAAAATTATAAACAAAGTATCATTTTTCTGGCGGTAAGTAATAAAAGGAGGGAATCGATAAATCAAATCAAGAATCATGGAATTCATGAATTTTTAGAAATTGTACAAACATACTTGAATATAGAAACAAGTGGAAGAAAATTGGCTAAAATAATAATCACCAAGGGGAATATTATCATTAGCAATAAATTAGATTTTCAAAAAATCATATCAGTTCTAAATAATTTGAAACAAATTCCAATGAGACATTATGATTTTGAAAATAGACAAACGTTGCATTTATCATGTTTATTTGAATTAGCAAATGGGGAATTAAAATCAATGCTAAATTCCCTGGAGGAAAAATTGACGCACCAAGTAATTAGGGAACAAAAAACACTAAGTGGAATATTGACATTAGCGGAGAAATTAAATAATCTATTTCTATTCATAGATTCAGTTCTCGATTGTACCAAAAGTGTGAATATTCAAATATTAAATACCTGCTTTCAAAATTTTAGTAATCAATTAGAAACAAATGGATTCAAAGAAATTCAACACATTATTCCAAAAAGTAGTTACTATCTCTCGTTACTTTGTAACATTAATCAACGATCATTGATGATTTTACCAAAAATTGATTTCACCATAAATCCACAAAATTGGATCTATTTAAAAAATTACGAAACAAGAAGAGTTAACAATTGGTATCAAAATTTAGTTTCGATTTTTAATAACGTTCATCAAATGAAAAAGAATGATATTTCGGAGAGTTTAAAAAAACTCTCAAATCAATTAATTAATTACAATTTTGGGATATTTGAAAATTCAGCAAAAATTGCATTGAAAACAATAAAGGCAAATTCAATTAAAATGGAAGCAACTTATCAATTGGAACGTGTTGAAAATAATGTTGTTAAATTACAAGTTAGGGGGAAATTTTTACGACTCAGTCATATAATGAATAATATACAGAAACACAAAATTCTCGAACTATTTGCATTGGAAAAAATAATTATTGATTGTGATTTAATTGATAATTCGAATGATGGTTTAAATGTTTTTATATTTGCACCAATTTGGGAAATTGTACGAAATCGAAGTATTATTTTGGATGGAGTTTCTGGAAATCGAATAAGGGGTAATTTGGTAAGTTGTTTTTTGGGGAAATAGTTATACGTATCTTTTGGGCTTAATTAATTAAATTAGTTTAATAAATTATAATTACATCCAATTAATTAAAACACTAACTAAAATTAGGTTAATAATAATTACACCGAATTATTATTATTATTATTATTAAAATTAAAATAATAAATTTTAGGTTATGATATTCAATTTTAGGTTATTTTATAAATTTATAACTTTATATATCTTTATACTATCAAAGATATAATCACTCAATGCCTCAAACGTTTTTTTATATTTTGCTTCACACCATAATTATTGGTTTTTTTGCTTATTTTTATATTTATTATTCATCATTAATATAAAACAAACCTTTTGTAACGGCCCGTTACATTTTCTGACATCTTCTTCCGTTTGCATATCTGAAACAACAAAAAATGAAACTATTATTATTATTAAAATAATAAATTTTAGGTTATGTTATTATCAATTTTATGATTAATTTATTGGTTACATGAATGGGATTTATTATTATTGTTAAAATATATTTTTTTTTATATTCATTATTCATCATTAATATAAAACAAACTTTTTGTAACGGTTCGTTACTTTTTCTGATATCCTCTCTTCCAGCTGCATCTGAAACAAAAAAAAAAGAAATTATTATTATTTTTATTATAACCATGCTCTAGTAAATAGTTAGTTTCTAGTGAAAATTGAAAGTTACTATAAAGTCACCATTTTTTACTAGAACAGGGTGCGGTAGTTGACCTCTTCCAAATCAGGAAAAACAGAATTTTTCTGAATAATTATCGTTTTTCTCTGTTTCAGGAACAAAAAGCAAAAAACGGAAATAAAATAACAAATCGAAATGGAATAAACGGTGTGGCAGGTGTTACAGGTGGAGTTGGCGGTACATTTTTTGGTCTAGCGGAAAAAATAATTAACTCTGATAATTTAAAATTATCACTTAACGGTGGCGATGGTTCAAATGGACAAGATGGCGGCGATGCAGCCAATGGTGACGATGGTGAAACACCAACAAGTCATTTTTTAATAGAAAATTTAAATCGTCATCGTTGTGCCTGGCCACGTTATAATTCATTTATTTATCCCATAGAGAGTTCTAATAATGAAAAATATTACATACCACTGATTGGTCCAATGATTCAATTAAAATACAAACGTGAGTGTTATATTTTTGGTTTAGATGGTTATCCAGGTGGTGATGGTGGACACGGTGGTTTATGGGGAAAGGGAGGAAGTGCAGGTGTTTATAAACTTTATCAATTGAATAATTCCAATGAATTATTGGGACTTAATTTCTCAATGATTAGGGGAAAAAATGGTAAAGGTGGTTTGGGTGGTAGAGGAGGTAGAGGTGGTTGTACAAGGAAGGTGACATTTCGAAATTTGAATTTTTTTGATTATTCGCTGATGGAAAATGAAACCAATGAATGTGCCATGGATGGAAGAATAGGTTTTCAAAATGCAAGTACTTTGGGAAAAAAACTCACTCCCGGACATAGAATTTTACAGAGTTATGGAGAAACGGCAAATCTTTATAAACGATACATTTTGGAAGAGATGAAAAATGAGAATTACATGGAACTGTATAAAAAAGTTATAAGCAATGATAAAATTCTTCAGGAGTATGATACTTTGACGTTAGTTGATGAATTTGTTGATTTGGAGGAGTACTACTACAAAAGTGTTAATAAAACATCAACACTATTTTTCTACGAGTCTTGGAAGAAGCGTCTGGATCATTATTCGACAAATCGAAAATTCAATGAAGAAACTGATGAATACAGTGAAGTTCTGCGAAGTCTACAAAATACAGTCTCCAGAAAGATAAATCATTTAAAAAATCACCATTTTCTTATATTCCTTATTTCTGATTATTTACTACAAAGTCAACAGCAGGTGCAACATTTGCATAATGCTAAAACTGTTGTATTTATCAAAAATGCAAATAAAAAATATACTGACGAGTATGATGATAAAATTGAAGAGGCACAGAGGATAATTCAAGAGGAATTGCAGGCTAATTTGACACAAAGCAATGATGAATTATCAGGGGAGATTGAAATGCTTTTGAGAAAAATATCACGTCTCGCAGAGATGGAGGCAAAAAATGCCGAGGAATTGGTACGTAAATCCCAGTCAATGCAAGAAAAAGCTGTAATTAAGACATTTAATGAAATTTTCAGTCTACTGAATACCGGATTAGGAATTATAAATCCAGCATTAGCGACAATTGGTACAAAAATAAGTGCCGCTGGTTCGATTCTACAGAATTTTATCGATGACACAGCCGATAGAAATATTGTTGATGTAATAATACCAAGTATGGTTGATAAATCGAGAAAATTTTTTGACAATTGGATTGATATGAAGAGGGAATTTAAAAAATTGACAATTACTGAAAATATTGAATTAGTTCGAAATAGTCGAATGAATTTATCAGCTAGGGGAAAAAATGTGGAACCATTGGAAAAAGTTGAAAAATCCTTTGAAGAATTAAGAGAACAAATGGAGAGAAATTCCATAAAAGGTGATGTGATAACAAATATAAATGATGAAATTCAAAAGGAGGAGAATATTTGGCAAAAATTGAATAGAAACAAAATATACACCGATTCTCTAATGGTACTAAAACATCTTAAAACTTACACGAGAATGAAACAAATGCTCGGTGATTTGGTGACAAAATGTCAGGATTTAAAAAATCCACAAAAAATTGATGGTATCAGTAATGAAATAGAAAAAGCATTTATTAAAACTCGTAAATTACGAAATTTTAAAGAAGAAGTTTTTATAAAAATGCTACCATTGTTAAAAAAAATTCGCGATACAACAAATACAGAAAATTTACGTTCAGTGAAATTTCTTGATTTTAAAAATTTTCAAATGCAACAATATTTTAATGATGTTTTCAATCAAATTCAATTTTATGCCTCTGATTTTAAAATGGAAAGATATTTTGAAAAAACATTGAAAAAAATGCAATCCGTAGTGAATATGATATTAAGTACATATAAAAGAATTGAGGAATATGTGACGGCAATGAGAAATGCTGATTATGAAAAAGATCTTAATTTAGCGCCATTTGATATTACCTATGTTAAAAATTCAAAATTAAGTATGTCATTGGCTAAAATGTTACAAAAAACATATGCAAATATTGTATTAGATGATTATAATAAATGGATGAAAAATTTTAAACAATATATATTTCCATTTGCTGATGAATTTTTGGAAATTTATGAATCATTTATACCTGAGGTTGATGATTTAATAATTCGTGCACAAGACGCTGGTGAACGTCTTGAATTATATGGAATGAAAATTAATAGAAAACGTGCTGAATTAAGTGAATTTCAAAATACAGTAATGACAATGTTTGGCTATAGTTTACCACCATTTCATATTTGGAATAATTATCAACATAAAATAAAAATTAATTCACTATTGAAAGGGGAAAAAATAACAATTCATGCAAATATAAGTGAACATAAAAATTTAAATGCTGTTAAATTTAGTGATATTTGGTTACGTTTTGATATTATTAACAGAAATATTACAAAAATAAATGAATTAAAACATGATTTACAGGGTTTTGCTATTATTATTGAACATCATGGTGATTCGTATTATCGTTGTGATGAGAGAATTTTTTTAATTAAATCAAATAATCATCGTATTGAAAAAATTTTAAACGATGAAAAATTACAACTTTATGATGATAATTTTTATATGAAAATAATGCCAATTGAAAAAATTAAAAGTGATTGTATATTGAGTCCATATGCAACGTGGTCATTTCAAATTATAAGTCGTGATATTGATAAAAATTTTACAATATTTGAAAAATATAAATCAAAAATTAATATTGAATTAGTTGGTTTAGGACAGTATAGTGATAAAAATTTAAATGTTTGTCAAAGTAATTTAGGTAAATATTATGAAAATGAAATGTAATTAGATAGTAAATTATAGGTTATGGTGGGAAATTAATCAATATATCGATTATATTCGATATATCGAATTGTACATCTATATATCGATTATCTTCGATACATCGAATCGTATATCGATATATCGATTATTTTCGATACATCGATTATTTTCGATACATCGATTATTTTAGATACATCCAATCGTACATCGATATATCGATTATTTTCAATACATCGAATCGTATATCGATATATCGAATCGTATATCAATATATCGATTATTTTCGACATATATCGATTACTTTTTGATATATCGATTATTTTCGACATATATCGATTATTTTTGAGATATCGATTATTTTCGATATGTTGACTACTAATCGATGTCAAACATTATTCGATGTATCGACTATTATTTAATGTATCGATTAATAATCGATACTTCGATCAATATTTGATATATCGAATCATATATCGATATATCGTACGATAATCGATATATCAAACGATAATCGATATATCGAATCATATATCGATATATCGATTTATTATTCAAATAATTATTTTTACAATTATTATTATAAAATAATAATAATAATAATAATAATAACAATAATTTATGTAATAATAACAAATAAATAAAAAAAAATAATTTTAAATAAATAAATTAATAAAATTATTAAAAGAAATAAATAAATTTTTAATATGAAAAATAAATAAAAAGCTGAAATCAAAAGACTTGTTTAATAGTGGAACATAAATTGTCATCTGCCATTCAATGACGTATTAGCACCAAACAACGTTTGTTAGTTATGTAATATTGCACTAATTATTTTTTAAGAAATCTTTTACAAAATGAGAATGAATTTTTAATGATGCGTTAAATATAAAGCTGAAATCAAAAGACTTGTTTCTTTTTTATTTTTTAAATGAAAAATAAATAAACTCTATACCACATAAAAAAATTTGTTGAAAATAATTCATATGATAAAAAAATTTTTCAATATTTTTTTTTACTTTTTATGTTTTTTTTTTTTTTTTTTTTTTGTTAATAACTAATTATTGACTAAAAACTAAGATTAAAATTGCAAATTAAATTTGGTTTAATTTTAATAAAATTATTTTAAAATAATTAATATAAAATAATTATAATAATTTAAAAAATATTAATTAAATAAATTAATAGATTTAATAAATATTGAAAAAATATATAATTATTTATATTATTATCAATTAATAAATTAATAATTAATTTTTAATTAGTTTTTAATTATTTTAATGAATATCAAAATAAATTTTTTATTGTCTCGATGATTGCAATTATTTTCTTTGATTAATAAAGAAAATATATAAAAATTATTATTAAAAACTAAGAAAAAAAAAATTTTTTTTTCTGAGCAAAAAAAAATTGTAGAAAAATATTATTTACTCTAATATAATCTTTTCGATGATTAGATTTTTAAAATCGATAATTTCAAATTTACTATCTTGTCGTGTCTGACTTAAATTGGAAAAATGTAGTTATACAGTAAATATATATATATATATATATATATATATATAGTTATAATTTACAAAAACAAAAATTACAAAATTTACATTACAAAACAAAATATTTTTTTTACATTTTTTTTTATTTTTATTTGTTATCAATATTTACACTTATATATGATTATAAAAAAAATATATATATGAATAAAAATTTGAAACGCACAATATTTTAAAAAAATTTATTATGAGTTTTTAAAAATAAGTTCAATATTAGCATTTAAATTGACGTAATAAATTTTTTTTTTCTCTCGCCTTTTTTTTATTTGATGTGAGAGAAAAATACCAAAAGATGACAAAAAAAAAAAAAAAATTTTTTTTTAACAACTTTAAATGACTTGTCACATCATAAAATATTTTTAATTTATTACTAATTTTGATTGAGAGGAAATTTTTAAATTTTTCAAATTTTCCAATTTTTTGTTTGTGATAAATTTTTTTTAATAACAAATATAATCATTAATTAATAATAATAATAATTTACTAATTAATTAATAAATTAATATTATTAATTTTTTATCTACTAATTATTTATTAATTATTCAAATAATAATTCATTAATTAACAATATTTAATTATCTCTATTATTAAAACTAATAAAAAGTCAAATATAACTGCTATTTATACTTACATAACAATTATCATAATTATTTTGTAATTGATAATAAAAATTACTATAAAAAAGAAAAAAAAAATTTTTTTATTATCATCAATTCATTATTATTTAAAGACCATAATTTTTCCTATAGATCATAAAAAAATGAAACACTTTTTTTTCTGCTTATATGTGAAAATAGGAAGGATAAATAAAATAATAAAAAAAAACGAGATAAACTTCCGTTGATACAGTTAAAACATGTTTTAGTTATTGCTCACGTTTTCAGTTAATGATTCGAAAAAAAATTCCTTTCATACATGAATGGATGTCGTAAAAAAAAATTGTCATACAAAATAATTTTTGATAATCTTATTCCATGAAATTTGATGACGGAAAAAAAATATAAAAAAAAAAAAAAATTATATGGGTAAGAAGAGGGTCAACATCCAGGAACACTTTTGTTATAATTAATTTTATTTTTATACGTGCTTTGAAAATGTTTATTTTCCAAATTATTACAAACATAAATAATAAATAAATAAATAAAAAAATCGTAACTAGGTTAAGGACGTTTTGTTTATTCAAAAAAAAAAAATCAATTTATTAAAATGAAAAAAATATATAATAATTATAATAGTAAAATTTGGGAATTATAAAAATTACTGTTATTTTTAAAAATATAATCCAATTGAAGCAAAAAATAGTGTAAATTTTCCAAAATTTTATAATTAAACACAATTTACATAGAATAGCTGTGATTTATGTGGAAAAAGCATAATTTACAAAAAAAAGTAGAATTTTCTAAAAAAAAATCGTATTACCAAAAAAAAACCCGGAATTGCCCGGAAAAACCCGGAAAACTGAAATACTGTCGAAAAGATACTCCATTTCAAGTGGAAATAAATCCAGTTACTTTGAATATTATGTACGTAGGATTATCAAGAAAACGACAAAAAAAAATAATTTGCCCAGAAAAACTCGGATATTTGAAAACCGCTGATTTTTAACCAGTTACATGAAAAATTATACAAAAAGAAAACAATATACTATTATAAAATCAGTATTTAAAGCAGATAGAAAAAAATAAGAAAAAATACCTCCTGAATTGCCCGGAAAAACCCCAGAAAAATGCCGAATATTTGAAAACCTTTTAATTTTAATCACTTAAAAGAAAAGAAAACAATGAAAATTCAAAAATTTTCACATTCTTTTAAAATATTCAGTATTTTCTTAAAGTAGGTAGAAAAAAAATTATCCAAAAATAATCTTTAATTGCCCGGAAAAATCAGGAAAATCGAAATGTATCAAAAAAATACTCCATTTCAACTGGGATAAAATCTAATGGCTTTGAATCATAAAAAAAACGAAAAAAAAAATTTTTCTTAATTCTAATCACAGTAGGTAGAAAAAAATTACAAAAAATCCGTAATTGCCCGGAAAAACCAGGAAAAATCACAAACTCTTTTAGAAAAAGAATAATTTATTTGAAAAGACGAGAATTGCCTGGAAAACCCCAAATATTTGAAAGCCGGTTAATTTGACATACTTTTAAAAAATCAATATTTTTTAAAAGAAGGTAATAAATAATTATGCAAAAAAAAAAAAAAAAAAAACGGAATTGCCCGGAAAATTTTGATTTAATTTGTAAAATATATTTTTTTAATTGGAAAAACGTGGAAAAGCCTGAAAATATATTTTATTTTTAAATACAAAAAAAGAAATTTTATGGTAGAGATAAGAATTTGCCCGGAAAACGAGAATTGCCCGGGAAAATTTTCTAAAAAAAAAAATATAAAACCAGTTTTAATTTTATTGATAATTTAAATTATCTTTTTTTCACGTCTTAAGTTAATGTCTCTCATTATATACCCGGAAAAATTTATAGATAAACAAATAAATAACATATAAATAAATATAATTTATATTTTATATTTATTTTCACCTTGTAATGATTAATTACAATTTAAAAATAAAGTGAGAGTTAAGGAAAAAAAACGGTGGATCAGTAGGAGGAAACAAATAATAATAAATTGTTTATAAAATATGCAAAAAAAAAAAGTGAAATCATGTAATTTTCAAAGAAATAATTATATATTTAATGCAAAAAAAGAAAAAAATATAATATTTTTTTTTTCAAAAAATAAAAAATTATTCTTTAATAAATTTTTATTTATTATTAAAAATTAATAGAAAAAAATTATTTTGTACATTCAAATTAAATTAATTAAAATTCAAAAAATAAGTGTAGGGATTTTATTTTTATCAAAAATCGATCAATCTTACTATTATTAATTTACAATGATTTTTGTGATTAGATTTCGAGTGTTGTTGAATTTCTTTCTTCTTCTTATTCTTCTTCTTTATTATTTTTTTTTTTTTAAACGAATACATTTGAACGATGAGAGTAACACAAAATGAAAATATATATTCGTAATCAAAATATATATGCGCAACAGGAAATGATCAATTTTGTGGTTATCTGACATCTAGGAATGTCTCTTCAATTATTATAAGATTACATATATACAAAATACCTGTGAAAATAAAGAAGATTTTCTCACTGTGATTTAAATAAAAAAATTTTCTGAAATTTTCAAGATTAAATTTATCATAAAAATAAGATCGTGATTATTATTTTTCAAAAATCATTTTTTTTTTTCATCGTAATTCCAGGATTCTCGGGTATTATTTTTTTCCCTTAATTTTGGTATTTTTTTTTTTGTATAATTTTTTTCTTTTATATGATACAAATTAAGTGGTTTTCAAATATCCGGGTTTTTCTGGGAAACAATTTTTTTTTCGTTTTTTTTTATGATTCAAAGCCATTGGATTTTATCCCGCAGTTGAAATGGAGTACTTTTTCGATATATTTCTGT